ACACCCGGGCAACGACAGCTCCCAGTACACGGACTTCGCCACCGCCTTCGAGGCCGTCGGACTCTCCTGGACCGCCGACTTCTGCGCCGACACCTTCCCCAACTCGGACATGACCAACGGCGAGGCCTTCGGAGACCCGTGCTGCACCTGGTCGCAGGGCGGCACGCCCGACTTCACCGTCACGCCCTTCACCACGGACCCCACCACGGCCACCGTGTGCGCAACGTCGACGTCCACGGCGGCATCGACGACGTCCTCCGCCACGACGGACACGACCACGCCAACGTCAACCGCTTCGTCGGCCGCTACTGCTGCGACCAGTGCTGAGACGTCCACTGCCTCGTCGTCCACGTCGGACACCACGACAACCTCGACGGCATCTTCGGCCGTTATGGGCAGCGCGACGACGCCCAGTACTTCGTCCGCTACGACGGACACGTCGGCGACGACTACCACGACAGCTCCTTCGACGGACGACTCGACCACTACTGGCGGCGGTGGCTGCCGAGCCAAGCCATACTCAGGCACGAAGAGCGGAAAGAGTGGTCTGCGTGCGTAAGTCCGTAGCTGTTGCTGCCGTAGATCTCCCTGCGTGCTCGTCTTGGTGTCCTGCGTAACAAAATATCAATACAAGAAGCGTGCTCACTTCTTTCTTACCTGATTCTTCCGTAACCTGGACATATCCTGCAAAACAAACGTCCCTCCTCGATGACCACACTCAACGGTGGCAACGTACTAGCATAGTATCATCACATTGGGGCCTTCTCGGCCTCTGATCCATTAGTCCGCTTACGGTATTGACCCCTGCCACCCGGGACGACCGACCGCTTACTCGTGAGAATGAGTAAGCAGGTTGGTCTGCAGAGACTCCTCGAACGAATGGCGGAAGCGCGCGTACGCCGTGGGCAGCACACTAACGTCGCGCTTGAGGAAGCTGTCTTGGATCCAGAACTGCACCACATTGAGGAAACTCGGACACACAATCATCACCAACACCAGCTCCGCGAAGGGGTATCCGTGCAGCGAGTGGAAGAGAAGTTCACCCAGGAGCCCTAACGGCGTCGAAGCCGCGATCATCACGGACACCACGATGGCCTTGGAGAAGAGGATGATCACCAACCACGCGGACAGCTGCAGCAGCCACACCCGATACGACGGCGGGTTGCCATAGTCGCCGCTCTCCTGGATGTTGACCCAGTTCATGGAGAACGCCAGCTCTTGCTGCAGCCGCAGGAACGCGAGACTCACGATCATGCCGAGCGTGCAGTCGCCGAGGAAGTTGAGGAAGTACCACGCGCACTCGTCCGTCACGGGCGGCATCTGGATTGAGACGAAGAGGTTCATGAAGTGGCCGGTCGACGCGCCGATCATCTGCTTGCCGACGTCCATGAGCCAAATCTGCAGCGGCCGCCGGGGCCGCTCCACGTGCCGCTTGTACCAGAGCGTCGCGATGGCGATCACGCCCAGCAGCAGCTGGATGGCGTAGGACGCCGCGTTGGAGAACAGCTCGCATTGCTGCGCGTCGCCGTCTGCCGCGAGCTCAGGCAAGGGCATCGCTGCTGCTTGTCAGGGTCGGTATTGAGCTGGTTGCTGTCTCCAGCGGGATCTATTGCGTCTCTTCAAAAGATATGGCCCCGACTCGTCGCAGCTATCGTCATCGTCAGCATCACCTCCGGTCGAGAGCTGCTGCACGCCGGCGTCAGCGTTCACTTGCTGTGGTTTATTATCACTACTTACACGGCTCACGGGCTCACGTCGACTTGCGGCCCTTTTCACTGGTTCTATGCTGGATCTGGTTGAGGATCTGGAGGGAGCGCCGCGACGCGCCCGCACCGGCGGACGGTGGCGTCTTCCTCTTCTTTTTGATAAGCATAGGGTGCGCTGAGTTCGGCGTCAAGGTTTGTTGCGCTACGGGGCGCTGGACGCCAACCGAGCGCGTCTTCAGCCAGTTGACCGGCTTGTTCGAGCCCGGGACGTTCGCTTCGTTAACGGCCTTGGAAGAGAACAGTCGCGACTTTGGGCCGGACGGACGGTGGCCACGTCTGGTCGGGGTATCACGCTTGTGCGCTCTTGAGGCGCTGGATGTCGGCGTCTTGTGACGGCTAGAACCATCAGCCACGGGGGACATGAAGGTCGCGTCCGTCGGCTTCAACGGGAAGAGCCCGTTCTCCGTCGTCTCGAAGTACTGCAGGTCGTCCAGGTGCTCGTAGATCTCGCGGAACGTCGGCCGCACTCCCCACGCCGTACAGCGCATGAACAGGTTGTAGTATGGACCGAGACGCGTCTTCGCGGCCTCAGGCACTTGAGTTATCGTCACGTCTTGGAGCAGCTTGTGAAGACTGCGAGTTTCGACAAACTCTTTTGGCACGATCTCTCCTACCAGCAACCGGTACAGGATTTCGCGGCCAAAGGCCCCGACGTCGCAGTTCTTGTGGAAGCTGAAGGGGCTGTCGAGGATCTTGGGCTCGTCCGACGGGAGCTTGATACGACCGAAGTCAGAGAGCTTGATGTCAGGCTCCCAGCTCTGCTCGTAGCCCTCTGGGGGAGTGCGCATGAGGATGTTCCGACATGCCAGATCACCGTGAGCGACATTGATATCTTCATGCAACGTTATCATGGGCAAACAGATCTGCTTCAGCATCGCCTTCGTGTCATCAAACGACAGCGTGTAGCGGCGGTGCTTGGAGCCCCCTGAATTCACGCCATATCTTCTTAAATAGTCGCTCAGCTTGCAGTCCATAACCTCCAGCGCAATGCAGGTGTGCTCGATGGCATCGCACAGGCCAAGGCACTGAAGAAAGCCCTTCATGTGGCGCACCCGACGTAGATAGTGCAGTTCAAGAGCAGCGCGGTGCTTCGCCTCATGCTCAGGGAACCCTTCGTGTGGCTTAGCACGCTTGAGAGCTACCTTCTGGCCGTTGATCACAGCAGCAGTCACCTTTCCGTCCGTTCCTTCACCGTAGACTCCTCCCGTGTACTCCACGTCTGTCTCGCAATTAAATAAACCAACGTCTCCGATCACGGAAGTACTCGTGAAGGAATTGGATGAGGTGTCAGCGTGCGCGGTAGCTGGTTCCACATCAGCAAGAGAAGTCATGCTTTCTTGGGAAAGAGGGGCGAGATCATCGGCGTGGCTGTGGGCGACACTGACAGATTCTTGAGAGAGGCCCACCTCGTCCTGGGAGTGCATGACGACGCCATCAACTTCTTCTGTAGCTTCGACACCTTCAGCTTTGTCCGTAACAACAACGTCTTCCACCACCACGCTGGTCTTGAGGTCGTTGTTCGAGTGCGCGGTTTCAGCTTTCTCTTCGGTTTGCTCTTCGTCTGGTGAATCATACTGCAGCTCCTCAGTTTGACTGAGCGGGATCGAGCAAGATGCACCCGTGAAGGGGCTTTCATAGACTGGTCTTCGGGGCGGTGGACTTGCAAACGTCATTGGTCGTCGTGCCTGAGGACTCTGGAACGTCATCGGCCGGCGTACCTGAGGGCTCGCAAAGTTAATAGGTCGTCGCACCGGGGTTGCTGCAGCAGGGGACGACATTCGTGACGGCGCAGACGCTTTCACGGGCGTTGGCGCTTCCAAGCGTTGCTGGAGCTTCTCGTTGGTCTTGAGGTTCTTCTCCAGCTTCTTCAACGCCAGCGCTCTGTTCTCCGGCCGCGGAGCACGCTCAGGGGAGAAGGAGATCATGCGCTTCCGCGTGGACGCGGACGAGCTGCTTTGTGCAATGCCCCGTGCCACGTCTCTCCTCGGCTTGCCCGCCACAGCCACAGGCGGCGCACTCTTCTCCGGCGTCGGATCAATAGCAGACGCCAGGTTCTTGGACTGCGCAATCGTCTCCACCGGCGAGTGCACCGAAGCACGATCAGGTGACATGGGCTCGGGCAGCACACTCTTCTCCTCCAGCTCAGCGACCTGCTTTTCTTCCCGCTTCTCTTCAACCGGGACAACCTGCTTCTCGTCCTGCTTCGTCACTCCTTCTTCCAACTCAGTGACCTGCTTTTGGTGCTTTTCCTCCTGCCTCTCCTTCGTTTCTGACACCGTCTTCTTCACAATCGAAGTATTCGGTGGTGACGAAGGCTCAGGCAGCGTCGTGATCTCCTCCTCCTTTTCAGCCACAGTCTGTTGTGCCTTCACAACCTCCTGCTGCTGCTCCTGAACGTCGTGGTTCTGCGAAAGAGGCTCCTCCAGCAACTTACTGCGACCATCCTTGTCCTCAGCCATAGCCTCATCCTCCTTCTCTTCAGCCATCGCCTCGTCATCGTTTTCCGCTGCGCCACGTTGAGACAAAGGTGATTTCCGTCTCCTGCCAGGACTGTTATCGTCATGAAGCGACTCGTCTTTTTCTTCTTCTTCTTCCTGCCCCTGCGCTTCCTCCACATACTCCTCATCCTCCTCGTGTTCCTCCTCCTGCTCTTCTTCACTCGGCTCTTCGTCCTGCTCCTGCTCGCGTTTCCGCTTCCGCTCCTTCTCGTGCTCCTGCTCCTTCTCCTGCTCCTGCTCCTGCTTCGTCATCGGCTGCAGCCCCGAGTGCGCCGTCAGCACCGCGTGGATGTACTCGCGCTTCTTCCTGCGCATGTACCTGTCGTCCGAGGCGAGCGTCCTCGCCACGCGCTTGACCTTCTGGAGCTCCGTCTTCTCCCAGCTCTGCGCCACGCTCTGGATCATCTGCACCTCGTCGCCTCGCGATACCTCGGCGGCGGCTTGGCGCCTTCGCTCGGCCTCCTGGCGCTTCCGCTCAGCCTCAGCAGCTGCTTCCTGGCGCCTCCGCTCGGCCTCCACCGCGGCTTCCTCTTGACGGCGCTCGTCCTCGACGGCGTCTCGGCGGATGCGCTTGAGGCGCCTGGTGGCCTCTTCGCGCTGCTCGCGCTCCTGCTGCGCTGCTCGGCGCGTGTGGCGCGGCGCCATGGCGGTCGGGTCGGGGCTGGAGGGTAAATTGCGCACTTCTTGCCTTGGCGCCAAGGTGGTCAAGCCCGGATCTCGATATTTGCGGAAAGCATACAAACGCCAAGTGGCTTCGTCTTCGAAACTTTTCTGAATTTTGGATGGCGCCAAGTGCCAATTAATTGGTGTGCGGCACACAGACGAGCGCATCTTGCAGCGACTGGCACGAAGAGCTACTAACTACGAACTGGAGGCAGCATGGCGACGGGCAACGGCGCCGAGGTGGCGCTCTCTTTCGGCGCCGACATGTACAAGAAGCTGTTCCCGGCCGAGTACGTGCGCAAGTGTCTGGCCAGCAAGGTGCGCCCCGACTCGCGCACGATTGAGGCGGCGCGTGCCGTGCAGCTGCAGACGGACGTGGTGCAGACGGCAGCCAGCTCCAGCCTCGTCAAGCTGGGCAAGACGTCGGTGCTGACGGCCATCAAGCTGGCGGTGGGCACGCCCGCCGTGGCTACCCCCGACCAGGGCGAGATCGGTGCGTTGGGTTGATTGTGGGAGGTTGGTTTGGTGTTGCAGTGGACTTACCCTCTCCGTTGTGGTTAACAGCCGTCCAGGTGCACTTGTCGCCGCTGTGCTCGAACCGATTCTCGGTCGGCCGGCCGTCGGAGGAGTCGCAGAGCATCAGCAGTCAGCTCACGAGGATCATCGTCGGGTACGAATATCTGGGATGGCGGTTGCTTCTGGTTGAATGGAGGTCTGACTTTTGCTGCTTGCTGCTGCAGCTCACGCGTCGTGGAGATGGAGAGCCTGAGCATCGTCAAGGGCCAGTCCGCCTGGAAGCTCATGGTGGACGTGTACTGCGTGGACCACGACGGGAACGTGCTGGACGCCGCGCTCACGTCGATCATGGCGGCGCTCAAGACGTTGAAGCTGCCGGCCACCTCCGTCAACGAGGCGGACAACGTGGTCTCCATTGTGCCGGGTGAGCCACACAACTCTGCACACTTCGGGCTCTTGCTGGACATCTAGGACTCACGTGTGCGTGCATTTCTTTTGTTTTATTGTCAATTACTAGACGAAGACGCCACGCCGCTGCGCGTGGAGCACTGCGCGTACGCGACGTCGTTCGCCGTGGTGGAGGACTCGGTGCTGATCGACCCGACGAGTGACGAGGAGGACCTCGCGAGCGCCGTGTTCAGCCTCTCGTACAGCACGAACGGCCAGCTCTGCGGCGTGCACAAGGCCGGCGGGACCATCGTAGCGCCCCACGTGATGCAGCAGTGCATGCAGGTGGCCAAGCGCAACACGGAGGCGCTGGCCAAGCTCGTGGACGCCTCCACCTAGAGTAGCGCATAACCCTATTGAACAGCACCCTTTAGACCCCGACGTCGTCGCCTGCGTCTCCAAGGTCGCGCATTTTTCGAACCGTTTCAACTTCCAGACTTGTCGTACCTAATACCCTTCCATTATCTTTCTAATATTTTTAAACAGGTCGATACAAATTCACACAAACACGACCTCTATCTTTTCAGCTTCAATTTGGGCCGCATCTGATTAGCCCCGTTCTTTGTCACTCGCAGAAAAGATCCCAAGCAGACAGAGGAGCTCGAGCCCGAGGCCCAGGCCGCCGCCCAAGCGTGGAAGCAGAGAGCTCAGAGAGAGAGAGGGAGGCTCCTGTACTCTGGACAGAACAAGAAGCGAGTCCTTCCGCCCACGCCCATGGCCATGAACGAGGGCACGCCGCTGTGGCAGTCGCCGGCCAGCTCCGTGGCGTCCGTGGCCGGCTCCACCGTGCGCGAAGGTGCCGCGGGCCCCGCGCGGGCTCCTGCACGCGCGCGCCGCTCGGGCCTCTTCCCCGCTGGCGTGACCCCGCGCATGATCCGCGCCGCGACCGTCGCCGGGCTGCTGGTGGCCATGGCCGTCTACATCATCGGCGGGACGACGCTCGCTACGACGGTGCAGGGCGCGGAGGCGGCGACGCTGAGAGACGCGGAGGCCGCACAGACCAGGAACAGCCGGACGGACGGCGCGGCCGCTAACGACGGCGTACTGTTCCTGCCGGGCTTCGGCGCCCCGCTGGAGAAGCAGGTGGGTCCAGCGCAGAGACTCTCTCAGCTCAGAGGAGCGGACGGCGTGTTGCGCTCGGTGCTGCTGCCGTTCTGGCCGCTCGTGCTGGCGTGCGTGGTTGTGTTGGTCGTGCTGAGACTCATGGACGGCCCGTGCCTCGACTATTATGTGTGGTATGTGAACAGTATGCTGGCCTGGTCGGAGTGAACACCGTGAACGCGGGCAAGCTGTTCTACTGGTTCTTCGAGACGCGCGCGCCCCTGCAGATCGACGACCGAACACCGCTGCTGCTGTGGCTCAATGGAGGGCCCGGCGCGTCGTCTATGACGGGGCTGCTCGCTGAAATGGGGCCCTACCGACTCACCAAAGAGCGGAAGCTCATCCCGCACGTGCACTCGTGGACCAACATCGGCCACATGCTCTTTTTCGACCAACCCGTTGGGACGGGATACTCATCAGTACGCGACGACGTCGGTCACGTGAATACACAGGAGGAAGTAGCGGAGCAGCTTTATCGCGGCCTTCAGGGATTTTTCAGACGTCACCCGGAGTACAAGCACAATCCGCTGTACGTATGCGGCGAGTCGTACGCGGGCAAGTACGCGCCGTCGATCTCGCACTACATCCATATGAAGAACAGCGGCGCTCTTGACCAAGACGACGTGATGATCAACTTGACCGGCGTGGCCATTGGCAACGGAGACATGTGGCCCGTGCTCCAGACTCGTTCAGTACCAGATTTTGCTATCGCCCTGGGGCTCATCGATTCGCAGCAGTACGAGAACGCCAACGCGCGGATCAGCGTGTGCGAGGAGCTGCACCGACAAGGGCGCGACGTGGAAGCCTTCCAGGTGTGCCAAGCCGTCACCCAGAAGATCTACGAGGCCGCGGGGAACCCGTTTATTTATGACATCCGCCAATCGGGGAACACCTTCTCGGACGTGAGCACGCTGCTGTCGAGCTACTTCAACGACGATGCAGTGCGTCGAGCGCTGAACGTGCCACCCGGAACGCCTTGGATGTCGGTGGACGGGTCTGCCTACGGCACCTCACCGTCAGCACCGGCACTCGTGCGTCACCTGCTGCAGGACGAGATGCTGGACGTACCGATCGACGTGTTCCGCGACCTTCTGGACAACTACAAGTTCCTCTTCTACGCCGGCAACATGGACGGCTCCGTATGCAACAACCTGGGCGTAGGGCGCATCATCGACCGACTTGCCTGGACAGACACAGCCAAGTACCGCGTGGCCAAGCGTCAGCCGTGGATGGTGGACGGGCAGGTGGCGGGGCTGGCCAAGTCGGCAGGCAACATGAGCTACGTGGTGGTGCTGAACTCGGGTCACCTGGTGCCCGCCGACCAGCCCGAGGCGTCGCTAGACATGATGCGGCGCTTCATCAACAACGAGCCCTTCGTCACGCTGGCCCCGTAGACCAGCCCACACCCATACACAGCTCCTAGACCAACCAGCCCACGCTCCTCCTTCCAGTCTGCGCGTCCGTCCATTGCGTTTTTGTCGTGCAGAGGGACCGCCACCGCAGGTTGTACATACCTATACAGCAGAGCCGTGAGCGAGCAAGTAAATAAAGGCACCACTTGCAAGCAACGGTCTTCTTCACAGACTACAGCGATGTTGATTACCTAGTTGGCCAAATAGCTACATGGCTACACCTCGTAGCAATGAGGAGAACACTTGGTGTGCTGCTGTCTTAGACGACGACGGTCCACTCGCGGATGGAGTAGGACGTGACGAGGTCGTTGAGGACGTAGGGGTCCTCCTTGGCGAAGTCCTCGATGAGCTGCTTGTCCGCCACGTTGAAGATGAAGACGCCGGCGTCCGGCGGGTTGACGAGCGCGCCGCCCATGACGACGTGGCCGTCCTTCTTGGCGTTCACGGCGCGCTCCAGGTGCTCGGCGCGGAAGGGGCCGCGGCGCTCGAGGATGTCGCCCACGTACTCGTAGCGCAGGATGTAGAACTTCTTGTCGGCGGCGGACGACATGGCGCGGCGGGTGAGCGAGGAGAGCGGAGATCGAGCAGCCACTTGGCGAATAGCGAACATCTTGCGGGGTGGAAGGGGTCGGGAAACATGGATACCCTTCCTATCATTGGTGTGTGGGACTCAATATGGTGTGCATATTTGTGTGGTAGGGAGGAATTGTGGTGTGCGGCTCAAGGTGACGACTGCAATGCCGAGCTCGCGGGCCGAGGCGCTGCGTTTGTACCGCGCGATCTACCGGGTGTGTTGCTGGTAGTGCGGCACAGTGTACGTGACAGGGTAGAGAAGACGCTGACGGTTCTGGCGGTGCGGTTTTCGCTGTGATTTCGTGTGTGCAGGCGGCTGGCAAGATGCCGACTCGTGACAGGACCAACTACGTCCGACGCCGACTGCGCCACGAGTTCGACGAGGCGCGGGAGGAGACCAACCCGGAGAGGATCTTGTGCGTTAATAGGCGGTGATGTTGCTGGAAAATCTAAGACTAAAGTGTATGTGTATGTGTTGTGGCGACAGGTTCCTGTTGCGCCTCGCGGAGACGCAGCTGGAGACGGTGGAGGTGCAGGCGCAGCACTTGACGTCCACCTTCTCCAGCCCAGACTACCACCGCACGTAAAATGAATAAGCTGGCCCAGGGAACAGAAGATAGACGTGGTTATGAGTTATCGGGGTTTTTCTTCATGGTTGAGGTGCTACTTGTCAAACGCTCTACTGCTGCTGCCCCTTACTTTTTGCTGCCACTACACATAGTCTACACCGACGGTGTCGACGTTTGACTGCTATCGCTGGTTCTACAACCACTTTTATTCCAGTCTCTGTTTTGTTGTTGTAAGTCTCTCTTTTGCTTACAACCTAAAGGTTGTTCTACTGACATGGGCATCTGTGGTGGCAGCGACTAACGAACTCGAAAAACAGTGACTTGGAACCTGAGCAGCGAATTCCAGCGGGTAAGCACCAATAGGATGCCAAACAGACAACGGGTTTGCAAGCACCACACACGACTGACTATGCTGTGTGTGGCTCCGAGAGCACAGGCTGAGCAAGCCAAAGTGCCCTCCGCTTGGTGGTGAGGAGAGAGGTCTTGTAGGGGGCAGGTTGCTGGAGGCGACGCGCTGTCTTGGAGCCCTGTTTGCGCCTGTGCACACCTGCTGGAGGGGAGGGACGGCCAGAGAAATGAAAATGCAAGAAGTGTAAAGAGGGCCATTTAAACCAATCGTAGAAATTCAGTATTTTAACCAATGCTCGATCGTGTCGGCAGGTGTAGGTGTGGTGTGGTAATATCACTTAAATTCTCTTCTACCAAAAGGTATTAGAGACACCAACAACACGCTAACCCGCAAAGGTAAGCGCTTATTGGATCAAAACCTGAAGACCAGGAACGATCCCTTACACCGGGTCGGTTGCAAGCGCCTCTGTGCACCTTAGGTTATCTTCGGTCAACCCAAAAACCTGTACCACTAGCCACGAGCTAAGGCTAGGATACTATGTAGCGCTTTCGCGCAACCCCACTGCAGTCCCTCAGAAAGGAAGGGTACCGGCGTGTTAGGCCTTATACAGGGGGACCAAGGTAAAACGTCGGTAGGTAGACTAATACACTCAGGGATACTCTAATCCCACAAATATATACCGAACGATACACTAATACCGTTCCTGCCTCTCTGGCCACGCCAACTCTTGGTGCTGCCAAGGAAACTCTCGGTCAATGCACGATAAGCTCCCCGACAGGCATCCACACGCAGCCGAGCGTGTCCAGGCACTACAATAAGCTAGCTACACTTACCGAAGTCGGACTTGACCCTTGTTAGCTTTGGGGGAAGACTGTCTTTTTATTACTGAGTTTTCTGAGGCCCTGGGGGCCTCGTTCTGGCCATCCTATGATGAGTCCTATGTCCCTATACAAATATCTAGTGTGAACGATCGCAAGAAGGCGATTCCGGACACATCAAATGACGACCGCGGCTACACTAATAAGTGCGGCCGGAGTACGTAACTAAATGCATCTGTACCTAAAAGTGGGTACCATGAAGCCTCGTTCGGGGTTTTATTAGGACCCGACGAGGCTCCGGCACTATCTGTCACTCCAACGAGGATAATGTCGCCAGCTTAACCAAAGCAGCCACTTCCATCTCGCGCTTGACTGCTCCTTAATCATTGTACCTTGATTCTTGGGCGACGGGCAATCGCTCCGGTAATCTCCATTTTCCGATACCACATAGGCGGCTGTCGGCACCGTGACGCTATGGATAATAGAGCGCTTAAGTAGTTCAGAACGAAACGAAAATCTGATGAAAATCTGAGAAAATCTGATATTTTTTGTCTCGATTGCGTCTCGTTGTCTGAGGACGACAACTTTCGTAAGAGCTTGCTGTGACGAAACGGAATCAGAGGCGGAGCCAGTGTGAAATCTATAGTCTAGCCATAACGATGGACTCCAACAGCGACAGCGACAGCGACGATGATGTACTCGCTTACCGCCAGGCGCGAAGGAGATGCTGGACACATTACGCGTGAAGAGACTACATGGAGACTGGGAGGCGGCATCCAGGCTGCGCCACAGCGCGTTGCTATTGCTATCGGAGGCTACGCGACGATACTCTATGCCCCGTGCCCGATTCGACATCAACAACGTCACGGACGACACCTGTCTGCTGTTCTACCGCTTCACCCAACGCCATCTACGCCGTTTACAAGCTTCATTTCAGCTGCCGGCGTCATTCGCACGGGCGCGAGCTCTCGTACGTGTTGTAGCGGTCTCGAAGGACTCTGCATCACCCTACACAGACCTTGCTACCCAACGCGATGGATGGAGATGTCAGGTATTTACGGCCGGTGGCCCAGCGCTCTAAGTAGTATTTTCTACTTTGTGATCGATTTTATTAGCGAGAGATGCAGCAGGTTGCTCAAGGGGAATTTAGATTATGTGAGCTCTAGATTGCATGAGTTTAGCCAAGCTATCTACGACCAAGGCGCTGAGTTGGACCGTATTTGGGGGTTCGTGGACGGAACCGTTAGGGGCATTTGCAGGCCAGGAGGGGCTCGGGAGCAGCAATGTGTGTACAGTGGTCACAAACGCAAGCATGCGCTCAAGTTCCAGACCGTCGCTACTCCAGACGGCATGATCTTCCACCTACACGGGCCGGCTGAAGGCCGAAGACACGACATCCTACTGCTGCGAGAGTCCGGACTGGAGGAACGAGTCCGCCGCGACGGGAGATTTCAAGACTACTTTGTCTACGGGGACCAAGCGTACGGCCGTACCGATGTGTTTGTATCGCCTTTTAAAGGATCAAGTTTAACGCCCGCTCAAGCTGCAATAAATGCCTCCATGTCGAAGGTCAGGACGTCCGTGGAATGGCCGTACGGCCAGGTTGTCAACTAGTGGGCTGGTGTCGACTACAAGAGAAAAATGTGCTTGGGAGAAGTTCCTGTAGCAAAGCTGTACAAAACTGCAGTGGTTCTGACCAATTGTAATACTATTCTTCGTGGAGGGAACAATAACAGCAGATATTTTGGCGTGGAGCCTCCGTCGCAAGAAAGCTACTTCTCCGTTTAACATCACAATATACATGCATTTTAGATTCACTTGTTACTAATAGCTGAAGCTAATAGTTTTAAAATGGACTCGGTCTGAGCAGCTTGCTGCTGGATCTGCTCGCGTAGCAGCTCTTGCTGAGGTTTTGCTGCTTGAGTTCTTCTCGACGAAGTTGCAGCTCTTCTCGGTGAAGTTCGACCTTTTCCGCTTCTAGTTTCCTACGCTCGATAGCTTCTTCAAGCTCCTGGTCAAGCAACGTGGAGAGACGACGGCACTTAGGATGGCCTGAATCTTTGGTACCAGCGGCCAGCCTCTCGGAAACCCTGTTCATACAATTACATAAAAGCATTCAAAATTAGAAGAAATACATTGCAGTCAACACAACATTACGAGACTACCTTTTTTCGGCTGCCTGCATGAGGAGTTGACCTGCAGTCTCCAGCTCCTGCGTTTTAGAGGTCGATTTTGCCTTATTTTTCTGCTGTTCAGCTGCGTTCTTGAGCTGCTGAAGTTGCTCAAGGATGTCATCGCTCTCTGTGTGCAGCTCGCAGGTGCCGCTAGCGGCTTCGTTTCGCGCCTTCCGCACTGCATACTTCCGTAGGAGAAGACTGGTGCGGTCCCTGCACTCTCGAAAGCTAAAAGCTTCTGACAGAGTAGCGTTTAGTCGGTTAGCCACTCCCTTCCACACACCGGTTACTGTTTTACGGTCAGCAGCAAATGGAGGCGTGGCGAGGACTTCAGCTAACAGAGCCTTGTCGCTAGTGGCGTTGAAGCGGGAGCGCTGCTCCGGCTCGTCAACTTCCTCAAAGCTCTTTTCCTCGGAGCTATCCTCAGCATCGTCGGGCGCAGCAGCCTGTTGCTGCGACTCAGGGCCTTGCACTGGTGACAGGGGAGGGTCGTCTTGGCCAAGCTGAAGCGACGCAGTGGAGCCCAAGGTGAGTATCTCGTCGGAGCTGTCGCTCTCCATTGTCTCTGGTATGGCTGGCAAGGAGGGAGTTCTGAAGTGATATGATTCGTTGCGATGTGATTAGCTTAAGCGCCCTTTTGGAAATTCGGTACGAAATATTGGGACGAAGTTTTTTTTCGTCCTGAAAGACGTTTTGGTCCTGTAGCTTAAGCGCTCTAATATCCGTTTCGGTACGAATTTGATTGGTCAACTTCAACATGTATCTCGAAAACTCACAATGTCTACACTGGCTACAGTAAAACTACCATCTGCCCACGTTTCGCGCTCACGTGGTTGCCGCCGCAACAGCGATAATAAAGAGGGGTGATCAGTCAATCAATGTAATCTGTGAGGAATCGACCGTATCGGGGCAGCAAGCGAGCAGAGCCGCCGTCGTATCGGCTAAGTTAGTTTAGACATGTGGCTGTCATTTCTAAGATACAATATCTACATGTACATGTCAGCAGCAGCAACAAAACCGTCGTTGACTAAAACAAAATTATCGCTATTGATTAATGGTAGTGGGCGTATAGTGTTTGTTGCGAGTCGACTTCGTAGTGAGGAGAGCTAAACGACATGGAAGTCAGTATAGCAATTCTACAAAATCAAGTTGCAGGCATCACAACTGGTCATATAACCCCAGAAAAAAAAATTATACATTCAGCATGAACCGAAGTTCAGTCTGGCAGCTTGAAGCTGTGCAGTATGCAGCATGAATACATGTAGCAGTAGTGTGAGTTCATGTATAGATCCACCACGGCAGATCGAGCAGCGTAAGCGACCCAGCAAATGGACGCGGGCCAAAGCCCGCAAACCAGTTTCATTATGGCGGGAAGGGGAGGGTCAGCCAATGCGTTGAGATTTAATGATTCTTGAGCCTGGACTTTATCTGCCGGTGGTGCGTGCACGGCGGTTTCTCTAGCACTTGTTGATATAACGACGAGTAATGCCGTAGAAGACGCTCAATGTAGAGATGTACCATGTCTCGAACTAAAGTTCCGGTTACAGTATCTTGAAACCAAAATACTTATAGTATTTTAAAAGTACTTCGAAGTATTAAGTTCTTCTTCTTTGAAATTGTTGCCGCTCGACTCCTCAGAAATCGTTTGGTGTCGCTCAGAGCCGGACCTTGGTTCGTCTCCGTAGCTGCTGCTGTTGCGACATCGCAAATTGAGAGGAGAATGGCTGTCGCGAGTAAGCTACACGTACTACATGTAGTGTAGCACACCCGCTTGGTTTTGGGTCAGTATTACATACAAGTTAACGGCGTTGGCGGAGAGCAAAGGCAAGTTAAGTTGAGCCAAACTGGCGTCATGTCATTCCTAAACGAGCTCTGAGCGACGCATGCGCCGTTGACAGTGTCAACAGACGCTTGTTACAACAAGCGAAAGTAAACAACAGTAAACATCTTCACACTATTGACGATACCACTGGACCAAGCCGATGTTCGACGTGGTTTTCGGTTGTGCGGAAGCCCTGAAGCGAAAGCTACTCGAGCATCACTGCAGCAACGAAGAACGTTATCTCAACATGCTTTTTGTCGCGCTACCAGCGGTTGCTAATGCAGCCGAGTGCAGCACGAAGCGCTGCACACTTGCCTGTGCGATCTGTGTGCTGCAAACGGTGACCTGCATTCGTGCCCCGTGTCCGCCGATCCAGACGTGCGTCGCTGGACCCAATGTGGGAGAGTTCTCACCAAATAAAACAATGATAGTGACCTGTTACCGTTTAGCCTAACGGGATCCTATTGCTGCTCAATAAAATATGCCTCGCCACGACATCAACACTGTCCATGATCCCAATTACTCCAGCTTCATCTTCTTCATGGCCTCGGCCTCCATCTGCTGCTTCATCTCCCACTTCCGCTTCCTTTGCTGCTGCTTCTTGCTGCGATCCACTTCCACAAAGATCACCACTTTGTTCACTTCCCCCTCGACGTCAGCATTGCTCAGTCCACGAACCTCCTTCAGATCATTGCGCCACGCTCTACCGTCTGCATCCGTCTCCCTGGAACTCAACTTCACGCCAATGCGGTAGAAGTGGGCGTTCCGCAGCGACTTCGGCAGGTGCTCCCGCTGGAAATCCTCGACAACCACGACCCCGTTCTCGTCACGCTTTCGACTGTTAAAGTAACGACGCTGCAGCGAATGGGTCACCACCAGATGCACCACACTTTCGGTCGGGATCGACCTCAACACCCTCATCAGACTGGACTTCGACAGCGAGTCGTTGGGCGAGAGCGAGTGCGCCGTAAGTTTGCCGTCCATGAAGCTCACGTCACCTTTGTCCTTGTTCGTCAGACGAGTGAGCGTCCCCAGGTTGAGCGACGTCTGCAGTAGGAACGCCGGCCACTTCACGTCCGACGGTGCGAGAAACGGCACCGTGAGATCCGATAGAAACCCACGTACTTCAGGGGGAAACCGAACCTGGACGTCGCTCGACTTTTGCATCTCCACTTCGTACAGCAACCGAGAGAAGAAATTCGGGAAGGACGAGCCCGCCAGTCCATTGTGGCGACTCGCTACCACCAAAGCGCCACACACCTCGGCCTCTTGTCTGACCCCACTGTCAGACGATGGATGCATGTTAGAGCAGCGAGATGCCAACTCCCTCGTGTAATAGTACGTCGTCGGACGGGAGCCGTGCACAAAGGCGCTCATATTCTTGCCCCCCGTGATGCACAGATGGAACAGCGCGTCCTCCGTCGGCAGTGGGAAAACATTCAACACGAACCATGCCCGATCATTTTTGCATACGGATCCAGATCGAATTCGCAGTTCAAATGGCTCGGTCTCCCTAAGACACTCGTAGTGGTTGTAGATCCGGTGCCCCCCTCGATTCCTGGAGTAGCAGATATTGAAAAACACGCAGTATTGAGCGTTGTAGAAATTGTGTGCTCCCCGCGTGGGCATGCGGATAGTTTTATGCTTGACCAGGTTTCCGGTCACACCGTCCAGATACGTGACCAAATCCATGTCGTCACTTAACGGGTGAGCTTGCGTATACTTCAATGCCTTCGTGGCGAAAAGCGGCCTGCTCATCTGAATCACAAGCCTCAGATCCGGTCGGACTTCGTTGACGATCGGGTCCTGGAACCGAGGAAATGTAGGAATCACAACCGCCCACAGTGAATCACCGTCGTTCTCGAAGGACCTGGTAGACTCAAGCATATCCGAGGCCGAGATGGAGTCGGCGCTAATCACAGCCACCAACCCAAGCGAACGAAACACGTTCCTCATCAGTCCAAGCTTCAAAACCCACTTCTCATGCTCGTAATCCTGCAGCCACGGGAAATTATCCAAGAAAAATACGCAGCTTTTGCCACGCGACCGTCGATGCCAAGATTTTAGCGCGTCAACAACTTCATCGCGCGTCCGTGGGCCCGTGAACTCAGATACTCCGCTCACCAGAGCCCAAATGAAGCCGTACGTGTACAGTAGCTGCTGCTTGGAGATAGTGGTGACGTCAGCTCTGGGAATTTCCAGGGTATCTTTTTCCACACAGCCCGTAAATGCGTCGTAGCGGTCTGTAAATGCCCATTTGGTTTGTGAACAAGGAACGTATCTTGGTACGGCTGCACGTATTGTTGGTCTTGTTGCGTTGTCACGCGCCATGTTGGCGGCGGCACTATGAGCACATGGATGCAGCCTTGCTTACTGTTAGTGGGATCGAGCACGTCTCCGACCTTGGACTCCGGGTCGAGCTTGTGGTGGGTCCATTCGGGAACTTCGTAGCGATCTCCTTTCTTCACAAGTTGTATAGTGTAGTCACCCTCCAGCCACCTACTGTCGCCGTAGTTGCGAGTGCGGTACAGATACAACCTGTCAACGCGGACTTCCACGCGATGCTGATACTTCTCTCGCTTCACCATTAGCTGAAGATCCTTGATCCTGTCCGACTTTTTGATCTTCAACGGGAACGCACTTCCGTCCCGATCCCCAGCAATTAAGCACTGCAACTCCAGCTCTTCCTCCGCTATTTGACAAACCTCAGCTTCTGTGAGCTTGCTTGCGGCTTCTCACGAGCACGTGCAAGTCACGACACCCGAACTCGGTGGGTGGGAAGTGTTGGCTCAGTGGATCAGTTGAAACAAGAGCCGACACACACAAGGAGGCGATTGCGACTTCGTCCCCCACCATCAGCGCGTCCACTTCTTCTGCATCGCTGCGAATCCAGTCCCCAGAAGTTTGCCTGGCGGGGAATAACTGGATTGGACACGGCTCAATGTCAGGGAGTTCGGTTGCCTTCTTGATGACTGCAATTAGAGCTTCAACGTTGCTACTTGGGTCCACGAGGACACTGCATGGATACTTTCCGATCCCGACGAGCAAGTAGTTCACCTGCATCTCGCCCATCGACTCCAATATCCAAAGTGTTCGAGTAGGGGGGAGAGTTTTGACGGAAAGATGTAGTTTTGAAATTTGGGGGATTGAGGGGGTCAAACAACTGAATGAAAGAAAGAAACAACAGATAGGGGGAGGCGATTTTAGTGAAGAATGTAACAATACAAATGGACGGTGGAATGCATCTTGTCGTGCAGTGCTTGGTGCTGGATCCAGCAAACTTCATCACCGTTCCGGTCGCGGTCACACGAACAAGCGCCGTGCAAGATCTACAGGTTACGCTGAACGAGTTGCTCTACGTGGATGACGCAGATATCCGACCGAGTATGTTCAATCTCCACCTCGCCGTTGATGACAGCGGGAACTGCCTATTCAGCTCTGCGCCAGAGATTTCTTGGTTTAAGAGAGGGGTCAAAGCGCCCTTGTCCAGGTGGCTAAGGAAGAAGATGGACCCTACGAGCGTCATTGGAGACGTCATTCCTTCCGTGGCTTTGCCGTACCAAATTCACGTGCTGGTTGAGCCGCCCGAAGACTTTTACGTAGGACGCGACGACGTCTACGATCAATTCACAAAGCCGTATCACGCTACAGCTGCGTTTTCGAAGGATTCGAGCGAAGTGAACCAGCTCGTGGACCTGATCAAGCAGAAGAAAGTCACGGACGCGTCGGTCGCACCGTTCATTGTACTGGAGAACTCGATCGGAATGGGCAAGACGCAGATGGCTTTCAATCTCATGGCTCACAGCGACGTCGACGTCTTCTACATCACGCTCACAGAGGACGTCACTAACCTCCTCGTGGCATTTTTTGGGCGGTCAAATGGGTTTGTGGAGTGCGTGAAAAGAGACCTACCGGAAGTGGGGGACGCTGAAGTTCCCGACATTTTAGCGCAACCGCAGTTATACGTGTACGGGCTTATATGGGCGATGCTGAGAGGAGCTACAATCTTTCGTGGACCTCGGACACGTCAAGATGTTATGCGAGCGATGGCCTCTCGGGAAGAAAATGGGAAGACAAGCGTGTTTTTCCTCGATGATTTTCCGAGCGTTGACCCACTGAATCGAACGTCTTCTATCCGCAAGCTACGCTACATGTTGAACGTGTTTCGATCGTTTGGGTTAGCGGTGGTCGTGACTGGTGCGTCTGGAGTGATTCACGATCTGGTTCGAGTTGCAATACGTTCTAAAGAATGTGACGGGTTGTGGTGCGTCGTGTTCCCGTCGATCCCTAAATTTCATGATCCTTATGTGGAGAGCATACCAGGCGATCTGGGACGGATTATCTTGTCAAGTAGACCTCTTTTTGCTGAATTGGCGGTGGAGTACACGAAGATGACTCCATATCAATCAGGACAAATCTGGCATTCTACTTGAATCAAATGGTGGCGGCGATGGCCCCCAAGTGGGAGAAGTATTGTAAATCTGTTTTTTTCTAAGCCGGTCAAGTGCGTCACTTCCTCGCTGATAGCTACGTGGTGGGACCCTGTCGACTCGGTGGCTACTTTGCTCGTCTCGAAGAATCGGAGCCATTCGAGTTGTGGTTTCGGACAAGATGTGGCCTGGCCAGGGCCATGGTGGAACTCTAGCGTGGCAATGCAGAGACGCCCTCCCGCTAGTACACGAGGATATTCTATTGCACCTGTGTATAATGGGGACGAAAACCTGTGGTGTGTTTCGAGACTGCTCCTCGTCGCCGATATCCTTTCGTCGAGCTGTCGCTAGCGTCCAAGATGATAGGATTTTCAGGGGTATAGCGATGCGGCTGTGATGAAGGCGTTAGTCGCCGGTGCCATCGTAGCAGCGAGCCATGGCAGTGGGTACAGTGGGTCCTCCTTTGGGGATTTTTTCTCGGCGCTGCTCTTCGAGTTGGGTCTACAGAACTCTCCTAATGTGCGTGTCAAGTTTCCAGATGAGGTTTTGGACATTGTCAAAGACTTAATGGTGCCGGTTCTTGCCCCGCCCAACCTGGAGTGGCCAGACTTCCTGCTAGAATCTTCGTTAAACTTGGGGTGTTTATTGCAAACGAGGGTGAGGGATAACGTGGATATCTCCTTGTTGAACGGGAAAGTTTCGGTAAGATGCGTGGTGCAAAATGGCCCAACTACGAGTGAAGATATGAAGCGGATTCTTGGCGAAGTACCGAGTGAGAGCGGGATTCACATTGTAGCGGCGAGCTCACTGCGGAATCGATACTTTAAGCGGAGTCGTAGTGGAGACAAATGTTGTGGTAATTTTCGGGAAATTTTACCAGCGTCGTGACACGAAGCAGTTTTCTATCACATCGGTCGTCTCACTCGCTCAGCGGAGAGGGATGAAGCTGGAACTGTTTGGCGCGATGACTTGGCGCACATTTGTGGCATGCAGAACGAGTGTGAAGAATCGTCGTGCTCCGATACGGGATCGCGTCAGCGCATGCGAAAGCTGCTCATCATTGGAATTATCTACAAGGAAGAAACTGATGCAAAACAGTAAGGACATGGTCTCAGCTCGAACATGGCTGGTAGAGGCCTAGAGAAAATCGGACGAGGAAACGTATCGCCAGGACTGAATACAAGAACTACTTCATTAAACGACATTTTGTTTTATTATAACATTTTGTAAGTACAATATATAACATGAACCATCCCTGTGTGAACGCACTGGCCGGTGGAAGTTGTCGCGATACAAGTCATATCACTTTGTACAGGCTTTCCCTTTATATAGGCTTTTGTATTGGGATGGGGGTGGTCCTAATTTGTGTCGACTTGGCAGAAACAGTTTTTTGTATGTGAGCTATCGCATAGAGTGCAAAAACGCGAGTGTTAGCGCATACCTGATCTTTCCCAGCGTGTTTTGTAACTAGCCTCGAAACCGCACCTTAAAATAATCAATATTGACCGAGTTATGAGAACTTTTCAAGGCGGTCCTATCATTTTGCCATTGAGAATCCGCGCCGCCGGCTGTCGGATGAACGCCAGCTCACGGATCGCAAGTGCCGCCTCCCCAGACCAGGCGACGTCTCTCCGTCGCAACATTGAATCACAGCCTGTATATTGTGCTGCCAACTGTTTGTCTGATACATGTACCTCAACTAATCTGTATATTACACTTAGTATACATTTGTTGTATATTACTAGTAGTTTCCTTCATTTGTTGTATAATACTACATGTAGTAGTTTCCTGCAACCTACCCATACTACTGTAATAATGTTCAAGTACCACCACGCACACGCTGTCTGAAGAACAGAACCGCTGACTGCAAAGCCCAACTGAGATCACGACGGTGATCTGTAGCTACCTACCGGCGGTAGGCTACCGCACTGTACCGACAGTTGGAATGACGTTCTCACGTGAGTACTAAGTCTCACTCCGCAATTTGCTTCAAGACGCCCAAGTCGCTCGGACTACTTCACGATGCGATTCGGCCACCTCTTGCTGGTTGGTGGCAGCGCTCTCCTCGCTGTCAGCTGTGACGCCACAGCGGCGTCGACTGCGAACCAAGTCCCAAGCTCTCGCCGTCTGAGGACCGAGGTGAAGAAGCTGCCCGCGAGCTATATCCAGGGGCTCATGCACAACGACGACCAGCTCAAGACGGCACTCAACGCCTGGAAACAGGGCAAAGTGACCACCAAAGGCCTTGCCGAGTCGCTGGATCTGAGCCAGAACAAGATCAAGTGGATCCGCAGGATTCGCAACCGCAAGAAGATCGACGAGGAGATCCTGCTGCAGATGTTCCGCGCTCGCATGGGCCAGTCGCCGTAGAGCGGTGGGGCTATCTACCTAATAGCAGGAAGAGTACTTTATGCCACGTTTTAGAGACATCAACTTGGGATTCTATTAATACACGTTGTTGCCCACTATAGCCGCAAAGTCTCCATTAACTCGCCCAAAGTCTCCATATATCCCAAAGCGTCACTCTTCACCAAGCGTCGGTCGATGGAGGGATGACGAGGGGTGTGGCGTTGTTCGTGAAGGCTTCCGCTTGCGTGCTGATCGTGTGGAGCCTCAACTACCAATGGGTCGGTACTGCGTCGCTCGCGGATGACTGGTACGCGTCCACACGCTGCAACGAGAGGTCCTCCTCTGCTGCGTGCATCAGCTATGAGCGGTGCAAGGCGACGCACCGCTGCGCGCGAGGCGACGAGGACTACGAGATCAAAGCTGCGGAGCTCAGGAGCTTCGCGAGGCAGTTCGCGGGCGGCGAGCGACAGCAGATCGCGCTCGTGAACGACTTTGAGGACTGGAAGTCGGGCACCCACCACTGGCGATTCCAGAGCGGTCGGAACGCCAGCAACAGCAGAAGCGACTACGCGGACGCGATGCTGGAGCCCACAGAGTGGATGGGCTTCGACTCCTTCAGCTTCCCCGTGATCGGGTCGCTGGAGCTGGCGTCGGGCTATTTGGTGTTCGACACGGACCGCGCCAAGCTCTGGGGCGACGTTCAACTCGATGGGGTCGTGACGACCACCAGACTCGGAGGCACTTCGGTCGCAGTCTTTAACTTCATGACTGTGTACCTCGGAGCGGACGTCCGCGTGCGGTTCCAAGGCAGTCGAGCGTTGGCGATCCTCAGTCGCAGCAGCTTCATTGTGGACACGGAGCTGCGCGTTCGACCGGGCACGCTCGGAGGCTTCCCAGGGGGCGGCTTCATCGGCTCCGGCACGAGTTTCTCAGGGGTGAACAACAACCAGAACGGACCGGGCAGTGCGAGCGTCCGCGTGTATGTGAAGTCGCTGTCGACGTGGGGCAAACACGTGCCGGAAGTGCAGGAGATCGAGACGTCGGCGGCGGCGGGGCAGAAGCTGCAGGGCCACTTCGTGTTGCGATATCCAAGTGCTGGCAGTAAGGGGCTGACCTCAGAGACCATCGCGTACGACGCCAGCGCCCTGGATGTGAGACGCAGACTGGAAACCGCGTTCCCGGACATCGGAGAGCTGAATGTCGAGCGAGATGACGCTCTCGAACAGGTGCCGGAGATCGGGCGACTGTGGCGCGTGACGTTTTTGACTGCAGTGGGGAACGTGCCGCAGCTCCAGGCGCAGAGTTTCCTCTCTGGCCTCGAGTCGAAGGTGGTCACGCGCACAATCGTGGACGGCAATGAGTTGTCGGGGTCTTTCCAGTTGGGGTTTCTGGGGAGAACCACTCGGTGGGTTGACCACGACGTCGCGGCGGATGAATTTCGGTCCGCTCTACTCGAGGACTTCCCGGCTCTGATTGACGCTCGCGTAACACGCACCGACGCTAAAGATTTATGCGCGCAGGGCTCCACACTGGCGGACCAAACGGCGAGTTCGTCTATTGCTGCGGTTGATTCAACTGTCGATCAAGGACTCTATCGGTCTTCGGAGTGGCAGGTGCCTGAAGACGACCTGGTTGAAGTCGCGGACAGTACCAAGGGCTTCCCTGCCAAACGCTGTCGAGCAGGGCGTGGGGCGGCGGGGGGGTTTGTGTGGAAGATGCAGTTCTGGACGCGGGAGGGGAACGTCGTGCCCATGACCCCGACGTCAAGCAGCATCAGGGATGTCACGCCGCCTGCAGCTTTGACCGTCGACTATTCAAGACTCGAGGGAATCCAAGCTGTCGCTGAGATCGTTGATTCGCAGTGCTTCTCGTTGGCTTTTGGCGGTGCTGGGGCGTCGTTTACAGGCCCAGGAGGAGCTGGATACGTTGATTCTTCTCTCTTGGTAGCGCCAGCGTATGCAGACGAGCGAGTGACCGACCTGTCGGGCGGAAGTGGCGGTGCTGGAGGTGGACGGGAGCCGTTCGACGTGTTTCCAGTAGTGCAGCCCACCCAGGGCGGTGCTGGAGCTGGAGCAATATTCCTATCGGCGATCAACGACGTCCTCATCGGCCCTAACGCCACAATCTCTGCGAACGGGGGGAACGGGAGCTCCGCGTATACCCCAGGAGGGGGCGGCTCGGGTGGCACAGTGCTGATAGTGAGTGGAGCTACGGTCTCTCACCACGGAGCTCTGGAAGCTATTGGCGGACATGGAGGACATGAACTCATCGCTGGGGGCGTTGGCGGAGGAGGGGGAGGCAGTGGTGGACGGATCGCCATCTACGCGCAGAGTTATTCGTCCTGGGGAGAAGGGAGTCTGCAAGTGAGTGGTGGGGCCTCGCCCGACAGCTCACGGAGCGGAGGGCGTGGGTCCGTCTACATTAAAGTCCGTACCGAGCTGGCCATGCGCGTAGACACCTCGATGGGCGCTGCTGGTACGGCCAAGTCGCTCCTTGTGCATGGCAGCGAGCGATACGCCAGTGGATCGTCGTATTTATCGTCGGAAGCGCGCCAAGTTTCTCGCAATGGGCCTCGGCTCAAGCTGGCAAAGCCCAGTCAGCCCACGCGCATCTCGTACTTCGTGCGGGTGGGAAACCTCGAGCGTGGTTCGTTAGCCACAAACCGAGGCGCCATCTTCGGAATCCTCAGAAATGCCTCAGCTCAAGTGAATGACGAGATCATGATCGCAATCGCGATCGTGGACGGCAGCTTCATGCACGAGGCCAACACGTACCAATGGCCTCGACGCGTTTTCCAGGACAAGGTTCAAACGGATCGTTGGTACAAACTGGACGTGACTTTGGACTGGCAGACGCACACGTACTCGATCCGCCTCAACGACGTGTTGAAGGTGAACGCAGCGGCATTCCAGGGCGAGAGCGTAGCGGCCTTGAGTCTCAGCAACTTCCACGCCATGTCGACGTGGTGGGACGAACTTTACGTGGGGAACGACTATCTCCTGGGCTTCACCTGTCCGTGGATCCGACAAGTGGCCGACACGGCCGCTGCAGACGCTGCGGGGGTGAATGACGGCGCAGTTCTCACGACCAAGCGAGCATGGCGCAAATTATGGGCAGCGAGCTACCAAACCCCGTCGACCACGACGTACCACCCGATGGTTCACCACGAAAGCCACTTGTCGAGACAAGAAGTGTACTCGCACGACAACGGTGGCATCATCCCCTTCGACGGAGCTCCGCATCGAGCGTTCTTCAACGATGTTCGAGAGCAGGAGAGCGAGAATCCCGACCAGAGCAGCCACGAGGAGCTACAGGCTGAAACTTTAGCGGGGGATGAGGACGAAGAAGTCATTTCCTACGCCGAATTGTTGACGATCGAGGGCCTCCCGCTCGACAATTCCATCGTGCAGCCTCTGGAGACCGGAATCGACTGGGAAGCGCGAGTTGGCGCAACCAGTACCGATACTGCAACCCCGGACTCCGACGTTCCTCCCCATCCAAGTGTTTACTGGTACTCCGAAGTGTTCAATTCTACTACAGGGAGTGGGGCGATTGGAGCGTGCTCCAGTATCGACTACAACGAGTGGCGGAACGAAGGCGTGATGCTGCACTTCACTAACCTGACGGACCCATTTGGAGACCGACTGGAAGACAGCGGAGGACTGCTGGCAGATCGACCCAAAGTGATCTTTAATCGGGCCACACAGCGCTTCGTCATGTGGATGCACGTCGACAGTGCTGTGTCCTCTACAGCGAACACGATGGGGCTTACGGGCGTGGCCAGCAGCGAGTATCCGAACGGGCCGTTCCAGTTCGTCCACAGCTTGTACCCCGACGCAGCGCCGCTGGAAGCCCCAGGAGGACAGACTGTGAATGAGACGCATGATCAAACTGTGGCCGTGATTCCATCCGCTAGCGGCCAAGACGCAGCGTACATCGTGCGGACGTACTGCAAGACGGTGGAGTATTGGCTGCCTCGCCCCGTCATGGATCCGCTTTGGCAGAGCGTGCAGAAGCTCAGTGACGCAGGAGACGGAGAGACCGTGGCGGACTTTGGACTGAGCTACCATCGAGCGTTCCACCACAAAGGGTACGACGACCCGACGGACATTTATCTGCAGCGCTGGCGCATGGAGGACACGCCCTGGGAAGTGATATGCTGCTCCCTGGTGAACGCGAGCGACTGCGTGTCCGTGACGGAGGTGCCGCAGAAACCAGAGGACGTTTGCCCCGACGGGATGAAGAAGAAGGCGATTTTGGGCCAGGCGCAGACTCAATCGTCCAATTCTTCAGCGTCCGCCATCGTGCAGACCCGCTACAAGGACCCGAACGACGACGCCAACAGCGCCTTTGTGCCTACTGCGTCCGTGCGAGCTTACACGTCGTGGGGATTTCAGGTTCTCAACACCAAAACGTGGCGAGGCAACTACTTCGACGCGCTCAGCACCAACATCACGCTCTTCATCTTCAAGCGGTTCGCCGGGGAACGCCGACGCCGCGAGATCGACCAAGACCCGACTATCCAGTACACGTACCCGAACGAGGAGGAGCTCACTCAGAGCGTGATCCCTGCTAATGACACCGAGATCCTCGACGAACTGCTGGGCACATTGGGCGTGCCTGTGAGTCTGGCCTTCAAGAGCAAGTACTCGTCCTTCGACCTGGCCGAGATCGATCGCGATGGCGACGGGAAGGTCACGTCCTACGAGATCGCGGAGCTGGAGCAGCAGAAGGCGCTGAAGCAGCTCACGGACGAGCTGGTGGACGCTCTGATCGCGGACTTCAACGTCATGAAGTGGAGCCAAGTGGACATTCTGGACGCGGACAGCGACGGCTTGATCACGTTCGACGAGTTCGAGGACTGGCTGGGGCTGGACCCGAATCTGCTCTTCGACCGCTTCGACCTGGACAAGAACGGCTACCTAGACGAGAATGAGCTCGCTCGGTCGCTGTGGTACCGTCAGATGCCGCGGTTGGACGCTGCGATCTTCATCCTGGACCCGTCTTTCGATGGCCGAGTGTACTACGAGCGCTTCCGGTCGTTGATACTGCAGGCCCCCGACTACATCTTCAAGACGTACGACTTCGACAGCTCTGATACTCTGTCGCAGTTCGAGGTCGACCTGATGGTGAAGGATCTGGGCTCCGCCTTGGCACGTCCAGAGGTGCTGAAAGGGCTCAAGAATACTACATCGAACAGCATCACCAAGGCGGACTACGCCGCGTGGTTCAGCGCCACAACGAGCCTCGTGGACGACGCTCGTAACAAGCTGAAGGTGGACAACGCCGTCCACGCCACGGGTCCAGACCGCCTCACTGGCCCATTGCACGTCGTGGAGCGCCGTCGAGCCAAGTACGTGGCCATCAGCGCCCTCACAGACGACTACCTCCACACCCGCGGGTTGCTACGAGAAGTCGAGGGCGACTTTGAAGGAAGAGAGGCGCTGCTCAACTACTTCGCCTTCAGTGAAGACCTCTTTGGGCTTGCGGACTCGGCTGACGGAGCGGTGCTGGGTGACGAGGTGAAGCCCTTCCGGGAGTTCCTGTCCCCCGCGACGCTGCGCGATCGCGCCTCGTACTGGAACGGCCGACACTGGGAAGGTCGGCCTTCCGCTCCAGCGCTGTCCACCTACGGGTCCCAGTGCTTCCAGGTCGCGGGACTGGACGGGTCTGCTCTGGACGAGCAGTCGAGTGGCTGCCTGCCGTGCCGCACGACGTCGCCCTACGCCTCGGACGTGGTGGGCCACTACCAGACCTTCGCTCGGGGCACGCCGCAGTGCCAGCCGCACAAGGAGCTGGACGCGTACATCAAGGAGTTCGACCAGCAAGTGTCCATCCAGCTGCAGTACCAGCAGCAGGCCCAGTTGGGCCCGCAGGGCCTGCAGCAGCACATGTCGCCGTGCTACAACCAGTCGCAGTTCTTCCCGTGCGACGTCCACAAGGTGCTGGACGGCAACGTGGCCGACACGCTCCGCAGCTGGACGGAGCGCCAGAGTCCGCAGAACTTGGCCTGGGAGCAGCACCCGAACAACGTCGGCTCCTCGGTCAAGATCCGCGCCGACGACTTCCGGCTCAAGTCCACGGGGCCGTCCTACATCGAGCGCTTCCCGCTGCGCGAGCGCGAGCCGCTGAACGCCGACGATCCGGTGAACAGCCTCACGGTGTATGAACCCGACGAGCTCGCAGACGTGCTGGGCGGAGGAAGGTGATCACGTAGTAGCTATCAACAATACACTCCGCAGTGTTGGAACTCAGGTGTGCCATGCAAGCTTTTCAAGTCCAAGTGGCTGGGCCACTGTCGGATTGAATTGAAGGTCCATGCAGCGCTTGGAGGGCGCCAAGTGCTGCTGAAGGGCACGGGGCCTTCCTACACTTACTTGCAGCGATCCATGACGTGCGTCGTGCAACATGCAACTTGTAGACGAATGTTGAAGCCATCGATCGGATCGAGTAAAACCTTGCGGTAAGCGTGAATGGCGGAAAATAGACTTGGCTTCAGTATTTAGTATAGCGCGCCGCCAGATGAGATGGGTTGATGGCGCCAGATGTTTGATTCGAATTTCAAACGCCGAGGTTTTTCCCGCGTGTTTCGCTCGACTGACGTCACTTTGCAATCCGCGCTCCGAGCGGCAAGTCAAGCGCCCGACGCAGCCCCAGCAGCCCCCGGCCGCGGCCCAGCCCCCCCAGCGCAGCCATGAGCGACTCCGAAGACGACGTACGTGCTCTCCGCTCGCTCTCCATGCCTCTCTCGCCTCCATCGGCGCTCGAGTTGCCCCAATATCCGTAATTCCTCAGTATCTTAATGAATAATTAAATTATTATGCAGGTGGTGATGCTGACGCCGGCCAAGAAGAAGGCGGCCACGACGCCCCGCAAGAAGAAGACGACGGCCAGTGCTGGCAAGGTGACGGCCAGCGCCAAGAAGACGACGCAGAAGAAGGCCAAGACGCCCTCCAAGAAGAAGAAGAAGGAGAAGGCGGACGCCTGGGACTCGGACGCCTCTGACGACGACGCGTCGGACAGCCCCGCGTACGACGTGGACGCTAGCGAGGACGAGAAGGACAATGCCTTGCCAGAAGACAAGGGCACGCCCAAGCAGAGCATCGAGCAGATCTACCAGAAGAAGACGCAGCTGGAGCACATTCTGCTGCGCCCTGACACGTACGTGGGCTCCATCGAGCACGTGGAGCAGAGCATGTGGGTGTTCGACGACGAGAAGAAGCGCATGGTGAACCGCAAGATTAACTACGTGCCCGGCCTGTACAAGATCTTCGACGAGATCATCGTCAACGCGTGCGACAACAAGCAGCGCGACAAGTCCATGAACACGCTCAAGGTGACGATCGACGTCGAGCAGAACGAGATCTCGGTCTGGAACAACGGCAAGGGCATCCCCATCGTGCTGCACAAGGAGCACAAGGTGTACGTGCCCGAGCTCATCTTCGGCCACCTGCTCACGGGCAGCAACTTCGACGACAAGAAGAAGAAGACGACGGGCGGCCGCAACGGCTACGGCGCCAAGCTGGCCAACATCTTCTCGACCGAGTTCGTGGTCGAGACGGCGGACGCCAGCACCAAGCAGCGCTACAAGCAGGTCTTCGAGAACAACATGGGCAAGAAGAACCCGCCGTCCATCACCAAGTGGGCGCAGAAGGACTTCACGTGCATCTCGTTCAAGCCCGACCTTGAGCGCTTCAAGCTCGACTTCCTCAACGACGACATCGTCGCGCTCTTCAAGAAGCGCGTGTACGACGTGGCCGGCGTCTCGGGCAAGGGGCTCAACGTGTTCCTGAACGGCGAGAAGATCCCCATCAAGTCCTTCCCGCAGTACGTGGCGCTGTACCCAGGCCCGCGCGGCTTCGAAGCCGATACGGAGACCAAGGACGACGATGACTCGCACCCTGAAGAGAATGACGACGATGATGACTACTCCGAGGAGAAGGGAAAGAAGGCCAAGGCCAAGGCCAAGCCGACCAACGTCACCAAGAACGGCGTCATCTTTGAGAAGCCCGACGAGCGCTGGCAGGTCGGCGTGGGCCAGAGCGAGGACGGATTCCAGCAGGTCAGCTTCGTCAACGGCATCTGCACCACCAAGGGCGGCCAGCACGTGTCTTACATCGTGGACCAGGTCACGACCAAGCTCGTGAACGTGCTCAAGAAGAAGAACAAGGGCGAGGCCGTCAAGCCCAACTACATCAAGAACCACATGTTCGTGTACGTGAGCGCGCTGATCGACAACCCGGCGTTCGACTCGCAGACCAAAGAGACGCTGACGACACGAGCCAACAGCTTCGGCTCGACCTTCAGCCTGACTGACAAGTTCCTGAAGCAGGTGGAGAAGAGCGGCCTTGTGGAGAAGATCCTCTCGTTCGCTGCGTTCAAGCAAACGGCCGAGCTGCGGCGAAAGGGAGGTGGTGGTGGTAAACGCTCACGGCTCACGGGTATCCCCAAGCTGGACGACGCCAACCACGCTGGTACGGCCAAGAGCAAGGACTGCACTCTAATCCTCACAGAGGGAGATTCCGCCAAGACGGTCGCTGTGGGCGGTCTTGCTGTGGTGGGCAGAGATTACTACGGCGTGTTCCCGCTGCGCGGTAAAATGCTTAACGTTCGCGAAGCCAGCCACTCGCAAATTCTGAAGAACGAGGAGATCCAGAACGTGGTGAAGATCCTCGGGCTCAAGTACGGCCAGAAGTACGAGTCGACCAAGGGACTGCGCTACGGCCACCTGATGATCATGGCAGATCAGGATCACGATGGAAGTCACATCAAGGGTCTGGTGATCAACCTGATCCACCACTTCTGGCCGTCGCTGCTGCTTGTGGACGGCTTCCTGCAGGAGTTCATTACCCCCATCGTCAAGTGCAGCAAGGGCCGGACCAAGGAGGTGTTCTACACGATGCCCGAGTACGAAGCTTGGCGAGAGCGAACCAACCAAGGACGTGGCTGGGTCATCAAGTACTATAAGGGTCTGGGTACGAGTACAGCCGCGGAAACGAAGGAGTACTTCTCAGACCTGCGGACCCACCAAATTGGGTTCACGTACGGAGGTGAAGGAGACGCCGATGTGATTGATATGGCGTTCTCGAAGAAGCGTGTCGAAGACCGCAAGGAATGGCTTCGAGGCTACGAACCTGGCACTTACGTGGATTACGACGTTGATGAAATGGGCTACACAGAGTACGTATTGTCTCGATGACCATAGCAGTGGGTGCTCCTGTCTAACTCTTGTCTTGTGTTGTTGTGCTTGCTGCAGTTTCGTGAACAAGGAGCTCATTCTCTTCTCCATGGCTGATAACATCCGTTCGATCCCCAGCATCGTGGATGGATTCAAACCCTCCCAGCGTAAAGTGCTGTTCTGCTGCTTCAAGCGTAACCTTCGGGTATGTGCTACACCTTAGCTATCGTGCGTCCATGGGATTTTGTGCTAACTCCCCGTGTCTGTAGTCTGAGCTGAAGGTGGCACAACTAGCTGGTTATGTGTCGGAGCACTCTGCATACCACCACGGCGAGGCGAGTCTGCAGGGCTGTATCGTGAACATGGCTCAGGACTTCGTTGGCAGCAACAACGTGCACCTCCTGTCGCCCATTGGTCAGTTCGGTACGCGTTTGATGGGCGGCAAGGATGCGGCCAGCGCTCGTTACATTTTCACCAATTTGGAGCAGCTCACGCGCCGGATCTACGATCCTCTGGACAACGACGTTCTGAAGTACCTGGACGAAGATGGACAGTCGATCGAGCCGGAATGGTACATCCCCGTTATCCCAATGGTGCTGGTCAACGGCAGCGACGGTATCGGAACGGGTTGGTCTAGCTCCGTTCCCAACTACAACCCGCTCGACATCATCAAGGGTCTCCGTCAGATGATCAACGGAGAAGAGGCGTCCCCGCTCACTCCATGGTACCGCGGCTTTACTGGTCACATCGTTGAGAAGACGAACTCGCGCGGAACTGACACCGGCAACTACATCGTTCAGGGTCTGTATGAGGTCACGGACGACAGCACGCTGGTGATCTCCGAGCTTCCTGTGAAGACTTGGACCCAGTCGTACAAGCAATTCTTGGAAGGTCTGCTCGAAACTGGCACTATCAAGGACTTCAAGGAGAACCACACTGATGTCAAGGTGCTGTTCACGATCACGTTGGAGCCGAAGACGCTGAGCGACATCGCCAAGACACAGGGTGGAATCGTCAAGAAGTTCAAGCTTGAGTCGTCTCTGTCTACCTCCAACATGCACCTCTTTGATGCGGCCGGGCACATCAAGAAGTACGAGAACCCCAAGGAAATCATGGAGGAGTTCTATGGTATTCGTCTGGACTACTACGGGCGCCGAAAGGAGGCTATGCTGCAGAAACTACGCGACCAGATTAAGCTTCTGTCCAACAAGGCTCGCTTTGTTCTCTCCGTCGTTGAAGGCAAGCTGGTGGTGAACAACCGTAAGAAGCAGGAACTTCTCGAAGAGCTGATTGCGGAAGGCTACGATCAGATTGCCCCCAAGACGAAGAAGAAGAGCGACAGTGAAGACTCGAACGAATCCGAGGAAGAAGACATTAACGTTGCGGACGCCAGTCGTGGCTACGACTACCTGCTGTCGATGAAGATTTGGAGTCTGACGAAGGAGCGCGTCGACAATCTGCGTGCAGAGCTCCAGGAGCGCGAGCAGGAGTACACTGTCCTGGAAGGTAGGACGGTGCGAGACCTGTGGCTTACTGACTTGGATGCCCTCGAGAAAATGATCACAGAGACGGAAGCTCAGCGCGAGAGGATTCTGTCGCACACCCCGAAGAAGAAAACTCGCGCTGCCCCGAAGTCTGCCACCAAGAAGAGAAAGCGCAAAAACCAAGACGACAGCGACGATGACGATGACGATGACTCGGACTTTGAAGAGACGAAAAAGCCTCGCAAGACTCCGGTCAAGAAGACTCCAGTTAAACGTGCGATCAAGAAGGAAGATGCCGCTGCCAAGACTAACGGTGCTGCCGCGAAGACCAACGGCGCGAAGTCGGGTTCTATTGCGGCTTACTTTAAACCCAAGGAGGAAGAGCCCGCACCTAAGGAAGAGAGTGAAGAAGAGCTCGAGGCGCTTTCTCTGGCTGAGCGGCTTGCACGGAAACTGAAATCAACCCCACAGAAGGTGGTAGCCGCATCCGCCCCAACAGCCAAACGTGCGACGAAGCCTGCCGCAACAATCGACTTGGCAAGCTCCGACGACGAGATGGCTGCTGCGAAGGACGATGAAGATGATGTGTTTGCGATGGAGTCGGACGAACCTGCCGCGAAGCCAAAGGCTGCTCGGAAGGCGACCCCGAAGAAGACGCCGGCGAAGACGAAGGCTGCTGCATCTGCCAAGAAGGCGACCCCAGCGAAGAAGGCGACTCCGGCAAAGAAGGCGGCGTCGACCAAGAAGAAGGCCAAGAAGTCGCCGCTCGAGGAGGACAGCGAGGAGGACAGTGATGGTGAAATGGATCCTTCGCCCATTGCACCTCGCCCGAAGCGCGAGCTGCGCACGCAGAAGCGTATCGTGTACGACGAAATCTCGAGTGACGAGGACGACGATGACAACGGCGGCGAGGAAGAGGAAAGCTTCGCGATCGATGAGGATGCTGACGACGACAGTGATTTCGACTAAAATGTGTGGAGTAAAAGTGCCTGCGGCGAAGCAGGACGACGATGAAAAAGGGAATTCAACGACGGACCAAGGTGCACGGTGAACGGCTAGGGAAGCTTCGTGCCAGCTCGTAATTCATTCAATTTAACGCTTTCATTTGTAGGTCCATCACCCGGAGCTGGTTCCCTCGTTTTGTGCTTTCCAGATCTTGCGGAGTCTCAGGGCGAACTTGTCGAGCTTCTGGTGCCACAGCGTGAACGGGCTCGGATTCAGGTGCACAGCGAGAGCGACCATGGCAGCAGCGAACTCGTCGAACTCGAGCTGGAGCGTGTCGTCGTTGTCGAGAGACATCACAGCCGAGAAGACGTGTTGCGCGTCCTTCAGAGCCACCCTACGCTCTCTCCTGAATGAGTCGTCCGGGAGTTGAAGCAGCTCGAAGTCGGCCAAGAAGGTCTGGAACTCACCAAAGCTCATGGAACTTCGCTTCGTCTTCTCCAGTTGAAAGTCCAAGCCTGGCTCCGGCTGTAGCAACGCAGCGCTGACTTCTGCAGGTGAGTTCTCCGTTGGAGGGTCCTTGATTCCGGTCATCTGACCTCCGTTTTCCTGTATCTCGCGTATCAGAGCCTGCTCTTCCAGTGCTGCAAGCTCGTCGGCTGCGACCTCGTCCTGCTTCGCGTAGTAGAAGAAAACTGTTCGCAGGAACGAGCGATGTTCCAGAAGCGCGCGGCCGACAAGGGGACAGCTGAGTTTCGCGGCGAAGTTCCGCTCGACCAGTGCGCTGTCGTTCCCGTAGCTGCTGAAGGCACGCGGAGCAAGAATCTCTCGACAAAACTGCGCCATGATTCGTGCTGGTCGGTCGGCGAGCTCCGCAGCTTCGAGCAGAGCCTCCTTGTTGTCATCCTGAGAGCCTCGAGATTTCATGATGGTGGTGAGTAGCGCCTTCTCCAGTTTCCGAGCTGCATCAGCGCGGTGCCTTTCAAACGCAATCAGCACGAGCAGTTCGGAGAATTGAGTCTTCTCCACACCGAGCTCCTGATCCAGCGACGCAGTTGTGCTCGACTCGGATCGTTGGAGGGGCTCTGCCACGCTTTCAAAGAGGAGCTGCAGCTTTGGAAGCGGCATATCACGAGGATGTACAAGCTCCAGCTCGTACACCATGGACCTCCACCGATGCAGAGATACCTGAGGAGTGCAGTTGAAGCGTGCCTCCGAGAATCGTTTGAATAGGTGCGCGATGTGAGCTGCGTACAGTGCCAGCACACTCTCAAGTTCCTGCAGTTGACCGGCCACGCTGCTATCCAGTCCAGGAACCTTGTTGCCTTTATCTTTGACGAAGCGCTTGAGATCCATTCGAGATGTATCGTAGAAACACTGGAGAGCGTCCTGCGTCACAAGTAATTGACTGCTGGCTTGACGCTGCAGAGTCCCCGGATTTCCTTCGGCAGGCTGCGACTCACCAGCCTTGTCTTCGATGACAGCAAACTGACCGGAGTATCCTGGCATGGAATCTGCAGTAGCGCGCAGTGCCTGGCTGACAAGGAACACCTCTGTGAAGCACGTTTGGTGAAGACTGGGTGGGCTGTTCTCACTGCTGCGTTTGCCAGCTACGCGCCACGCAAATGCCAGGAACTCCCGAACGCATCGAATGGCTTCACCAACGACGTTGACGGTATCTCGGCTCTCGGAATCACCAACAAGTCGTGCAAGTTCTTCGTCCACGTAGTGCAACAACCGCTGCGTATGGCGCCGGATGAAGACGTTGGGGTCGTTGGTGCACAGAGCGAGACTGTGACGAGCATACACGCGCCACTTGTCACGAATTGCACGGACCATCGAGCTCGGGACCACAACAGAAGGCGCGCGCGACTTGGACGGCATCTTACCGCCTTGAGACCCAGCACCACCTGCAGCCTTTTTCAACGGCACCATACTTTTCACTCTAGCAGCTTGCACGAGCGAATCAACTCGATGCCTCGTGCTGTCGAGCCACCTCAGCTTCTCGAGCATGTCGTACACTTTGTCGAACGTGATGTCAGCAGCAAGACCCCCAGATCTCTTCAGCAGCTCAGCGAACAGCCAGTCTATGTCCATCTGTGCCATATCGCTGTCTTGTGCAATACCCGACTGGAGTAGCAGTTCTCGTAAAACGCTGCGGGATATTCCTCGCAAGTATTTGCTGCCTCCAATCTCCGCAGCGCCGTCGCGGCTCTTTTTTCTCTTCATCTTCGGCTTCGGTTGCTTCTTGTCCTCCTCGCTGGCTTTACGTCGATCTGCCTTGGCGTTCGCAGCCTCCTCCTTGGCCAGTTTCTCGGCTGCGCGACGTTGGAGTTCTTCTTGGTGGTTCAAGTGGATAAACAACGCTCGAAGCTGATCCCGCTGCCACTGCAACTGGAGCTTGTACGTTTCCATGAGTAGAGCGAAGAAGACGTCGGTGGGGATCTTGCGCTCGTCGCCCGTAGGCTGGTAGAACGGACCCAGTCGAGCTGCCAACTCCTCGGAGGAAGGGACGACCGCAAACTTGAGAAGCAGGTTGTTGAAGGTGTCGAGAGTGATCGGCTCCCCCTGGTTGCTCTCGATAACCTCACGCAGCGCTATTCGGGCGGCGACGTGCAGCGGTACAGTTGTCGGTTCATCTTGGCCGGATTCTCCATTATTCGCAGTGGAAAGCTTAGAATCGGCTTTCGGAGACTGCACTGCCGCGAGTTCACCTAGCCGAGTCTTGGGCTTGCGCTTTGGAGAGGACACTGGGGACGTAGCTGCGACTGAGGGAGCGGCGGAGACTAAATTGGTGCTGCTTTGCTTCCTCGGGCTGTTCTTGGCTTTGCCTCGACACTTGCCACTTCCAACTGCTGGAGGTCGACAGAGCACTTTGAAGTGCAAAACTCGGAAGATTGTTCGGGCGAGGAACGTGGCCTTCAGGAAGCAGAGAAACTGCGTTGGAACCTCGTGATGAATGCCAGCTTCACCGCTGATCTCGTAGCCGTTGGGAAGTGGATCGTCGTATGGGATACCGAGCTTCACATCGTCCATAGCCTGGCAGACCCACAAGAAGAAGCAGAGCTCCTGACGTGAAGAGTTCTCTTCCAAAAACTGGCAAAACAGCTCCAAGTTGTAGCTCGCTCCCCGCACGTTATGTACACACCGCACGAATTGTTCAAGTTCACGAGCAGCGTCCAGCTCACGACTACAGCGCTCCAAGAAGAAGTGGAAAATGATCAGAGACAGCGATACCGGCTCCGTCGCTGAACTACCAGCACTCAAATCGACCCCTGATCCCAACGTAGGGTCTCCCCCCACACCTCGCGTACACAAGAGATTTTGAGCCTCCACAGCGAGCAGGAAACGTTGATAGAAGACCCAGATTAATTGGAGACAGCAAGCGATGACTTGTTCGGGGTTGTCTTCAGGTTCACCGCTGTTGGTGCGGCTAACAGTATTGCTTGATACACTTGTAGTGGTAGCAGATCGTGGTCGCCGCTTCTTACCGTTCCCTCTCCGGTCATCCGCCGAGCGTCTAGCGGAGAGAGTTCCCACTGATGGAATTAACGTCGGCACACTCCCTTGTCTTCTCACCTTCGACTCCTCCTTTGCCGTTGCTAGCTGTTTGTCAGTCATCATCAAACCCGCGAGGAACTTGCTGAGACCCACAGGTGGCTGCTGCTCAGGCTTAGCCTCAGTCGGCTTTTTGCGCGTCTTCCGTACATTCGCTGGTGGCGGAGGATTCACAATGCGCGAAAACCAATTCACCGCGGCAACTTGAGAACCTCCCTCTTGTGGTAATCCCATTCCGGTGTTTGTGAAGTTGTACTGGTTGTCTTGAGTTTCAACGGTTAACTCGCTTGTCGGCATGGAAGACTGCTCCTCATCCAAGTCGTTTAGCTGCACAGTACTTGCTGGCACAGTAGAGACCTGCTCATTTGATGGCCTAGCAACAGTAGCACCTTGCCGGGCTGCACCGTAACTACTACTGGCAGTGTTCGCTGTTGCAGTCGTCACTAAGCTTGCAGCTTGTAGCGTTTCTAGCGCTTGCAGCTTGAGCGCCTGGTCTTGCTGAGATTCGCGCAGAGTCAAGTTCTCTCTCTCCAGTACTCGCACGCGTTTCTTCTCACTCTGGAGCTGGTTGCGAAGATGGTCAAGCTCGCTGTCATGGAACAACGCACTTGAGATCTCAGCAACGCGAGCCTTCTGTACGTCGCGTTCGTGATGACTCAGCCGAATCTCTTGCTTCGCCATTTCTAAAAGCCGCGAAAGCTCTTGACACTGCTGCTTCAGTGCACTGCTCTCTCCGTCGTTTGCATCCGTGCTGGCGTCGGGGATCTCAGGGAACGCGAGAGCTGAAATCGCTGCATCATCCTGATCTTCCAGTTCCGGGTGCATGTCCCCAGAAGACCCGACAGCAAACGAGTCTACGCCACTTACATTATTTTGCTCGTGGAAGTCTCGCAGGTCCCGCATTTCGCTTTGAAGCTGGTCGTACTTCGACGCCGCCGCGGCAAGTTCGTCTTCGAGCTCCTTGAGACGCTGACGAAGCCCATCAACCTCGCAAACGAACACAGAGCGAGAGAACTCGTAGAGTTTGCCGATTCGCTCGTTGATCTCCAGGAGGAACTCCATCGCGTACTGCGCCTCCTTCCCGGCAATCTTCACAGCAACAGCACGCGCTTCCTCGACGCCAGGACTGTTGTTGTTGTTGCTGCCCATTTGGTCTTCAGCTTTGTCGAAGATGACTGAGATCGCCTGCTTCAACGCAAACTGGAAAAGTTTCACCAGATCACGCGTAGCTCCCCGGACAATCGCCTCCGTGTGCTTCTGCTCCTGCGCGTGGTCGCCGATGGACACCATCAGATTGTCGATTGAGCAGCAGACACGCAGCATTCGGCTATTCTCCCGCTCGCTCTGGCGAAAAAGCTGCTCCGCTTCATCGTCTTCGTCACTCGACCAGCCGGAGCTCAGACTAGCGCAGCTTAGACTGCTCTGCAACGGACGCAATAAGTCTTGGAATGTACCAGCGTTGACGCTCGTAGGTTCCGGATCTTGCGGTGAAGCTGTTGGTGCTTCGGTGACTTGTTCTGCTGGCTTCTCAATGTCTTTCGGTGCTTGGAGTTGCTGGAGCTGGTTAGATCGACGTGAGTACTGGAGCGCAGCAGCAGCTGCAACGGAGAAGCGCCTGGAGCCCATTGATGTAGTCGACAGACTCGGCCTCGGGACTTTAGGAGTTGGCGATGGACTCCGACCGCCTACAGCCAACGAGCGCGATGACCCCGACGCCGACCCCAACGCAAACTGGCTTCGCAGCCGATTCACGTGCTGCCGCAGCTTCTGAGGGAGCTTGGGTGTGCCCAGTCCTTTCGTCGTCGGGGCCAAAGCTTCGGTAGTGATGGCGTAGCGTCCGTTCTTGGACTTGGCTGATGCTTCGGACCCACTGGGATCCGACAACGACAAACGTGACGCCGAGTTCTTGTTCATCCGCAGCAGCATCGAAGACACGTTGGTAGCTGACAGCCGTGGTTCCGGCGAGCGTGACGCAGTGCCGGGAGCTTCAAGTCCGCTTGGTACCAGCAGGTTGGTTGGGCGAGACGAGACTCGGTACTTCGCTGAAGACGTGGATCCGCTGCGGGTGCTGCCTTCCGCCGTCTTGGTCGCTGCGGATGCTCCGCCCTCCGCAGCGGACGCGGCATTGAAGAACTCGGGGTCCTTGGGCATACTTGGCTATCGACACGATCGTTCGGAGGAGGGCGATGGAGATCGTCACGGCGCACATCGCCTTAGCCTCTTTCTGCTCAGCGTCTTGTGAGGCGTCTGGTCATTCTAGTAACGGCTACCTATCCTTGCCGCACGAAGATCACAAAGTGAGCACCATACCATGATCACAAGGTCAACACCACAAGAGCAGAATGAAATTGGCAATAGACGATAGATTGATTACTTGACCTCACTGTCGACAATTCCACGCACAGATCGAGTTACAATCAGAAAGCACCATCACAACACATACCTAGGCCATGTAGAGCTGCGGGAAGCGCGCCGGGGTCTCTCCTTCCGCCAACGTCGCCTTGTCGGGCTCGTTCATGGCCAAGCGCTGCCACCTGCATCGGCCGGCGTTGGCCTTGCTCTCCTTCGTCACGAAAGCCGAGTCATCCGACAGTGCAAGTAGGTCCGAGGTGCATACGCGTCTAGCCCCTACAGTCGCATTCAGAGCATCGGACAATGCAGCTCGAACAGCGTTGACTGTCGCCAGCACCTCCACCTTCAGGGCCATCTTGCGCGGGAATACTGCGTCCTGCGCCCCCACCTTGACGAGAAGAATCTCTCCAGCAGCAGCATCCATGTGGAGCTGAATGTTCGCGTGGCGAGGAGCGGTGACCAGCAGCATGATCGGGTAGTAGCACACGCTGTTCGGAGGCAGCAGCGTGCAGTTGGTGCACCACATCCTGGTCTCGTCTCCGGTGAACAGGCGATCTGCGTACACCGCCAAGAGCTTCGGTTCCTTGCCCTTTTTCGTTTTCGTCTTGAGTGGGCGAATCGGTAGCGAAAACAAGCTGCGGTTGCCGGTTGATGCCTTGACGTTATCCCTCTGCTGTTGCCACGTCAGGTCGCACGAGTTACTGCCGGACACTCGGAACTTGAACGCGAGCTCGCGTTCCTCAGGATTGGGGCGCATGCCCAGATTCACCGGGAACTTCTCGCCGCGAATGTAGTAAACCAACGATAAGGGGAAGCTCATCCTTGAGACGGCGTCCTTCGAAATCTCACTGAACGAGTTCTCTTCGTCTTCGCTCTCCTGGTTCCGAGGCGTGCTGTACGAGTAAATGGACACGATGTTGTGCTCGTGAGCAAGAGCTGCGAGCTCGTCCAGTGGGTTCGCGCTGCTAGCGAGCTGGTTGAACAGTGTGGCTTTGTCCCTGTTCGACAGCGACAAGAACATCCCGGCATCTTCCCTGTCCACCTTCAGATCCACGCGATCAGTGCCGTCAAGGTCATCGTCCGCGAAGTTGGGCGGCTTGGACCGTGTGCTTCCGATCAGGTGCTCGCCGTAGTTCTGCACGATTAAGAAGCGCAGAATGCGGACTTCATCTCGCTTTCCAGTCACAGTATCGCGCGCGAACTGAAGAAGCTGCTTGTCCATCCGCTGCGAGCTCGCGTAGCCGTCCAGCTTCGACAACATGATCACCGTCTTGGCGTCCAAGAGTTGGTTGAATTCGCCCGTTTTGTTCTTCGACAGTGAAATCAATCGCGCACAGAGATCCGAGATCAAGAAGTTCAGCGTCTGGTACCGGCGAGCTGAGATCGACATCTTGTGGAACACGCCATTCAAGTTGCGCTTCACGTTCACAGACTGCTCGCTCATCGTCTTCATGTAGAACAGCCAAATCGACAGCGGCTCACTCCACATGCCATCATCCAACTTCAGTTTAGCCTTGAGGTTCTTCTTCATCTCCTTCAGATACGTCTGCGCCGACTGCGCGTGGTAGAACGAGGGCATCACAAACAAGTCCGGCACGGCAAGGATTGCCACCAGCACAACGACGTTCAGCAGCAGCGGCCACGACTCGCCCTTGCTGGTGTTGTCTTGAACCATGTAGGCACCCGTCATTAACAGCCGGCACAGCTCAAGGCTGAGCGGCAACTGACAGACGAACGACCCGAACTTCGTCAGGCGACAATCCTCTTCCTCCCCCGAGTCAATGGCATCGAAAGACGACAGCAGCTTGTACGCTCCGTCGATGTGCGAGAGATCCGGGGCATCCATGGCTTGGCGGAGAAGCGCGCTGGGAACTCCAAACTGGTTCAACCGCCCCTTCAGCTGCAGGACGATTCGATCAAGTGGTTTTCGCAGCAGTTCCGGCGTGTTGTACTCAGCCATACAGCGGTCGCGGAATGCGTCGGTGAACAAATGGAACGCTGTACCAGGCATAACTCGTCCAGCTCGTCCAGAACGTTGGAGAGCTGAGGCACGCGAGCACCATGTGTCGACGAGAACCTCAGCGTGTGAGCTGCCCGCATTGGGCATCTCGATCTGCTTCTCGATGGCACAATTGATCACATGAGTCACATCCGGAATGGTGACACTGCTCTCGGCAATGTTCGTGGACAGAATAATCTTCGTCGACCTCTCACCCAGCAATTTGAATGCTTCCTGCTGATGCTCCAGCTCGATACCGGAGTGAAGCACGAGGACTTGGACATTCTGGCCTCCCGCTCCCATCGCAAGAAGGCTCAACGTATCGTACAGTGAGTTGATACTGCCGATGCCAGGGAGGAAGATGAGAATGCACTGCGATCCAGTCTGGTAGCGGTGGCTCTCAATGAGCGACCTCACCATTTCCTCGATAACAACCAACTGCTTCTCGTGAATCTTCGAGATCGCCTTCTTTGCCATTTGACTAGTGGCATTTTGGCCAGTTTGCGCAAGAAGTTGATACTGGTCTCTCATGAGCACCATCTCCTTTTGACAACGCTGCCACAAACTTGGGAACCACGAAGAAAGTTCGTCCAGGTACACGTTCTTCACTGGGAACAACTTCGAACCAACGAAGAGAGGCTTCCTGCTGACTAACCGCGTCGAAAGCGCCTTGCCGAGGTATTTAATCAGAATCTGTGCATCCATTGTGGCTGACATGATCACTAAGCGGAGGTGAGGGTGCTCCTTTAGCTGCAACTTCAGCAGCAGCAGCAACAGGTCAACATCCATACTGCGCTCGTGAACTTCATCCAGCATCAAGTGAGTAATCTTGCTCAAAGCCTCCGGATCGTGGATGATACGCTCGACCATGTATCCTGTCGTGACGTAGGTGATCTTGGTCTTGCTGGAAGTCATTTGTTTCTGCCCAATCCTGTAGCCAATGACTTTGCCTACTTGGCCGTCCTCCTCAAACTCGTTCCCTTCGCGCATCTTCGCCACAGTATTGGCAAGCTCGATCGCAGCGATTCGCCGCGGCTGCGTGACGTAGATGTTCACTGAACGCTCGCTAGCAGCCCGGTCTCGAGCCCACGAGTCGTACAAAAACTGAGGCACAGACGTGCTCTTGCCGCAGCCAGTCTCGCCTTGAATAATCGTCAGCTGATTGTCTGCAACGTTCTCCAAAATCTCCTCACGATGAGCAAATACTGGTAGCGTCTTCATCAATCCCTTCAGACTCACAGGCTTTTTCGGCTCAGCCTCGGGAATTGAACCACCTTGGCGGACCGCACTATCAGTGCCTAGCCGTTTGGCGACAGAGGCAGGCATCAACCCCTTTACTGAGCGAGGGCTAAATGCCGGCGCTGAAGCCTGGAGCTTTGTGGGTGGTCCAGGCGGTAGTGGTAGCACAAACCGATTGTCAGACGGCAACGGCGGGGCTGGCGGCAGCGGCGGTGCAACTGGTGCTGGCGGGGAAGGCGCCGAAGTATCACTGGCAGCATTCTGCACCATAGCATTCTCCAGCGCTTTAAGTGCAGCGCTCTTGCTTTCAACGGCAGCACCTGCAAGATCAGCTGGAAGTACGATCAACGCTTTCATGCGCTGCATCGTAGCGCGAACGTACGTGAATTGGGTCCAGAAGAGGTTGCTGTCAGGAATCTCGGCAAAAGCTTTCACCACCGGCTCCACTTCCTTCCGTGTAAACCCGGATGCACTCTTTGCAGGCTTTTTCGACTTTGATTCAGCGTTAGTATCATGCTGCAACATGATGCGGCAAATCTGAACAAACACCTCACCCGAGAAAAGTGTTGCACAGCCAGCGTTCTGAGGCAGCTTGTTTCCCATCACAAGACGCAACTGATGAAGCTGCTTTAGTATCTCCAGATATCCACCCACAGCCGCGTAAACCTCCATAGTCAGCAGCTGCTCATCAAACGATACAGGTTCTGTTGAAGGTGACTTTTGCTTGGAAGAATCCACGGAGAGCGAAACCAATGACGTCAGCAGCAGCAACTCCAACAGGCGATCATCCAGCAAACAAGCATTGGCCAAGTACGTGCGATCTCGTTTCCACAAGACCAGCAAAGCATACACAATATTCTTCACTGCAAGCCCTCGCTTGTCTGTCTTGCCCAGCATACCAGCTAGCTGTCCTGCCTTGGGGGTTCCTCCATCGGGATCTTGGTACAGCAACACAAACACCAAAGATCGAAGCATCCGGTCTACCGCCCTAGCAGAGCGTCCTTGCACTGGAATTGACATGAAGGGACGAAGACATGGCAAGGGCGCAACGTGAACTTCGACTGCTTTGTCCAATATGCACTCTTGCACCACTGGCGAGTCCAGCACCAAGTAGGACAAGCGTCGCACCGGCGCTTGCAGTTCATCCAGCGACTTGTCTTCATGGCCAGGGACCGACTTCAACGGGTCAAACCTCTGACTCAACCCCCGAACTTTCGCTTCCAACACATCAATCGACACGGGCGGGTACTCGTACTGCTCGATCAGCTTCTTGTAGAGCTTCACCTTCTTGTTGGGCAGGATCGGCTCGATCTTCATCGGGAATCTCTTCAAGAAAGCTTTACCATGTCCATAGAATCGATAAATCTCGAACAACGCGCGCAAGAAGCCCTCCTTCTTCTCCTCAATCTGCGTCAGGAAAGGGTTCTCGAGCGTCGGCAAGTGCTCCGCCACCCACCTGGCTGCAGCCGCGGGGTACAGCGAGCTGCCGGCCTGTGTCCTCTGCACAGGGAAGTCCAGCATGTCTGCCATACCATATTCGTTGTCCAGCAGCGACGTGAAGTCGTTGCCGCAGATGAGCGCTAGGTCCACGAGCTGCTCCACTTCAAGGCCAAGAGACTCGGCCACCAGCTCCGACGAAAAAACCCTCGCGCGTACCTTGGCCCCCCCTTCTTCGTCCTCATAGAAGCTCAACTTTCCAAAGGGAATGTACTTGACGCCGCTCATGACCAGAAAGTCCGAGTCCTCGGCCAGCACGGCGTAGGCCTGGCCCGCTCTCACGAGCTCGCCCAGCTCCTCGTCCGCCTCGCGCCTGGCCGTCTGGATGCCGATCCCATGCTTCTTGAGCACGCCGCGCAGCTTCTCCCTGGCGAACGGGAAGCGGCCGTTGGTCTGCAGCAGCGTCTTGGCCACGCGGTCCTTCTGGTGCGGGCTGGCGCTGGGGCTCGACTCCCTCGAGTCCGTCGAAGCTGGAGCTGGAGCTGCAGTCCCGGGAGTGCCAGAAGTTGCAGCCTCCTGGGCACCAACGATTGTCGTCTCGAGGCTGCGGCCGAGCTGCTCGATCTGCGCCCTCTTCTGCTGCGCGCGGTCCTGCAGGCAGTGGCCCTTGCGGTGGCTCTCGCCGCCGAAGCACTGCGGCGGGTCCGTCACGAACACGAGGCGCACGTTGCGCGCGCGCAGCCTGCGCAGCCACGCGTCCACGTGGCGCTCCAGACGCAGCGGGCAGCCGCCCAGCAGCAGCCACGAGGCCGACGCGCCGCTCGCGCGGAACAGCTCGTCGCACAGGTGGAAGAGGAAGCCCACGAAGTCCACGGCCAGCGTCACGTCGCGCAGGTCCGACACGTCCTCGGACGTGGCCGCCTCGTGCTGCTGGCAGTAGCGCGTGAGTCCGCGGACGCCCATGGCCGAGCCGGGAAGCCGAGACACAGAGAGAGAGAGGACGGCGCCGAGTGCGCACTGGTGGTCGGAGGTCGGAAAATGGATCGAACAGTGTATGCGACGTGTGGCGCACATCACATCAGACGACCTTCACTCACTTAGAAATAGTATGATTGTGCCCCAAGAATTTGAGTGGGGTAGTGCCCCATCCTCTTTTAGTGCCCCACCCCCTTAAGCTTTACTTGTACTGTATCTGTAGGTTTGAGTTTTAGGCAATAATAAAATGTTTTCTATAATTTTCAAGTTATGATTACTTGAATTTTGTAAACCAAAGTGAACTCTTTATGTGAAACTCATCCAGTAAAGATGATTTTTAGCGTTAGTTAGACGGCCTGTTAGGAAAGGGGTACTAATTGAGGGGGCACTTTACTTTGAACTACATGTACAGTGTACATTTTCGACGAAAGGTGTACATTTTACACCTTTCGCCGAAAATGACGCTCTCTCCGCGGCAGTTCCTCATGCCTGGCTTCGTGGACGTGCACGAGCACGAGCAAAACGCGGAGGTTCGTAACTTTGCAGAGGGTTTCGTGAAACGAAAGGTGATGCATGAAGCTGCAACGTTGTCATCTTGCCCTGTTTCGAAATCGATCGGCACAATCACCAGGTCATGGTCATGCTAAAAGTACTGAAAGTAAGCGTTTTGGTTTTGTAGTTTGCTTCGCATTTTTGTTAAGCGTGCATCGATCTGTGCAAGGCTTTGAAAGGGGTCTGCTAAGTAACTAAGTTGCCTCGCCTTCCCTTTCACGGCAATACTGGAAGTCGCGCGCCGTCGAGAAGAAGAATACTAACCAGGACGAGGCTTTTCAAGCTCGGCGAGCCTCTTACGACTGGCAGACGATTGCTGCTGTAGCCGCCACAAGCAGCCCCAGCAAGCCGGGACCCGATGACGTCCACGCTCCGTTCGCGGTCGTGGCGACCGCCGCCCCCGACGACGACTTCGACGTGTCCGCCGATTTCGACGTGTCTGTGGAAGCCGACGTAGCCGTGGATGTCGACGTGCCTGAGGAGGACGCCGAGGTGTCCGTTGACGTCGACGTCGACGTTGAAGTGGCCGTCGATGTTGTGTCGCTAGTCGAGACCTCGCAGTTTGGTACGGTCGTCCCGTCCGAGTATTGGAAGACCGTCACGTCTTCCACCGTCGTGATGGACAAGGAGGGTTTAGCCCCATCGCACGACACATAGTCGGAGTTAATCCGTGGTCGTTGTAACAACACGAGTGCTCGGTGTCACTGGCTTGAGCCTCGCGCGGGATGAGCATCCCAACGAGAACGAGCGCTACCATTGTGGTCTTCATGGTCGTTGAGGGAGGGGTGCGAGTAGTGGCGGGGAAAGTGCTGCACTGGGGGCAAATTGAGGAATGCCGCAATGAGAAATGCAAGGACACGAGTAGGGAGGCCCGCTTGTGGGCGGTGGAGCTGCTGTTTCGCTTATCGCTTTGCACCTTCGCACACCATCTTGCTCGCTGAAACGGGTCAACCGTAGGTCTCCGGTAAACGACGTCGACGTTGGCAGGCTTGACACGAGCGGGTTGGTTCACACTTTGAAACCATTAAAACCATTGGTTCGAAGCTTGTCCGTTTCCTTTGACATGTGAGCAATTTCCTAATACAAGCCGTTATATAACCGTAATATTGTAGGTATTCTGCTCTCGAAATTGGGAAATGTTTGATTAGGAAATGTTTGATTAGGAAATGTTTGATTTTGGAAAAAAAGAATACATACAGTAAAATCGACCACAAATTTGGTCCTTGTCTAAAACTTGAACCCATCTCTTCGTACCCGCGATGAACGTGCTGTATCGTTACAGATATATTTAGATTTGATCGTTGTCCAAATTGACACAAACGTGTACGTATCATTACAAGTTTTGTCGCATTGAACTACACCTTTCGTCGAAAATGACGACACCTGCTGGACGGATCCAGTATGTACGCGGGTGCGTGGTGCACGCCCCGCAGCGCGGCTCCGTCGAGCTGTTCGAGGACGCCTTCCTCTCGATCGACCGCGAGTCCGGCCGCATCACTTGTTTCCACTCGCAGACGCAGGCGGAAGACCTCCTGCTGCTGTCCTCCTGCGCGCCCTCCGACGTGCTGCAGCTCTCTCCGCGGCAGTTCCTCATGCCTGGCTTCGTGGACACGCACGTGCACGCGCCGCAGTTCGTCTTCATGGGGACGGCCACGGACGAGCCGCTCATGCGCTGGCTGGACAAGTACACGTTCCCCGTGGAGCAGAGCTTCGAGGACGAGAGCTTCGCCTCGCGCTGGTACGCCCGCCTGCTGGACAGGATGCTGCGCGAGGGCATCACCACGGCCCAGTACTTCGCCACCATCCACGTCCAGGCCACCAAGATCCTGGCGGACCTGGCGGAGACCCGCGGCCAGCGCGCGCTCATTGGCCTCGTGTCTATGGACCGGAACGCGCCCGACTCGTACGTGTCGCCGAGTCTGGACCAATGTCTGGAGGACGCCGAGGAGTTCGTCAAGTACGCGCTGGCCAAGCGCAACGAGCTGGTGAGGCCCGTGGTGACCCCGCGGTTCGTGCCGACGTGCTCGCTGCAGCTGCTGAAGGGGCTGGGAGCGCTGGCGGCCAAGTACGACGTCCACGTGCAGTCGCACATCGCCGAGGCCCTGGACGAAGAGGCCTTCGTGGAGTCGCTGCACCCTGGTCGGCGTGACACGGAGCTGTTCGAGGAGGCGGGGCTGCTGACGGAGAAGAGCTGCATGGCCCATGCCGTGCACCTGAAGGAGAAGGAGCTCGAGGTCATGCGCCGCACGGGGACGTCCATCGCGTGCTGCCCGCTGTCCAACTTCTTCTTCGCCAACGGGCTGCTGGACGTGAGGAAGGTGCTGAACAAGGACGTGGATGTCGGCCTGGGCACGGACATCGCCGGAGGGTACTCGCCCAGCATGCTGCGCGCCATCCAGACGTGCGTGTTGGGCGTCAAGGCGCTGGAGATGCGAGACGGCACGTCCGGAGCTCCACCGCAGCCGTTTGACTTCAAGGACGCATTTTGGTTGGCGACGATGGGAGGAGCGAAGGCGCTGCGCCTGGAGAACGACACGGGCAGCTTTGCAGTTGGGAAGTGCTTCGACGCGATTCTTGTGGATGTGGACCGCGGCAGTAATTTGGTGGTGTCGGACCGTGATACGCCCATGGACGTCTTCCAAAAGGCTATTCACAACGGAGACGACCGCAATTTTGCAAAGGTTTTCGTGAAAGGCAAGGTGGTGCACGAAGCTACAGCATAGTCATCTATCTGGCAGACAAGATCAAGTGGTGTAGCAAACTTAAATGGCCAAGACAGTCTCGTAACTCGCATTACTCGACGCTTTACCTGCCATTCACCTACTTCGACGCAACACATGAAGAAAAAAAACTAGCGGCTTGTTGGCAACACGCCCTGGAATTCTGCTCGGCATCAAGCAGAAATCTCGCGGCGGCACGACGGGCAGCGAGCAAGCTCGCCATCTTGCTCAGCGTTGCGAACCAGCACGTCCAAGCACGCCTTGTGGAGCTCGTGGCCACACGCCCCCAGCTTCACCGTCTCGCCAGACGCCAAGTCCTGGCCGCAAATGACACAGTTGCGCTCGTGGTCCGGCTTCGTCAGCGCCAAGCCTGCGCGCGTGCTCAGCGAGGCGGAAATGCTGAAGAACGTCGCCTTCAGCTCGTTGCCCGTGAGCACGTGGTGGTAGCTGCCTCCCAGCTTCTCCGCGACGCGCTCCAATATGTTCAGATTGATACTGCCAAAGCCCACAGCAAACGCCTGCAGCCCGTTCTTCTCGTAGCAAGCCCGGATGTGCGTCGCTAGCTGTTCGCCGTGCAGCGGATCACTCGGGTGGCCGTCACTGAAGAACACAATCGCTGGCTTGTACGTGTCGAAGTTCACTCTCGACAGCACCTCGTTCGCAGCGCGCAGGCCTGCAGCGTACGTAGTACCCCCTCCACGGTACGGAACGCTCGCGTTCGTCATCGTGGTGATGTTCTGCGCCTCGTACACGATCTGCGCGTAGTTGTCAAAGGTGACGACCGACACCAAGTCCAGCGTTGCTCCGTCCGCGATTCGGTTGTAGACGTACTCCTTCCACGCGGCCATCAGGTCGCTCCAAGGCCGCCCACTCATTGAGCCCGAGCAGTCCAACACGAAGACATGGTGCATCTTGCCACCGCTCGCAACGTGCGAGCACTCGAACTTGTGGCCGCTCACGTACGTGAACCCGTCGAAGCCCGTTCTGGGCTTGGGCTCGGGCTTGTGCCACGCTGGGAGGATGCAGTGCGAGGGCTTTTCGTCGTGGTCGGGAGCGTCGCACTTGTAGCCGCACTTGCCGAACAGCTCCAGCTCCATCTTGGACGTGCACGGGTCCTCCCAGCCCAGCGTCTTCCAGAACTGCTCGTGCAGCACTTCGTCGGTCTCTTTGTCGGGCTTCGGCTCTAGCGCGCGCGTGCAGTGGCGACGCTGATCCGAGCTGCTGCCCGAGTACACGCACTTCTGCTTGCTGCCTTGCTCGCAGTCGAGGTAGTGCACGTGCTCACGGCCCATCTTGGAGCAGTACAAGTTGCACATTTCAGCGATCCCCATCTCGCCAGCCTTGTACTTGCGCTCTTCGATGTCGATCTCCTCGGCGTCCGACAGGAAGTACGTGTTGCGCATGTTGCCGTGCGACGTCGTGTGCGAGCCGAAGTGGCCGTGCTTCTTCTGGCAGAAGTAGCTGCAGCACGGACAGCGAACGTCGCAGTAGTGGATGGTCTCGCCTTCTCCTTCTTCGGCTTCCTCGTCACGCTCGCAGACACACGTATGCGCGCCCTGGTGCATTTGCTGACCAGGAGGCAACAGCTTCGCACACTTCTTGCGAGACCCATTCATCTCCTGGAATGTGAACTGGAACGTGCCTCGAGCGCCCTTGAATGTCTTCGACGACTGCTTGAGGAACACATCGACGCGACAGATGCCTTTCTCCTCGCACAGGGCTTGGCATTCGTGTCCGTTGCCGCACATGTGCACGACCGGAGCTTCCGAGGCTGCATCAAACGTGGTCGCCCCCTTCTCGTCGTCATTTTCCACCGAGAACACAACAGCAACGTCCACTTGGCCGTGGAAATGGTCCATCGCGCCGCAGACTTCATTGCAGCCGTCCATGACGCACTTCTGGATGCATCGCACTTCGACGCACTTGTGCGCGGTGTGAGGCTCTTCGACGTTCAAGACGCACCGACCAGAGCAATTCTGCGCCGAGCACTCTTCACCGCAAGTGTGCGTGGGAACGTCGCACTTGTGAAGGTCCAGGTGGCCGCGCTTCAGCGAGCACTTCTTGCCGCAGTTCGGCGAGTTGGCCATGCAGCAGTCTCGGCCACACGTGTGATCTCCGTCCGCACACTCGCATTTGCCTTCGTGACCAGCTTCTTTGGCGCAGGATGGAGTTTTTCCGAAGTGCTCACTGCTCTCGCAGTATTCGCACCGACCCGCGCACTTGTGGTTGCCCCCGCAGTCGTGTTTGTCTGTCCCCGAGTGGGCCGCGGCTTTCATACAGCCAAAACGGCACTCGTCACACTGACTTTGGCAACGCGTGAGCAGCATCTGGAACCGCCCGAGATATTGCTGCTCCACTGCTTTCCATTCTTCAGAGACTTTGCCTCCGAGCATTTGTTTCGCCCAGAGCGAGATGCGAGCCTTACGACGACGCACGATGAAGGCCAGGAACGCGTCAAACTCGTCCACGATCTCTCGCGACACCTTGCCCCCACGAATGTTCGCGTTTGGCCGAAGGAACAGTCGAAGGAGCTGCTTGATCGCCCCATGGATTTGTTCGAGGATCTCGTCCGTCGTGGAGCTGCAGTCGAATCCGAGATCAATCTCCCAGTCTACCAACGCGTCCAGGTCCACGCTCTCACTGAGGGCCGTCCACTTCTCCGCCAGCGCCGGATACTCAGCGATCATCGTCTCCAGGTCAACGTCAATCACTCTCCCGTTACCCGCCACCACAATGTCTTCTTTCAGGTACTGCGCGATGTCCTCGTTCCTCGACACGTACTCCTGCGGGATAATACAGCCCGTACGCAGAAGACCGGGGAGCTTCGAACTGATCTCGGACAGTTGGAACTGCTTCGCGCCTTCATCCAGCGACGTCCAGTCTAGGATTGCGATCTTAGCGAGCACCAAGCGAATGCAGTTCAGGAACGTCTTTCCGCTGCGGAAGCCTGCAGTGTCCACCCCACACAGAGAATTCTCGATGAAGTTTTGGGCGTGCATCAGCGACTGGTAGTAGCTGATCGTGCCCAAAGGCGGCGAACAGTTGATCTCCAGCTGGCCCTTGTACAAGTCCACCAAGAAGTTGCTGTCCTTGTTGGCGCCTACCAGTTTCTGGAACTTGGCCACAAACTCGTCCATGACCCCCTTCTGATCGTTCGGGTTCACGTCCTTCACGGACATGTACAGCTTGCCACGGAAAAGACTCGGGTCGCCCTTGATCAAGGCCACGCCCTTCTGGAACCGAGCGAACAGATCGTCCACTTCCTTGTCGTACCGCATCTCCATACGGAAAATGGTGAACATCGAGATGGACGCATTGAAAACCGACAGGAAGACGTCCTCCTGCTCCGTGCGTTCAAAAGAGCCCAAGCCTTCAAAGTCCAAGACAACCAGGAGGACATTTCCCGGTAGAATCCGGATCGACATCCACGCTCCGTCGGTACAGCGCGCTCCAGCGATGGCGAAAGAAGACCCCGTTAAGTGGTTCAATAGATAGCTCTTGCCTGTGGACTGCTTCCCCATGGAAGTGATGACAACGCAACGCCCTTGCCACGACTCAAGCAACGGTGACAGAAGCCCGAATCGGATGGAGCGCGCAATGTCCACAGCTTGGACGTCCTGCGACTGCGTGTCCGTGGGCTGCGCCTTGCCGTTAGTCATCACCGTGAGCGAGTTGCCTTCAGTACGGCAGACTTGGATCGGAACAAACGTGATCAGCTCTTGGAGGAACGACCGAAGGGGCTGGACTGTAATTGAGTCCATGGCAGTGTTCGAGTTCTTTAGGAACGTCAAGTCTCGAGCCAAGTCCATGCCACCAAGAGGCTTGTTCAGCTTGCGGAGGTCGCGCATCATGGCTTGGAAAAAGCTGCGGCAGATCTCTTCAGCGGGCTTCGTCAAGGCTGAGCTACACGCCAAGTGCACTCTCAATGTCGCCCGAGTGTCATTTACACTGCGAATCAGCCCACGCACCGGGAACTTCTCGTATGTGTGGTAGAAGGCTCGAAGCCAATGACCCACTTCGGCATCCGATTCATCGGCCTCCGTCTTGCTGCCATTGATTGAATGCTCTTTCGAGTGCTGGATGCGGAACGACTCGCTTCTCACCGTCACCGCCAGACGGTAAACGGAGATTTCCCTCATCTCTTCGTCGACTGCAAACAGCACATCGTCAAAGCATTGAACCAACAAACCCCGCGATGGCAGCAGATTGTATCCCGACTGGATAACAGGAACATCACGAAAGTCCTCGCTGGCGACAGCACACAATATCGAGTCTTGATCATCGTCAGACGATTTTTCCATCACAAAACCTAGCACCATGTTGTCGGCCGTAGCGAACAGCGAACTGTTGGGGGCACGCGACCCCGACGGCAAAATCTGCACCTCCCGTGAAGTTTGCTGGTTCCTCAAGTTCACAGACTGAATCGACCCATTCATGTCGGTTGCGTATAAAGTCCCTTCCACGAGGAGCACATCCGCCACGGGAAGTGTCAACGATGTCCGCAACGACAGTTCAACGCGCTTGTAGATCTCCAGCGACGAAAACGTCTCGTTGAAGCGGTAGATCACCACCCGACCGCCTTCCTCGACGAAAGCTATGACTCGTTCGTGAACGTTGAAGTCACATAGCGACGCCGTCCGACCAAACAAACGATTGAATGTCACGTTCCCGGTAGTCTCAAACAACCAGCGTCGGTTGAGTGGAAAATCGACGCGTTCTACCAGCGTACCTCGCGGGGACGTCGTCACCAAGATCATGCAGTGGTTCTTGATCGTGAACGCCTTGAGGATTTTAGCACCGGGCTCCAAACGATGAGTACCGAGCTCAATCTTGTCGTAAGATCCCTTATCATTCGGCGCCAGCTTGAACACCTTCATCTGGTCCGTGGCGGGTTTCCAGTGCTCCCTCTGTATGTCGCAGTAAACCATCGTATGGCGCGCCCGCGGAGAAACTGTTATCACGAGACCTCCGTCGTGCTCATCTCGCCAAAACCGGAGGAGACCTCGAAAAGCATCCGCCACCAGCTTTTGCCGGTCCGCTGCGCACGATTGGTGTAGCGAGTGTTGAGTTTCTTCATTCCACTTGATGGTCATCACCCTTTCCGCGACGGCGAGCACGGCCTCCACGGCCTCGAACCAGGCTTCACGCGCTTCAGCCAAAGGCTTTGCCATGCATTCACGGAATATGTCCGACATCAGAGACGTGTCGTGCCCAAAAAATCGTTTCCAAGCCCTCCCCCACAACCCGTCACTCTTGTCGGTAACTTGTGTGTCCGAGACAGTAAAGTCGTGCATGAATTTCGCGAGAGACTCGGTCACATCTTCCCCATCGGTGACATTCGCTAAGTTGTCTCGGAACGTGGAAGCGATCGCCTTCAGCTGGTTCTTGAGGCGAAGCGGCAAATTCAGAGTCGCTTGCGTCTTCGAGTCGATCTTGCTCCAAATGGCGCGGTTCGCTTGAACGTCTTGCACGTATTCGTTCAGAGTCACGAAGGCTGGTTCGTCCTTCGCCGCCTTGTACAGCACGTCCAAGTCGAACAGTTTGTCCATGTGGCCAAGCAGCGCGGCGCGGTATTCCTCGATCTGCGCTTGAGCGCGATCGTGCGCCTGTTCCTCGGAGGTTTGGAGGCTGCGGGTCGTCATCTCCTTGACCTTTGTCAGCTCCTCCTCGGGCCATTGCCCCGCTGCCTTCAGTATCTCTCTACAGAAAGAGTCCGAGTCCATTCCGCCGAACTCGACGCGCAGGTTGCGTTCCTTCGACTCCGCCACTACCCAGCTCGCAAACTCCTTGACGCTGCCGAACCGCTGACTCATCTTCTCGGTCTTTTTCATGGCGGGGGCTGGCTCGACAACCGAGAACGCCGGGTAGCTGCCCTTCAGCAGTTGAATCTTCTGGGTAGCGGAGCCTGTCGGTAGCAGGATGCTGGCCAGGCTTTCATAGCTGACGGCGTCCTTCTGCTCCTCCTGCCGCTCGACGTGGAACGCGACGGAGAACGACTTCCAGGCGTCCAAACTGTTGGAGTTCATATCGGCCACCGTCCGCTCTAGCAGCTCCACGTCCTCAGCCGACAGACAGCAGACCATGTCGGGGCTCAGACACGTCAGGAACCGCAGCACGTACGTCGCAGTATCGCGCAGTCGGAACTTCCGGAACCAGCAGTCCTGGATCCACCCGAAGAGGACCAACGAGTGTCCGCCGGCGTCGTCGCCGCGCTTGACACAGTAGATTCCCTGGTCTTCAGCCTTCAAGTTCTTCTCCATGTCTTCGGACCAGCAGCTCAGTCTCTCGAGCTCACACCGCACCGCGTCTTGCTTCCCAAAGAGCGAGACGACCTTGACGCCGCCAGTCTCGCGGTTCTCGTCCCTCCCAAAGACCTCCTTCCGGAGGAAAATGGCAAAGTCGTCGTCGAACTCGCGGGCCTCCAGCATCTCCATCTCAAAGTCCTTGGGGTTGATGGACGACAGCATCCCCAGCGCTTGGCTCAGCCGCATCACCTCCAGCTCTTCGAGCACGGTCTTCAGCACTTCGACATCGTTCTGCACTTCGGGCGCCAAACTCAGCAGCCGGAAGCAGTCCGAGCTGATGAGCTTCTGCGCCGCACCCACGTTGAAGCGCATTTCTTGGTCTTGGCTTGCTCTTCCTCTCGATCCACTTGTTGCCCGCGCGGAATTTCCAAGTGTGAAGATCGAATTTCGAAGTGGGTCGACTTGACGAGGACTTTTCCAAGCGAGAAGAACTGGCGTGCCTTTGAAAAACTGGGACCCGACCAGCACCAGCCACTACTACAGTTGAAAGATTCCAACTACGGGGATCATGAACATGCAAAGGAACGTTGGATTCCTACTGCTTCAGAGATATTTTTTCTACTTACTGCACTGCTTGTTTGTATTTCTCACGCGCTGCCTGTACGCTACATCAACATGCTCTCGTGGTGCATTTGCACTACCGGTAGTAGCATCTCGCCTTCGCTTTGAACACTGACGGCAAGAGGGTCTTCACCATTGGCGCTCGGTCTCTCACCGCCCACGTTCCTCATCGCGTACAGTTGGTCGGTCGCCAATGCGTGGGAAAGTCGCTCGAAAGCCTCTTGGAGTGCAGTCTGCACCGTGGCCTTGAGTTCCTCCTCGTACGGAGCTCGCTCACACACCGCCCACCGAGCTGTGAGGGTTTTCTCCAGGCGATCGAGCACTGCGTCAATCACTGCAAACCAATCGGGGATCATCACAGTGAGCGGCATCGCCAACTTCTCGCGCAGTGGGCCGGGAAGTTCACTCAGATTGGAAGCGGAGACCTCTAGTGGGGCGAACGCCGCGACGCTGGCTACGACAGACAACCCCAGCGGGAGTACGCGCTTCTTCTTCTTCTGGCTCGAGAACGCCGTGTACTGCTCTGCATACAAGGTCAGCAACTGCATCGCCTCAACCGCCGACACTTCGTGGCCGCAGATTGCCAACGCGCTAACTCCTCGGAACAACGGCTCAAGCTTCAGCGGCAGCGTCAATACGGCCCAAAGGCGCTCGTCCGTCTTCGTCAGCAGCCCAAAGAGACCGTCAGTCGCCATGATCTCGTCCAGCAACGCCACGAGCACCGCTCGCACCTCGGATCTCGGCAGCATTGCAGGATGCTTCAAGGGCTGCAGGACGTCGAGCCAAAACAACGCGCTTGTACCGGTTAGCAACTTCCCGCGCAGCTCGTGGATGTAAAGCTGCACTTGTTCTAGGCATTTCTGCTCCGCCTCCTGGTTCAGAGTCTTGAATCGCTCCGCTGCACTCGCGATCTTGGTCTCGGGCCAGCGGTGGAATTTCTTGAGCAGCGCGTCTCGCACGTCCTCGCTCCTCTCGCAAAAACTCAGATTCAACTGCACGGCGCGATGTTTGGCGACGTCAAAGACCCACTCCGCAAATTGGTTTGCGCTTGGGAATCGCGGCAAGAAGTTGCGAGGCATTCGAGGCGAGGGGGTCATCGCCACCGGCATCTTGAATAGATGGAGCGGGGGCTTCATTCTCCAGACTTGCTGCTGCTTGTTCGGCTTGAACCGATTCGTCTCCATGGCGACGTTCCCCTGCTTCTCTGGGGCCCTGTTGGAGTCGGGGGCACCAGCTTTGTTGTGTCTTTTCTTCCTTTTCGAGGCTCGGCTCGATGCCGATCGCTTACGACGCGCCGGCATGAAGAAATGCGGGGAGATGGCAAGGACGTTAGAAGCCAAAACCCATCACAACCCGCTCCTCGTCCCGGACGAGCTCCACACCCTGTATTTCCAACGGGTTGTTGCAATTGCAGTGCTGTGTATTGAATATCTGTATGCGTTGAAGAAAACTACAGAGTCTTGTAGTTTTCTACACCGTGTTGCTATTGCTACTGAGTGCCTTTACTCCCACGTGTCGAACTTGCCAATGGACCCGTCGAGAGTAACGAGCGCCTGGCCGAGCACGAACGCGGTGTCACTCAGCGAGTTCAGCACTCGGTTCACGGGGGTGAGGAAGTCCACCGTCATCTCCAGCTGCACGACGTGGCTGCTAGCGTCGTCCCACTCGAAGCAGAGCGAGCACGGCAGCATCAAGCGCCGCCCCAGCAGCGTCTCGCCCAGCTTCGAGTTGACCAAATGGGGAAAGACGTGCTTCAGAGTGGCCTCAGTGATGGTCACAGTCATGGAGGCCGAAACGGTGACGAGGTTCTTCAGCCTCTCGTCCATGTGCTCCAGCTGGAAGTTGAGGTCCTCGAAGTACGACGAGTACCGGCGCCACTGCTCCATGAGTGCGTGCACGCCCTGCCGCTCGCCTAGAAGGACGTTGGGACACATGGCGGAGCGCAGGAACACTTGTTGGTGCTGCGTCTGCGAGTCTGGCACGTAGTTGCCCAAGCGGACCCCGTGCCGGAAGAGATGGAAGTACTCAACCACCACATTGAAGATGCTCTGCTTGGTGCCGAACAAGATGCGGTCTCGCTGAAGCCCCAGCAAGGGGATTTCTTCGCGGAGTTTGGTCACGGTCTCGTTCAGCAGCTGGACCTTCCGGTCCTGGCGAAGTCGGTAGCGGGCCTGGTTAAGGCGGCACTGCTCGCGACGACGGGCGGTTTGCAGTCGCCCCCGAGCGTTGGGAGTATCGTGGGTGTCGGTTTGAGTGGGGTAGTCCTCGAGCCGTGCGTTGCTGGGAACCGCGAAGTTGTCGCGAGGGTCGGCGTTGTAGCGGAGCGCAACCGGGATGCCCTCCGCTAACAAAGCATTTCCAGGCGACTTCCGCGTTATTGTCGTGCGGAGAGCCGATCGCTCTGGCGGATAGTGATGCGGGGCGGTCGGCGTCGAGGCTGCGCGATGGTAGAACTCGCCACCTTGGCCGACTTGAGTGTCGTCGAGCGGGTCTCGCTGGAATGCGGGCCTCGCGACGGTCGAGGCCCAGGGGGAGTGCCTGGAGACTGGGGCGTGGAAGACGACGGGGTCCATTTGAGAGACGACTTGGGCGCTGGCCGTTGAATTGGGAAATGAACTACTGCTCACGTGGTGAATAATGCGGCCTTCGTCACGTCACGTCACTCACAATCCAGGTTGCGATGTACTAATGCCGAGTATTATCGCGACATCATGTTGTGCAGAGACCAACTTTCGTATTAGATGGTAAGTGGCACGTGGATAACCCGTCAGGCTTACTGGACAAATGGGGCCTGCGCTTGCTGTAAACTCTGCAAGACCACCATAGGGGAATATTATTGAAATCGACCGTGTTTGGAGTTTAATAAGAAAAACTGTATAGGCAGCACGGGGACAGATGTCACGAGCGAGCGCAGCGAGCCGCCTGCGGTTTGACTGTCCGTGTGCGACTGCAAACCCAGGACCCAGCAATGTTCTGCCTGGCAAGCGGAGGCGACGCGTGCGAGCCGCAGCGGGCTTGTTAGGGTTCTGTCCCCGCGAGCGCAGCGAGCATATGGGGTTTTGGGTTGCACGTAGCGCGTAGCATAGTGACAGTTAAAGTGACCCCCTCCCATTGCAGACCCGGTCGATTTCAATAAAATCTGATGCAAACCCGGTCGATTTCAATAATATTCCCACCATAGGCTCGCCTGGCATGCAGTAGTTTGCATAGGACGATTATGCCAGCTGGGCACGCTGGATAGCGACATCGAAGATGCCGGCTTGTATAGCGAGTCGCGCAATCCAAGATGAGCAAGAATAATGACATGTGTTGAACTGTTTGGTGGCACAATCACCCTTGGACACTGACACCCTTTTACCAAGGCGTCATTGCATTTTACGTTTTCGATTGCAGCGGGTTGGAAACTAGCGGCGATACTCAAAAGATTTTTCGAGCACACTTTGCGCACTCGATGGGCGCTGCAGGTTCAGCCTGGGCCGGCACTAATGTTCTCCGCAAACATGTTAGTGATTCTCACAACGCACTAACTGTAGCTGCCTGCAAACGCGCTTGTATGTTTGCTGCTCTATCACTGGCATGTAAAGTTAATGGCTCCTCAAGAGGACTGTTACCCGTTGTCGAATCCAATTTCATGTATGCGCCACGGCGTAGCCAGAAGATCTTCGCATGCAAGTCAGGTGAAAAGAGCTTCAACTCTTCTTTAGTTAAATCCTTCAAGACGAATACTTCTCGTTATGAAGTGTCTAACTCCACAAACAAACATGCATGCCAAATTCACTATACACTAACAAACAGTTTGCAAACGCTAGTGTTGTTAGCTATACAGTTCGCTTTTGAGCGAACACTAGCCGACACCAATCTGGCTACCGTGTCGATTCGTCTTCCCTCATTGGAATGGGTGGATCTACTTCAGAAGGTGATCTTGCATATTTCCGTCAATGCGGCATCGTGGGGGGAGGGGGTAGTTCATTTAGAACCCGAGCCGAGGTTTGCATGGGTCTGCTAAGTAGTAACCCTATGGGATGTTGTAAGTGAGCACCCTGCTATAATAGGTGTAGCGAGTCTCGGGACACCTGCTCGTCGGTGGTCCGCAAGCTCGCTACAGTGCTGCTGCGGGCAAGGTCCGTGGATGCAGAAAGATAATGACACGAACTGGCCACACTCAGCAGCCGGAACCCCGCTAAGAGTCCCTATTTATTCACTTGTTCGTCAATCGCGGCCACTTCAAGTCGGCACTGCAACCTCCCCCTGCTGCTACACTACACGACTCTACAGGTGCGCTCCACGTCACCAGCAAGCCTCCGGTCAATCCGTCTGACTTGTCCTGTCTGTTCGTAGCTCGTCCTGTACTGTCGGCAGTTGCTGCTGCTCTACTGTTCTGTTGTTGCTGTCTGTTGCTGTCTGTGGCTGTTGCTAGTGTTCGCTGCCTGGCAGATTGCCAAGTGAGCCCTCGCCCGCGAACAGCCCGTCGCTAGCCTCGGACGCCCTCAGCCATCGGTTCGCTTGGCTGCTGTGAGCCGCTCGTGCGTTGCTTCGGTGCCCCTCCGCGCAAGATCGCGCCTCGCACTCGCTGTTGGCGATCTTTCCGTCTGTAACCCCCGTCCTTCGCTGCTCGCCTCGTAGTGTGAGCCAGCTGCGCTCGTGTACTCCTTCAGCATGGGCCTGCTGGACACACTCACTGTCACGTACTCGCTACATAGGTGCCGATCACGGGAACTCTGCTCGATCTTGTACGCTGTTGCTACACTTCCTAAATGAACTCTCACAAACTCAGCTGCTCAGACGACTTCGTCCTCGCGTTGAAACGGATGCTATCACCGTCCGAGTATCCATTCACCTGCGCTTCTCTTCACTGCACTCCGTTGCGTCCCGCTTTTCGCCCGAATACCGCCACTTCGATATGCATCGTTGCTTTCGCGTTCATTCCGAATCAAGAGAGTCGCGAGGCCGGCTAACAAACCTGTGTCTCATACGGGGTCGAGAGAGACGCGCTGGTTTATTATACACTCTATCATCCTTGTGTTTGGCGAGGACGAGTTTCGCTTTGTCCTTTGCCACCAAAGTTCAGGATCGACACCACTCATCATGACTAAGCGATGGTTAGCATTTTTCTCTGTGTGAGTTAACATGATTTGGGCAACGTGGCAAAGACCAAGACCAAGACCGCTACAGTGTCCTCGAGGCTGATACAAACGACTCGACAATGACTCGAGTGCACGAAGGCGGCAATGGCAAGACAGCTCACAAACATGTAGGGAAGCAATCAACACCGAGCGGACTGTGCATGCCTGTGAAGAGCGCGTGGGCCACAGCCCGCGACCCAGCCTCGCAGCGGGGCGGGCCCGCTAACACCACTCCACGACGCTGTCCTGTCGCTGGAGTACATCGAGTCAAATCAAGGGGAATCTCGCTCGCTACAGCGTCCCTCCTGCCGCTGAGTCACACGTGGAATCTGCAGGTGCTGCCTGCCTGCCTGCCTGTCGGCCGGTCGGCGGCGGCCGAGCATACGGGTCGCGGCAGCGGGAAGGTTTGCGCATTTAACTTCAGCTTTCCATAGTGAAACCAAGTGAGCGCGCTTCAAGCAAATCTTGGGATCGACGCTTGCCCTGTCGACGGCGCCGTCGTCTACAGTTGCGGCCGGCGGATTTGCCTTCCATCCACCGCCGAAAAAGCCCGCGCCGGCTCCCTCCGGCCTGCAGGCCGAGTGCGTACACGACGTCGTCCAGCGTGCGACGGCGCCGGTGGCCGTGGTGGCGCCGCTGCTGCCGGCGAGCCCGCCGCAGCGGAGCCCGAGCGAGCGAGTGCTGGCCCCGATAAATGAGCTTTCGAACGTGTGATGGGGCGGGGCAGTCTTTCTCTGTCGCGCGGTGAGCAGAGACGGGGGCAGTGACGAGACCCGGGATCGAGCCCGCGAGCCGAACACGGCGATTTCCTCCTGCAGGAAGCTCGGTGCCAGCTGGGCCTGGCGCTCGTCCGGGTTGTCGAGCTGGCTGCTTCAGCTGCCTGCCGCGGCCAGCGTGGAGGTCCTCCACTGGAGGAAGACCAACGGCGTCAAAATGCGTGTAAGCTTAGCCGTAGCGGAGACCGCGGCCGGCCGCCCCGGGACCGCAGTGACGCAGTGAGTCGTCAAGAATTGAGGGATGGAGCTGCGTGCGCCAGCAACTCTGCGTTCGCACGTGCGATCTCGAATACCGTCGGAAGGAGGAGGGGCGAGCTTCTTCTCGCGGACGAGGAGCCTGCAGCTCGGGGGGCGTTGCCGCACACTATGTGATAGTTGTTGTACATGTAGCAGGCCCTGCTACCGAAGCAGTGCTTCGACGGTGGTATCGATCACCCCTTTGGCCCGCACGCGGCGGCCGGAACACTCATACAGGCGAGGGCGTGCTGCGTGATCAAGCGTCCGCCGCCACGCGACTTCCGGTTCGACGGTGTGTTTAGCGCCTTGACTTGATTTGCCAATTCGCCTTCATGCTCCATCGCTGCGCTGTACGATACACGCTACAACCGCGGTAGGCCATCCCCGACGGCACCGGTGGCGACAGCAGGATCGCCCGATGACAGTGCCAAGACCAGCGGTAACTTGCTGATACCGGGCCGCCGGGATGAGCCGACATCCCTACCGACAGCTCGAGCCTGTAATTCGAAACCGCGCTCAGCTCCGTTTCCGAATCGCGGGCTTCGCGCGCAAGTAAGTACGTGGTGCTGGCAGCGCTTCTGCGCGATGACGCATCGCTGCTTCAGCGGGATGCGAGGTCGCGCGGCCGTCATCAGAAAGCAGCCCGTGGTCCCGCGGATAGCACTGCGTCGTCGATCTTGCGGGGCGTCGTCGCTACAGGGGGAACCTTTAACAGGTTAAACTTTAATGATGGTTAATTACACTGGGACGGGGCTACTTTTTAACATGCGTCGCCTACAAGTCGGTTTGTGCAATATTGGGCCAGTGGACGTAGCATTTGGCACACGTAGAGATATGCATCAAAAATAGGTAATTAGCAAGTTTCAACATCAAAGCGCCGGCTACTCGCTTGCAATACGCGAGCATGATTTCAACCCCATGCAGCTTCCTGCTTTGCACAGGTTATTACAATTTTTGTCAATTGTGTTCGTGACTTCCTATCTTCAGCGTTGTTTAACGTTAATCTCCGATTCTCGCTGACACCCGCAGGATCGTGGTGTGCTGGAGCTCATAAACTCATCGTCAGGTACAGGATTTTGCTAGAGAAAGATAGGTCCCGGCTAAAAAGTGCTGATATGTGTCTTTTGATGTACTGTACTGGGTAGTCTGAGTTTGTTGGTGGTGTACAGTCGACATGTGATATTCAATAAAAAGTTTGTCAGCCTGTTCATTAACATCCTCAACAGAGCCTTCACTCACAGCCACGGGTATGTCGTTGATGTCATCACCATCTTTATCCAGTTCTGCTTGCTACTCATTGCTTTTTGAGCGTGGCCTAGTCTAGATACTGTGGCTGAAGACGTGAGGGTGTGTTCCTCAGTTCCGCTGTTTGATTCCGTCGGATTGAGCAATCCGCCAATTGAGAAGCATTCAGCGGATTCCGCTATCCGCTAAACCCGATGAGGAACACGTCCACCGGCATCCGCTACCCTCCAAACCACACTCTGAGATTAAATAAAAACACGTGTATTATGGGATACAATGTATGCAATTAGAGGTTCAGTTGGTTGCCTTACTCTGATCTAAGCTTACGTCAAGTCCTGCGCCAAGCCCTTGGTTGTCAAAAGGCTTCGAGCACTCAGATCGGTGCGGGACTGTAATACTTACAGCCAGCGTCATATCCATACCGTGTTGTGCGCTGTCTTTGCCCTTCACCCTCGTTTGGCGGGGCACTTGCCTTCATCTTATCCTCCTCGTTGTACTTACTGAGTGACTAGGCTCCCTGTAGTAGTCTCCTTGCTTGCTTGCTTTGCCCACGCGTTTACTGGATGCAGCCAGCCTTCCCTGTACGGCAAACTATAAGGGGCTATGGAATCGAAGTGCCAGATCAGCAGTGCATTTTTACAGCATAAAAGCTCAGAACATATCCTTATCGCTAAGCTGATACCATTGCGTGCGTAAAGCGAAATCGTTGACTGCACTTCCTAACGACGAGCAGTCGTCAAGACACCACGTAAGCAGATCAGTTGGCCTCTGCTTTGGCGTAGGATTCTCGATCTTGCTCGTGACTCGTGAGCAGGACTCGCCAATACTCTGAATACAGTTGCTACTTCCAGTGACGTTACGGAATAACTTACTGGTATTGCGATTCAAACAAAGGCATGTCGGTGTGTCCATCGGAGTAGGAAGTTGTGTTATCTCACAACAAACTAACGACTAACTGTCTTTCAGCAGCAGCACAAATTGTGATTCACAATGGGCGAACGCCCCCAAATTTATTGAGGACGAGTCTGTGCGAGCCAACTACTCACTATCCAGCTCCACCGTGTCCGTCAACTTTAAACCGTCTGTGGCTACATCTACTGGTGCCTACGGCGCACGACGCGGGATCTTGAAACAGCGAGATGCCTCCGATGCGAGGACAAGCCTCAACGACTAAAGATAACGCAGATCCCTTCACGCTACATTTGCGGATGGTGCCTAAACGCATCTAAACGTAAAAGGCTGTATTTAATAGTGTAGGAGGTGCATGTAGAAGTTTAGTAGTTGGTCGCTTGTTAAGAGGCCTGCGGTACTTGAGATCGCCGTCATCCTACTTGCTGTCGGCGTAGTCCATGTCCGCCATGTGCTCGTCGTTGTTGTTTCGCGGCGTGCTCCCCTTGGTCTCATCGTTCTCGTCGTCCTCGATGAACTTGCTGTGCTCCTTGGTCTCTCCGCCGTCGCTATAGTTGTCGCTATCCTTGCTCTCTGTGTATCTGTCGTAGTGATCGCTTGACCACGAAGCGACGCATTCTTCCACCATAAAGCGCCTGGCATCGTCATCCATTCCACAGTAAGCAGTTGCCATTGCGGGGTCATTGGCCAGTAGATGGGTGAAGCGAACGCGTTGGGCAACGCTGAGCAGGTCTACGAAGGTCTTGCTGAAGTCCCTAATCGCTAAGTCGGCGCGCGTGACCTGGCCAAGTTGCTCCTTACTTTGGCGGATGAGACTTGATGGAGCTAGTGACTCGTGTGCAGTAGCTAACCATGCTAAGGTTTCGACAATTTTTTTGCCAGTTGAAAGTCGCTTAGATGGTGTACCCGTTGGCTTCGATTCGGCAGTGGCGAACGGCTTATGATTTTCTTGTATATTTTGTCTGGTAAGAGCAACCGAGACGCTCAAGAGCGATGGCAACATGGCCCTGCAGCTATAACAAGAATCGTTCGGCAAGGTATACAGTGCCGGCGACGAAGACACCAACGAGTCCGACCAGGTTGCGATGACAGAACTACGCGATCGCATCGCCTCAGAGATGTGGCGCGACTACTTGATGCTACTCGCAGAGAGGGATGGAGAAGTCGTAGTGTAGGAAAGCTATGCAAAGGCATACTACGTAGTTCGTTACAACTCCTGCCTCATCGCGCTGACCGGCACAATGAAGTACCGCCGTTGGCGTAGAGCGAGTAGGACGGCGAAGTCAAACAGCCTGAAGTGATGGCCATTGATGATTCACAAAAAAGATAAATATGCACTTTACAGATGCTTCTCGTCAATCCGCCAAACGAGAGGGCTATCCGCCCAAATTCGGGAGGAAAAAATCCGCTGAATATCCGCCAAAAAGATGCCTCTTGTGTTCCTCAAACGCATCAGCGGATTGTGTAATCCGCCAAAACGTACAAGGAACACACCCTGAGAACCAGGGCTTCAGCTTTCATATGCTTTCTGGGGTGGCAAAATCTGTGGATTATGTTTGAGACTTTGCTATGCTAAACGTTATAAGGGAAACTCTGCGATAGATTTTTATACAAAAAAATGAGCCACAATTTTTCAAAATATGTATGATATGGTTATTTTGATAACCTTGACTTACTTACTTTTTTAAAAAAAGTCATTTAGCAAGTATTCTATGTTGTGACTACTGCCATAGTAATTCTTTTGTAGACTTTTCTGCGTATATAGATTTTTCAGCTAGTATTCTAGAGGTTTTCTGTTTGTTTTCAAGCACTATTTTTGAGGTTCGCCTCAAAAATAATACAACCCCCTGTGTGCCTAGCGCGTCGATCTAAAACCAACGCTATAGACCAGCAGAAAAATTAATGGCATCTCAAGCAAGTGAGTGGCTTCGTCAATGCGAGCGTTTAACTACGGTATGCATGGCAAATTAAACGAAAATAATCGTCAAAATAATAAAGGGAATTTGTCCTCCATTTCAGTAGAAGCAACCTACGAACTTTCGAGAGATGACCTCAATGCATTTCACCGAAAATACCTCTAAAAAATAGGCGAAGCCCCGTCCCAGTGTAACAGTAGCGCTGCTCGAGTCTCTTCGAGGCTCTTCGCGCACGATATCTCTCAGCTCACTAACACTAGAAGCAAACACTAACACTAGAAGCAAACAAAAGCAAAGAAAAAAAACCTGCTGTAGTATATTACGAGGAACACTCATATTGCTGCTGTTAGTATTGTTATCAACTTGCTTTACTTTTGCTTTTGCTATCGATTCTACAATTGCTACTACCGTCGTTCGAGTTGCTCGCGCTAATGCTAGCGCATACACTCAGCTCGTGATCCACCCTGAGTTATCCCAATAGCTCCAGCTCCTGAGCTACTACGCTGAGATTTCCCAGATCTACTCTTCTCTACCTTGTTTGCTTCAACTTCTGAGCTCGTAGGTTTGGATCTAGCTCCTCATCGCATCATCCGCCATGATATCCATACGGATACTGTTCATCAGCGTGTTCTCGTGCTTCATCTCCACCGACATGAGATCATCGACTTGTTCGCCCTGCTGGCAGCGGCAGCACCTCTGTCGGGATGGGCGCTTTCTCTGCTTAGTGCTGGTGCCACTCAGCTCTGGTGATACACTGGTTCTCTTGCTTTTGCACGCGCGGCTGCTATACCTCTTTGTGCTCTTACTCTTGCTCGAACTCAAGCCCGCACAACTACAACTGCTCGCTTTCCTAATGCTGTTACGTGTCAGCGCCTCTGGCTTGCTTCTATGTCTTGCGCTCCTGCTCAAGATGCATTATTTCGGCGCTCATGCAGCTAGCTGCCCGTGCTTCACCCGGTTAAATAAAGACATCACTTGCCCATACAGCGAGCCGCACGAAGCAGCATGCCGTTCTATTCTGGTCGTGAGCGCGAAGCATGGAGCGCTGCGCGCAGCACTCTCGGAATAAAACAGCACCCTGAGCGAAAGAAGCGGCGCCGGTGTGGCGCACATGCAGCAGCTTTGATTGGCTGCGTAAAAAACACCACCCGCGCATACTCAAACCAAGATGCGGATGTTTTTTACTCGAAGGGGCGCCCTGAAACTGTCACCCGGTGACAGCTCTAAGGGGTCGCCGTAACAAAAGTAGGGAAACCTGCTGGCTTTCCGCGCAGTCGCATGGCTTTTATTTCTATTTGGATGGGATCACCTTTCTAAACCATACTTAGCTCAAGTGAGCCCGGAATCCATATTTGCGCGCCCCTTTGATTGGCCGCTGACGGGTCGGCAACGCAACTTAAGTAAGGAAGTTTCCGCGACCGCACGTCACCGCTCAAGTTTAATTTCGGTGGTGCGACGCTATGTTGAGTGCGGAGCGCATGAACTTGAGCGGGAGAGTACCGTTGTTGCCTGCTCAAGTAGGCAAAAGTATCGAGTACCTAACCTGGGAAATGTTGACACGAGTCTACGTTTCTAAATTCTGTCGCAGATTTTTTTTCGCTGTCCCATGCGAGTCGCCAAGTATAGCGGGGGCAAGTGAGCGCGATGTGGTGTGCTTGCACACAGGTGTTTTTTACGTTAGAAATTGCGAAAAGCATAGTGAAGCTAAATGAAGCGCTCCGATCGCGACCATATTGAAACGCAGTGTTTCTTTCATAAAAAAACATTCACAAATTTGGCGAACCGACTCTGCGAACACCCTGTGCTCTCAGCTTAAGAGCTGAGAGAACAGTAGCGCTGCTAGAGTCTCGCGAGCCGCTTCGCGTACGATATCTCTCAGCTCACTAAAAGCAAACAAAAAGCAAATAGCTTACTTCTGGTTTTGTGTAATACTACTCCGTGTACTGCTAAGCCAACTTTGCATGTACTATTGGTGTTATTATTTTGAGTACTAGTACTATTACTGGGGCGCGTTTCGCGTGCGGGTCTCTAAGCGGACCGAACAATTTTGTGTTTTTTGCTACTAAAACGGTTAGGACGCGCCGCGCCTCAGCACCAGTCTGCACTTGTTACTGTTATTAACAATATCACTAATATTTTTGTGAGTACTATACATGAAACGATTCATATTACTACAAGAAACTTACATTTTCATACTATTATAATTGATGTTGGCCAGGGGTATGAATAAGAAATTTCAATATGAAAATTGTCAATTAATATGACGAAATTATGTGTTATTGGCAAGCGCCATATTGAAATTTGTATTATTGGCTCGTACGATTTCAGGGTATTCAAAAACACAGTCAAGGCGCATGGAATTGAAATATTTAATCAGTATAATAATTAGCTTTGGTTATCGTCATATTTAAATCATTATTACTGTCAAGCAATTTTACCAATTCAATATAATACTGAATTGGAGGGGCCCTGATGTTGACAACATCATGTTGCAATTGGTATTTATTGCAACTGCCACTGTCGCCACCACTGCCATGCTACAGCTACTGCGGCTGCTACTGTCACTGCTACTGCCACTGCTTCAGCCACTGTCACTGACACTGGCACTATCGCTGCTGCTTCTACTCCTACCTCATCACTACTTATATTGCTATACTACTCATATTCCACTATTGTTAAAGATATTGCATTTGTTATGCTACCTGTGGCGCGCGTTACTGCTGGTCACAGGCACTATCTGCTTACCACTACTGCAACGACAGCTGGAGCAGCTGTACTACAGCTACTACAACTACTATTTCACTACTGTTAATGATGTCATAGTAATGTTGTCATTGATATTGCTTGTTCGTATCTGCTGCTATCGCTACTGCGACTGTTTATTATCTGCTGCCACTACCGCTACCGTTGTTATTTACGCTACAACTACGATCTCAGCATTGATAATGGCACTGTAATGATATTGCTCCTGCTTTCTTTTTCATGCCTGAGAAAGACTGCCAAAATCTACTCCATACTGCTTGGCTTGCTGCATAATATCACGGGGCATTTCATGGCTTGCTCAAACTAAATTTATAAGTAGATGCCATCTGAATATCGCCGTCCACCGTGGTGAAAACGACGCGATCCTCTAGACCCTTGTAAATCACTCTCCTCTTTTCCAAATAATGTGTGTGACTTGTATTGCTGCGTAAGTAATATCAATATGACGTATTGTGTCTTTCACGTATTTTGGCGGGTGAGCTGTTAATTCATGCGGAATTAGAGTCATAAAAGGGTGATCAACGCTTATTTAGTGCTAGTTATGCCTAAGATTGTGAGCGCTTCCCCTAACATCCGCGATCAGCTAATCGACGGAGATACGAACAGAATGGCATGGATTGGCGGATAGGAAACCGCCAATCGCTCTGTTTCCGCCTATTAATAACGAAGGCTGGATTAGCTTATTCCGCCTTGAGTCGGCCTCACCATCGCCGCTCCTAATTCGGCCACGGAGGGACGACCCGGAATTAACATGGGAATTAGCTAACTCGGGGCATAATTAAGGTCGATAACGGATTAGAGTTATGCCAGAATTATCACGGCAGAATAAGTGAAAGGCACAATAATTTTTATTCGGTATATTGCTATTGGAATTGTTCGCCTGCGTCACGATCACTGCCAGCTACCACCGCAACTGCCCTACTGTCAATGCCACCGCTACTGCAACCGCTATTAGTTACTGACTTTGAAACTGATATTGTTATCGCTATTTCTGTTACTATCTTTTTTTGCTCACCCCACGATCAGGAAGAAAACTGTCAAGGTCTACAGTACTCCATGGTGCGTGAGTTGTTGCAACCCAGCATAATGTCATCCAACGAGACTTCTTCGCGAGCCGCACCTAGTAAAATACCTCTATTTTTACGAACTACATCTGCAGTTTACACGTTACTGCAGTTATAAAGTACGCGGTGCAAATTGGCGCTAATTTCGCTGCGCCATGCGTTCATATTGCTTTACTTAGGTTCTTGCTGCAGCAAACATCACGCCCATCTAATCGAGCACTCTAAAGTGCACCACCATGGACTTGTCCGTCTATATCAATGTAGATACTGGTACTCAATATGATGCGACGTCCAGAAAACACTACGCATACTACTGTGGTGCGACGTCCGGACACTGCATACACTACTGTCGCGCCATGCGCACTCCGTTTTGGATTCCGCAGCCGGCATGAGCCCCAACGTCGCACAGTACCACAGTATGCATCGTAATGGTGGGTGTGAATTAAACCGCACATTTTGTTTTGCTTAAGTTTTATTCCAAATCCAAAACCACGTCAAAAGCATCGATCCGGACGCTGCGTGCGCTGCTTTATACCGGTAATACCATGAGATTTTGGATACTCTAGTTCAGATTAAAATGTACCGAATGTATTAAACTGATGGTCTGACAAGAAATGACGCTGGCTCTAAGCTATCCGCTTAGAGAACTAATGCTACTGCTATTTGGTATATATTGCTACTGCTTTACTATCGCTAATGCACTGCTCGAGCTGAGCTTGATGAGGCTTGGGGGAAGTTTACCTGGACTTGGTGACTTGGTTCTCCCCCTTCCTTCTACTTTGTAGTACTTAGTACTACGACAAGTCCTTTGTTCGGTAGAACGATGACGCCTCGGTGTTGGTGCTGTCACCGCGGCCACCGGCGGTCGCTGAATCCGCTGCTCTCGAAGGTCTTGTGACCGGCGTAACTTTGGTCGTAGCTGCTCTGACTTGCGGCGTTGCTTGGGTCGAAGCCGCTATGACTGGCGGCAAAACACTGGTCGTAGCCGCCGTTCACGTCGCTGATCTCGTAGAAGGACGCTGCTCGAGTCTCTAGATCATCTGAACAGACGTGTTGAGGTCTGGGCAAGGCTGCCGACGAAGAAATTGGTGTTGGGCGCTGAGTTGTCGATGCCCATGCGTTCAGACGGGTGTTGAAGCTGTAGACCGACAGGGTGGCTGTGATGCTGTCCAGGTAGCTATGTTCGGTGGCCAGGCCTTCCTTGGCGTTCTCTATCCCCTCTTGTTGATGATCGGGAAGACGAACTGCTCGTTGTCAAGTCGGCAGCGTAGATATTGCAGTTTTTTTTACATCGCGTAGCCCCGCAGCAGTAGTTTTTGATGCTCCGGTACTTAACACCGGCTTGTTCAGAAAAAAAAAGTTGGCCATTGGCTACGCAAGAACTGCAGACAGGGGATACTGGTGTCGGTTCCCATACATCTGTGAACTTCTCACTGCACAGAAGCGGTTGGCGGATACATAGTCAAGTGCGGCACTCTAAAAAAGACTGGCGAGAGTAGAACGCGAAGTGCAGGGGTCAGCTGTGTTACATACAGGACTACAACGTTGGGGTGCGCTCTAATTGCGGGAGAAGACAGCGTGTTCGTTAAGAGGAGACGGGCAGCGCTGTCGCGTACCGCAACGTAGACGTCGTCGCAACGCAGGAGCACGCAGTCAACGCTGACGCGCAGGTGAAAGAAGGCATCGCCGCATCGAGTTGAAGAAAGTGTACATCTGCAGCGCTCCGCCGGTCAACAGATCTGTTACGAAAGAAGCAGTGGGGCTACACACATAACGAAGAGAAGAAAGCTCGGTCCCACACGCTCGGCCATACAGGAGAAAGCCAGCACCGTCGCGTGCTGGTGAGGAACGTCGGAAGATAGGGCCTAGCAAGGTATAGCTGTCTTTAAATTGAAATGTTTACGACTAATACTGACACGGAGATGTTACTGTCGCAATATAGGTAGCACTACCATGGATGAATACACTGGTGAACTTGAAGAACTTGTTGCAACTGGAGATCTTGGATACGATACTTACGACCGCGCAACAATTATTGAAAAGCTGGGTGCATCTCAGAGGCTGTACATTGAAGGAGGATTCAACTTTTACGAAGCTGTGCGATCAGCGGAGCCTCTTATCGTTTACAGAGTTGCGTATTCGTCTCTTGTAAAGTCTCCGGATGGCAAGAGCGTTCCCAAGACGGTTGCACACCTTTACGAAGAGTTCGGGACCGAAGATGTTCGTTCCTTTATCGCTGAAAGAGAGGCCCCCCGTGGACAGTGTGTTTGGAGTTTGGATTGCTATGCTGATGCCTTTTCGCTGGATCTCACCAATGGGTACTGCTATAGGCGTGAATGCTGGGTCCAAGCTGGTAATCGAGAAAGCCCCGCTCACGTAGATCATGGTCGGGTTCTGTCCTACATCCCCCCAGCGCTACAACGCTCTTTTAAGATTTGGATCGCCTTCAAAGATTTCAATGCAGCGAGAGGGTTTTCGTTTGCAGAGGACGATCGCGCCTTCAACAGGATGTTGGTGAATGGCAGCACTGGGGTTGTTGTGCAGCGGCCAGGTGACGTGGTCTACGTAAATTCGCTGATTTACCACTCTGTATTACTCTGCTATACTTCTGAAACACCTGAGATCGACCGATGGAGTATAATCGACGGATATGTTTTCATACTCCGTGAAGACATTCTGGTATCCTACATATACGCAACACAAGCAAAGGCCGGGACTAGGAAGGGCGACAATCGTGTCTGGGCTCGGATCCTGATGGCGTACTGCGCAATGGAAGGGAGGTGGTTGGATACAGAGCAAATTGATGTGGAGATAAGTCGCTTCACAAGCGCAGTTATGACAAAGCATCCCAGTTTAGGGTCGAAGAGTCTAGCGGGTGCATGTTCAAGAAAACGAAAGGAGAAGAAGGCAGCCAGTATTGCATTCGCTCGCAGTTGCAAGAATAAAAAATAAGATGTCGTAATGCAGCATGGTGTTAACGTAAATTTTGTAGTCCCTGCTGTGCGTTTTTTTGTTGATATTTATGGTAAGGATGGATGTGGCACATGGCTAAAATCAGACATGGATAGTATTGACATGTCAGCCAAGCGAATTGTAATACCCTGTACTCATGTTGTATAATCTGTGCCCTGGTGGGGCTTATTGAGCCATTAGGTCCTCAACGGGCATAGGATGTACCTTTCGATCTGCAATGCAATGATGCAATGATTTACGTGTTCGCGTAGCCAAATTACACCTCCTTTCGATCTAGCCTGCATAATTCTAACGACAACGATTGTGATGGCAAATCTGGCGTGTTCACACCCTTTCTGCATTTCTTAAGTGAGCCAGGTTAAGTGATAGCATGGGGATATTTTGGAGAGGTCCCCTCGTAAGAGCATTTATGACTGGGCTTTCAGCGACACGCTTTCGTGTGCGAGGTCGGGGGAACTAAGGAACGTTCAACTCACTTTCGGTTGCCGTGCTGCCAATATATATCTATATGCCAAATGCGCGGAAGGGTTCATTCCCTCCCATACCTGATAATGTGCACATCAATCGATTACACATACAACCATAATAAGATGATTTGCATTGGTTTAGGTCCCCTAGCTTAAATATAAACCCAACACGAACAGGAACGAGCTCATACGCGTTCTGTTGGTAATGTTGACATAATGTTCAAAACGATTTAGAGGTTTTTGGCTCTATATATTTATGTATACAGCCAAGTACAAGATAATATGATGTACAAAGTTGATCTAACTTGCCTACTTCCACGCTTTACTATATTCCTACTCCGAATAAATCTAATGGAGCGGGTAGTATTGTTATCTTTAACACCGGGCGGTTTTTTTACTAGAGTTGACCCTTTTAACAAAATTTGTGTCCATTTCATAAAAAATGCAGTTTGTCATTCCTCGCTTTATTTTTATTTACCTCTCAGTACGACTGGGTTAAATGTAGTTCAGATCTCTTGCACATTCACTCTGTCTGCTTCACTCGTCCGTCGTTCGAGTCGTTTTCGGGGGTTCGAAGGCCAGCACCTTGGAAGTCTATTTCCGTTGTTTCTTTGGAGGCGCACCGTCACCTTCGCCCTTGTGTGCCTTGCGCTTTGCCGTTTTCGACGCTGGTGTTGCATTCACCACATCCTCTTCTGCTGCGCTTAATGCCCGCGGTGGCGTGTCGACAGCAGCCCCACTCGTTTGCGGAGAACCGTGTTCCGACTGCTCTTCTGTCTCGGATACGGCCTGAAGAACAGCATGGCGAACCAGAACCAGCTCGCCGTTAGAAGTTAGAGGGGCGGATTCAAGGCGTGCTTGGCCCACATTGGCAGGAAGGCCAATGCCTAGAGGCTGTGCGTGAATAGGAGTACGAAGCTGCATGGAGCCAACCGGGTTGCCGTACAGGAGACGTAGGGAGTGCGCCATGTCGAAGCGGTAGCTGAAGCCTTGGCGATAGTCGATTTGGTTCATGGCGTCGTTGCGGCTCTTCCAGATGGTGAGTTGGAACACGTACTTGCTGCGCCTTGCGTAATTCAGTCCGTCGTACTCCTCACGCAACTCAGCGAATTGCGGCTCGTCGACGAGGTCGATTAGCTCCAGCCGCCAGCACTTCTCGTAGTTCTCCATTCTAAGGACGCACATTTCTAGAGAATTGTTAACGCTTGGAGCAGGGTTCTCGTTGGTGATGCGGGAGCGCGCGCTGTCGACACTTCGAAGGGGGGGGGGGGCGGGCTTCTTCAGCCACTTGTTCCTGCCGTTCAGCTCGTAGTCGCTCCAGTGTTGTCGACATCTTCGAAAATGCCGAATGACAAGCAGAGAAGCGGTCCTATCGACCGTTTAATGTGTGCAATCACACACATTCCGCGCAATCTTCGTTTTCCCGCCGAACCGGTAAACGGATATCATATCTCCTACCGCATGCGTACCCGCATGAAGTGCCAGTCATACTCCCTTCATCCCATTACCTCTTCTACATCTCGTTTCATTCGGAATACACGGTCATTGTACTAGATGCTGCTCTGCGCGTGTTGCTACATGCAGTATAGTATCATAATATTCGCCCACTACTAGTTTGGTATAATCGGCGCACGACCAGGTAGTCGCTGTTATGAGGCCAGGCAGTACAAACATCGTTGAACCGCTAGATACAGCTTTGTGACGTTGGTTTACTGGTCATATGGCGGTGGTTTTCACCCTTCTAGTTCTCAACGCATGTGAGCCCGCTGTTTGCCCTATCCAGTTTGGCGGGACCTGCTTGCCACTGCTACAAACTAGGCGGTTCTTGTTTCGGTTAGATAAGACATAGTTTTGTTGCACCATATATTACATCAGCGCATCCCACCGGTGCATGAGCACATCAGTTGCTCTGCTTGATTTTCACTGGCACTTCTACCTTGATCAAGGGCTGTACACACTCTTACACACTCTTATCGAGGTGTTATCAGCGGGCCGCAGCTTCTAGCAGTACAAGCAAGGTCCGTTAGACCCATTGTGGTCGGTTAGATAATATATATGTGCGTTGCATCATCTTACGTTTAAATTCTTTCTAGCCCCCCCTCTCTCTCTTAGATTCCCGCCTCTCCTCTAGGCACTTCGAGTTTCGCCAAGTATCGGCCGCAGCAACATCCGACAGATGCTTGCAGCACCTTCGCTTCCACGGGGCATATCGACAATGTCGCCAACGCACGCATAGTCCCCGTCGCCCCTGCGATCGCTAGACCGGCCCAGGAACAGCAAGCGTGGCTCCGTCTTTTCGAGCAATCTCGGCGATTCAACTCCGTCCACCCTCAAATCACTCCCCCGACGACTTTCACGTACCCTGGCTCAATCCCCGGTATTGGAGGCGACTACGACTTCGTGGAACCACAACCATGGCCTGCCGACATCATCCACATTGAGAACAACGTGTTTTCAGCTACGCAGCCGTACCCTGTCTCCAAACGATATTCACCGTACCAATACGAGTGTGATTGCGATGTGCCATACTGCATCGCTGACTAGGAAACCCGATTTACAAATTCGTGCATCAATACCAACCTGTCCATGGTCTGCGACGACACAAACTGCTCCACCGGCAACTGCTGCGGCAATCGCCTGCTTCAGCACTACCAGCTCGACTTAGTCTCAACGCGAGTCGGTCTTGGTGTCGTGTGCGGCTCGGCAATCGCTAAAGACGCATTCATCGTGGAGTATGTCGGCGAGGTGTTGCTCGGTCCTGCGGCTCTGACGCGCTCCAATAGGCGCTTTCAGGTTGAAATGAAGGCGAAGGCGAGCTGGAACGGACCTACAGCTGTGTACATCGATGCTGCAGAGTGCGGTAATGAGAGCCGCTTCATCAACCACTCCTGCCGCCCCAACTGCGAGCTGTCTGAGCTTGAGTGGACCAACACTTCCCGTTTGGCCATCTTTGCTAAGACTGACATCCCTCCGTTACGTGAACTTACGTTTAGGTACAGTGAGGGCAACCAATCGCAGTTTATGTGCCAGTGTCAGATCTGCAGCGCGATCCGAGAGTAGTGTGTAAGTTCGATTGGTTGGCTGCTACAGCACTCGATAAATCTATCCAATCTATACTTGAGTGTACGTGTACGGACGTCCAGCGAAAGCTGTCGCCACACCGACCACACTCCCATAGCAAATGTTGAGTCTGACAGAAGCATGTTTACTCACCTCGGTCTCACGCGTGATAATGTGAATTCTGCATCGTGCCGTCATTGTGGTAGGCTTCGGTAGCAGGAAAATTAAAGTCATTTGCAAGGACTTAGCGGTATTGAATGTGACGTCGTGCTATACGCGGCAGAAACGATCTTTTTCAACTTTGGCGAGAGTATATTCGTGTGTGAAGACTCTCTAAAGAGCACTCTGGGCTGCTTGCAGCTGCGGTGTGATACAATTGCTGTTGCCGCCTCGCATGTTCAAGGAGCAAGTGCAGCAACCAGAGACCATGCTGACTATGCTCCATAGCTCACGTAGATGGACAGACTGCTGGGCGTGGCCAACAGTCTGCGTCGCGGAATGCGAGAGCACTTGTATTTCCTCTCGACATGCAAACTACCAAGAAATGAATACAGTAGTTGTGCACCTGTACGAAACTAACAGCTCAGAGGTTTATGTTCGAGCGACTAGCGTCGTTCCTTTTTTAAAAGTCAGTTAGTTACACACATTCCAGTATTAGCCTAATTGGCCAGCAAGTCTGGTTTGGAGAAGCATGGGTAGACGGGAATCACTTCTGATTTAGCTTAGCTTACGATGCCGCGGAAACCAAAGACGCGGTTATCTGAGGAAACACGGCGGGCACGTAAATCGGAAGCATACTGGGTCCTCGTCCGAGAGCAAACCTCGCTCCGAGCTCGTCGCCACGACAACACGATACCTGAGTTCATCTCAAGTACGGCGCCACGACGCATTTTAACTTTACCAGAATGTATCGCGGCCGATTCGATACAGAGTACCAGACGCCGAAGCTCTGCTTTGAACACGACAGTATCAGTTACTCAAGAGATCCGATCCTCTGTCCGATCCTCTGCAAGTCCTCTGCAAGCACTTGTGGCCGGCGTAGCCTTGGAAGCATCCGCTCTGAGTGGCGGCTCTCGGCGGATGAATCAATCAAAGCCTTTGATTGGCCGAGTAAAAACACCACCCGCGCATACAAAAACCAAGATGCGGATGTGTTTTACTCGAAGGGGCGCCCTGAAACTGTCACCCGGTGACAGCTCTAAGGGGTCGCCGTAACAAAAGTAGGGAAACCTGCTGGCTTTCCGCGCAGTCGCATGGCTTTTATTTCTATTTGGATGGGATCACCTTTCTAAACCATACTTAGCTCAAGTGAGCCCGGAATCCATATTTGCGCGCCCCTTTGATTGGCCGCTGACGGGTCGGCAACGCAACTTAAGTAAGGAAGTTTCCGCGACCGCACGTCACCGCTCAAGTTTAATTTCGGTGGTGCGACGCTATGTTGAGTGCGGAGCGCATGAACTTGAGCGGGAGAGTACCGTTGTTGCCTGCTCAAGTAGGCAAAAGTATCGAGTACCTAACCTGGGAAATGTTGACACAAGTCTACGTTTCTAAATTCTGTCGCAGATTTTTTTTTCGCTGTCCCATGCGAGTCGCCAAGTATAGCGGGGGCAAGTGAGCGCGATGTGGTGTGCTTGCACACAGGTGTTTTTTACGTTAGAAATTGCGAAAAGCATAGTGAAGCTAAATGAAGCGCTCCGATCGCGACCATATTGAAACGCAGTGTTTCTTTCATAAAAAAACATTCACAAATTTGGCGAACCGACTCTGCGAACACCCTGTGCTCTCAGCTTAAGAGCTAAGAGAATTAACCATCATTAAAGTTTAACCTGTTAAAGGTTACCCCCTGTAGCGACGACGCCCCACAAGATCGACGACGCAGTGCTATCCGCGGGACCACGGGCTGCTTTCTGATGACGGCCGCGCGACCTCGCATCCCGCTGAAGCAGCGCTGCGTCATCGCGCAGAAGCGCTGCCAGCACCACGTACTTACTTGCGCGCGAAGCCCGCGATTCGGAAACGGAGCTGAGCGCGGTTTCGAATTACAGGCTCGAGCTGTCCGTAGGGATGTCGGCTCATCCCGGCGGCCCGGTATCAGCAAGTTACCGCTGGTCTTGGCACTGTCATCGGGCGATCCTGCTGTCGCCACCGGTGCCGTCGGGGATGGCCTACCGCGGTTGTAGCGTGTATCGTACAGCGCAGCGATGGAGCATGAAGGCGAATTGGCAAATCAAGTCAAGGCGCTAAACACACCGTCGAACCGGAAGTCGCGTGGCGGCGGACGCTTGATCACGCAGCACGCCCTCGCCTGTATGAGTGTTCCGGCCGCCGCGTGCGGGCCAAAGGGGTGATCGATACCACCGTCGAAGCACTGCTTCGGTAGCAGGGCCTGCTACATGTACAACAACTATCACATAGTGTGCGGCAACGCCCCCCGAGCTGCAGGCTCCTCGTCCGCGAGAAGAAGCTCGCCCCTCCTCCTTCCGACGGTATTCGAGATCGCACGTGCGAACGCAGAGTTGCTGGCGCACGCAGCTCCATCCCTCAATTCTTGACGACTCACTGCGTCACTGCGGTCCCGGGGCGGCCGGCCGCGGTCTCCGCTACGGCTAAGCTTACACGCATTTTGACGCCGTTGGTCTTCCTCCAGTGGAGGACCTCCACGCTGGCCGCGGCAGGCAGCTGAAGCAGCCAGCTCGACAACCCGGACGAGCGCCAGGCCCAGCTGGCACCGAGCTTCCTGCAGGAGGAAATCGCCGTGTTCGGCTCGCGGGCTCGATCCCGGGTCTCGTCACTGCCCCCGTCTCTGCTCACCGCGCGACAGAGAAAGACTGCCCCGCCCCATCACACGTTCGAAAGCTCATTTATCGGGGCCAGCACTCGCTCGCTCGGGCTCCGCTGCGGCGGGCTCGCCGGCAGCAGCGGCGCCACCACGGCCACCGGCGCCGTCGCACGCTGGACGACGTCGTGTACGCACTCGGCCTGCAGGCCGGAGGGAGCCGGCGCGGGCTTTTTCGGCGGTGGATGGAAGGCAAATCCGCCGGCCGCAACTGTAGACGACGGCGCCGTCGACAGGGCAAGCGTCGATCCCAAGATTTGCTTGAAGCGCGCTCACTTGGTTTCACTATGGAAAGCTGAAGTTAAATGCGCAAACCTTCCCGCTGCCGCGACCCGTATGCTCGGCCGCCGCCGACCGGCCGACAGGCAGGCAGGCAGGCAGCACCTGCAGATTCCACGTGTGACTCAGCGGCAGGAGGGACGCTGTAGCGAGCGAGATTCCCCTTGATTTGACTCGATGTACTCCAGCGACAGGACAGCGTCGTGGAGTGGTGTTAGCGGGCCCGCCCCGCTGCGAGGCTGGGTCGCGGGCTGTGGCCCACGCGCTCTTCACAGACATGCACAGTCCAGGTCTCCGCTCGTATACAGTCCAACCTGTTGACGCAGCCCAGCAGGCGCTAATCATCATGTTTAGCGGCACCAATGCATACACCTCCGCTGCGCAGCGCGGTGGCCCGTACAAGACCGCTCTTGGCGCTGTAGTATTCTCCTTACCTTATCGGTCTAACTTCCTGTCTGCGCCGTACAGCGCTGCTGCTGCAGTTGTCTCCCCGGTCAAGGCGGCGACTGACGAGACCTGTATGCATGGTGCGAAACCTTCGTCCGTGCATACGGCTCGCGCCCTAATCGAATCGTCCCGGCTGTGCTCGCTCATCTACAGACCCATCACCGCCGCCTGCTCCTGCCCGATCCTTCGCCGCGAGGGCTTGCTCATACTGGGGCCAAGTGTCGAGGCGCCCACCGACCGACCAGCATCGATGCCGACTCCATCGGCAGTGCCGAGCATGGGCTTCTCTGTTGGGAAGCTGATGCTGCCGCTCACCCTCCTCGACCTTCTTCTTCGCCGTCGGCGCTCGCCTTGTCGGCCTGCCTGCCGTCGTCCAACGCACCGCAGGCAGACAAAGGCTCCGCTGCGTGCGTGCAAAGAAAGTTTCTGCGGCGGCCCTTCTATCTGTAAACGAGCGCATACTGGGGGCAAGTCACTCGCCCGGCCCCCACACACTCATCCTCCTCGCGACAGCAGCCCCCCCCCGACACACTTGGCCATCATTTGCCAACCGGCGCACTCGTCCGCAGGTCCGTCGCCGCCGTCGCCCATTACAGCATGCGCACCAAGCAGTCGGCCGAGTTCGAGAAGCAGGAGAGCACGTGGATCTACCTGCTGCACCAGCAGGCGCCGCCGCAGACCAGGCTCTCGGCCGAGGCCTCGCTCGCGCTGCCCCCGCTGGACGCCGCCGCGCCCGGGGGCGCCCATGACGCCGCGCTCTTCGGAGAGGCGGCCTCGGCCCCCACGCTGCCCGCGCGCGGGCTGCTGCTGCCCCCGCCGGCGCCCGGCGCGTCGGCCATGGTGCTCTCCAGCCAGGACAAGTCGTGGACGCCGCAGCCCAGCACGAGCTTGCTGTCACTCCCGCGGTTGAGTGACCGCAGTACCTCCGGGAGCACTAAAGCCACGGCGGCGTCGCCGCGCTCCGTCGGCAAGCGCGCGTGCTTCCCCAAGAAGTGCGACTTCCCCATGTGCAAGAACAGCTCGCGCAGCCGCGGCTTCTGCTACAGCCACGGCGGCGGGCGCCGCTGCAGCGTGGACGGCTGCAACAACGGCGCCGTGAGCCGCGACCTGTGCAAGCGCCACGGGGGCGGCCGCCGCTGCCGCATCGCCGGCTGCAAGAGCAGCAGCGAGAGCGGCGGCCTGTGCTACAGCCACGGAGGCGGCCGCCGCTGCAGCCTCTCGTGGTGCTCGGCGCGCGCCAAGAAGGGCGGCTTCTGCGCCGTGCACCTCACGGGCGACCGCACGCAGCCGCCGCCCGCCGCTGCTGACGGCGCGACTGAGAGTTCCCCGTCGTCCACTTCATCCTCCTCGTCTTCTTCCTCTTCTGCCGCGGCGGAGGAGATAGTGCACCCGAACGTCGTGGAGACGCTGCTGTCGCTGGCCAAGGACCAGTCCAGCAGCGCCGTCAAGACGGAGCCCGTCCCTGTCGAGACGAGCTCCGCGTCACCCACGTCGTCGTCTTCAGGCAGCAAGAGCGCGTACGCCATCGCGTCCCTCCTCAACTAGTTGAACTACTAGATGAGTCCAATGGGACTGACCGGCTGGCCGTGTTCCTCGTTTCAAGCGTCTCAAGCAACGGAGGCCAGGCCCGGGCGGTACGGCGCAGAAAGGTGCGGGCCAGCCCCTGCCGGCTTCGTTTCCTTCTGCTCCTGCCATATTTAAGTGCATGTCGCCTCGCTTCCCTTGTTGTATCACCACCCCCTACCGCTGGTGGAGTACGCGGCGAGGCCTTGTTATTAACCGAGTTCCTATCTAGTAGTAGTAAGCACCAATCTAATGGACTTTGTTCCCTGTACACTCTCTATGGGGCTCTCACGGAGCCCCCGCGCCTTGGTCCCCTTCAGCTACAGCCGTCGGCCACTCCGTCCAAGCGTCTTGAAGCTCTCCTGCTGCCAGTCCCGGATGCGTCCAGCTCGTCTCGCCCGTGCTGCGGTTGTAGAAGTAAACGCTGCCGGCCTCGTCGGCCACCTCCTCCCACGGATCCTCAGGCTGCTGCTGGGTGTCGTCTTGGACGGCCGGAGCTTCGTCCACCAGCAGCTCGAGCAGAATATCGTCCACCTGCATCTCCGGGGGAGGGCCGTCGGCGGCCGCGACCACCTCCTTGGTCATGCGGTTGTAGTAGCAGACCTCGCCCGATTCCGCGTCGTACACCTCGCTCCAGCACGAAGACGCCACCGTCCACTTACGCGGCTTCCGGCCTTCGCGCTTAGCCGACACGTTCCAGAAGTGCCACTTAGTGGCCTCGTGAATGCGCAGCTCGCCCTCCTTGGCGAAGCTCAAGCCCGGACACGACCGGCAGAAGTAGAACAGCCGAGGTGGGGCTGGATAATGGACGCGCTTGGGTTTGGGCGTGCCGTCGTCGTTCTCCCCCTCGTCCTCGCTGCTCGACGGCTCGGGGCAGAGCTGCACGGTCTCCACTTCGCCCTCGCGCTGAGGCGGAACCACGACGACGACGTCTTCCAGCAGACCAAGCAGCGTGCGCAGCTTCTTGACGCCGAAGGTACTGGGCACGATGGGCTTGTGCATCGAATTCTCGTACGCGGCCGGGAACTCGCTCAGCGGCACTTTACCGGACGCTCCGCCGTCGTAGCGACTCACGACCTTGTGCACCTCGAGCTTGAGGATGGAGAACTCCTGGGCCAGAGCTGCGTCCGACAGGATCCGCTCAAGAACGGCCTCTTTCGGCTCGTGACTCGGCTCGGCCACCTCTGGTTCCGTGTCACCAGTACCGGTAGAGCCCTCGTCAAGCTTGCCAAGCCCACCGCTCTTGTCACTAGGCGTCCCAGCACGTTGAGTCTCAGCAAGCTTGAGTCCCGTTCGCGGGCGCGTGATGTTTTGCTTGGCCATCGGCTCGCTTTCGGCTCGATCCAGCGCGTCGAGGTCGTCCAGCACCTTGCAAAGCTTGGCTCGAGACTCCTGCAGCGTCGTCATGGTACTCTGCGCAGCGTCCAGCTTGGCTCGAACATCCTCAGCGGCTTGGATCGCTTGCTGCTCGGTTGCGCGCTCTGCAGCCAGCTCTTCGCGCATCCGGAGCAGCATCAAGCGTTGCGCGTGCACGCGCTGCACTGTGGGGGCGATCTCGGCAGCCTTGGAGGCATATTGGTACGCTGCACGCACCCAGACGCAGGTCGCGGCCAGAGCTGGAGAGACTGTGTGCAGCTGGAAGTTACCTGGACGGAGACGCGGGTGGTGAATGACGTTGGTGAGCGAGAGTAGCCGAGCACGCCGAGTTCCTTCAGCGAACGAGTAAGCGTCGAAGAGCGGCAGGATGTAGAGCGCCTTGACCGCGTACTTGTGGATGAGCCCTTCGCGGTCTCCGAGGATGACGTTCTCGTCGCTGTTGGAGAGCAATCGCAGAATGTCGTCTCGTGACGGGAACTCTTGAGGTTCCGGCGGAGGTTTTAGTGTGGCTTTGTCTCCGAGCTGCTGCTTCTGCTTCTCGTACTTGGCCAGTTGATCCAGACGGTCCTTTTCGTCCAGTTCGAGCTGGAAGTTGGAGGTGAAGGTGAGCAGTACACAAAAGGCTTTCAACACTGACATGAACGTGTCGTCCAGCTTTGCCGATCGGAGCCTGTACCAGTCCATGGGGTCGAGGGCATGCAGACCGTCAACAGCTTCGCGGTACTTGCGCTCGAGCTGCTGCCGATCCTGCTTCCAGAACTGCTCCACTTTGACCTGCATGACCTCCTCCTGAGCTTCAGCTTCGCTCAGTTCAGCAGCCATCGCTGCCACCCGCGCTTCGGCCTCTCGCATGGTGCGCGCGCACAGCTCCTGCTCGTTGCGCAGCTTCTCGAGCTCTGGTTCGTGCTCCTCGATCTGTTTCAGCACAGCCGCGTGCTCAGTGGTTGCCTTCTCCAGCACTTCGGCACCAACCATGACGTTCTGCGTCTTCGCGAGCAGGTGGACGACAGCCTTGACGAAGGCGTCCTCGGGGTCGACACCTTCCGGCAAGATAGGCAACTGCCGCGCTATCATGACAGCGTATGGGGTGCGGAACTTGGTGGGCAGCAGGTCCAGCTCCAGCTCGCCGGTGCCGTTTTCGCGATGCAGCACCCCAAAGTACTGCACGAAAGTGGCCGTCGCCAGCTGAGAGCTGGGCCTGCTCAGCCACATCATGCGCTCGCCGTGTTCCCAGCGACCAAGGCGCTCTAGCGGCTCGTTCTTCCCGCCCAAAGTGCCTTCCCCACCCGCGCTCCGAGAGATAAACACGCCCTCGCCATGCATTTCGTCGTCTTCGAACGGACCTTCGTACCTGTCGCCGTTCGGGAACACGAGGATGCCATGGCCATGACGTCTTGTGCGCTTCATGGCCCCCGCGTAGTGCTTCCCGTCAGCGAAATCGACTGCTCCAGGACCGTCCAAGAAGCCGTCGTGGAACTCGCCCGAGATGCGGTCACCGTTTGCTAGAGTGCGAACGCCGTGTCCGTGCCAGAGTCCACGACGGAAGAAGCCATCGTACCGAGACCCGTCGGCCAGCACCAACTCGCCCGGGCCGTTGTGGCGATCGTGAGCCCAGTAGCCTGCGAAGAGCTCGCCGTTGTCCAGCCGCTCGATGCCGTACCCGTGACGCTGTCCTTCCTTCCACTCGCCCACGTACTCACCGCGCGTGAAAGCCATGCGAATGTGCAGCGTGCCAAGGCCGTGGAACTTGCCACGTCGTATAGAGCCTTCGTAGATATGCGTTGCTGGGCAGGACGTCACGCGGAAGTACGCACCGCTGGCTGTGAACGGAGAGAAGAAGTTGTCGACGCCCTCACCCTCCCAAACGGTGCCGTCTCGACACGTGAACTTGCCCCAGTGTCTGTGCGCAGGCTTTCGAGTTTTCCGAGGCGGATCCGGGTCTGCTCCAGCGCTGGAGATTAAAGGTTTGGTCGCGCTGGCGCTTGCGTCCTCGACCCACGGACCTTCGTAGATGGAGCCGTCGTTGTATTCGATCACCACATGACCTTGGATACGTCCGTCTTGGAAGGAGCACTCCAAGCGCACGTACGTGTGTGGTAGCTCGCGGAGTTTCGGCTTGCTGTCCTTGCGCGTTATCCGTGCAGCTTTCGGCTTCGAGAGCACGCCAGCAGCCTCGTTGTTGCCACTAACAACTCCATTTCCAACCTCAACAGAGGCAGATACACTTAAGGTCGCCGCTGCTGCTCCTACGATCGCGCTAGTTTTCGACTCAGACTCCTGACCAGGTGCCGTAGCATTGCCACTTCCACTCGCGGCCGGAGCTGTTCCCTCAGCAGGCACAACATCAAGTTGCTTTGCAGTGTCGTCGCGGAGGTACTCGGCGTCAGCGGCCTTGCCATTCAAGAAGCGTTCGTGCAGTGCGAGGTCGTGGTTTGATATCTGGAGCGAGTGCAGAGGCATCTTGGGTTCTTCGCCTGCAGCAGCAGCTTCAGCGGCTTCCCGGGCAGCCTTCGCATCCACCATCGCGAGCTGCACGCGCGTCATCTTGGAGCGCGCCATCGCATCCTTCTCCGCTCTCTCCCTGCGGTGCACGATGCGTGCCTGCTCCTGCCGCAGCTTCCCCAGGAGGAAGGTCTCGTCGCCTTCGTCGCGTTGCTGCCGCAGCTTTTGTCGCTCTGCTACATGCAGCAGCTGGAGGCGTCGCAGCTCTTCTTGAAGCGCTTCAAGTTGCCTCTGTCGCGCGGATATCATGTCGTCCCAGGCATTGAGCAGCTCGACTTCGTGGTCCATGCGCTCCAGCAGTTTGCGTAGGTCGTCTTGGTACTGAGCGAGGAGTATGCGGTGGCTTTCCAGAATGTCGGAGCCTTGTTTGTGGGTCTGCTGCACTAACGCGCGCATTCGCAGCGTCCGGATGAGCTGGTGAGTGAACGGCACGAAGGCCTTTTCGATCGCGCCCAAGCGCGCGAGCTCCTTCTCCATCATGGCGATACGCTCCTCCGACGACGCGATCAGCGCCGCGAGTTTCTCCTGAACCTGCGCCAGCGAGACCTCCGCCTTCTTCTTCTCGCGCTTGAGCGACTGCTTCTGCCACTCTTCGCCCCCGCTAGCCTTGATGCGCTTGATCTTGAGAGCGATGTAGTCCTGCAACTCGCCCTCGTCATGGCGCAAGGTGTCCAGCTGCGTGTTCGTCTCGACCCGGAAGTCCTCCAGATCCTGCTCCAGCAGGCGAATCGTCTCGAGGACGGCGTTGCGTCGACCCACGTTCACCTCAGGAGACTCAAAGTCCACTCCGAACAGTGGAGCAGGAGTCTCGAGCCGATTCTCACGGTCACGACGTTCCAGCATCGCGCGCTTGGCCAAGTTGCGCTCCTGGAGACTTCGACCGCGAGCCAGCCAGACCTTCACGGCGTCCTGGAGCTTGCCTTCCAAGTAGACTTCCTCCTCGATCTTGGCTTGCTCGGCTTCCGCTCGCTCGTATTCGTCTCGTGGTGGCGCTATCTTCTTGGATGACTGGCGACGAACCAAGCCGCGTCCGGGCACCACGTGCCGTCGAGACTTCCGGAAGCAGTACTGGCGTGAGCTCTCGAAGATCTCCACGAAGAAGTCGCTGGCCTTCTCCTCCGGCGTGAGGCGGTTGATCGTCGAGTTCCAGAGATGATAACGCAGCGCGCGCTCTGAGGCGCAGACGTGGGCACAGGACCGGAAGGGGCAAATGAGAGGAACTGCGTGCGTTCGGCAGATGTGCTCGCCGACCTCTTCAATCGAACGAAACCCGGAGGCTTGGCACACAGTGCATGTCAACTTGACTCGAAGCTGGTGATCTGCTGCGTCTTCTAACTCCATCTCCGCTGTCTCGCGCGCTTCGAGTGGCGTCGTGTCGATCGGAGGTCGCGTGAGTCTCACTGCGGTTTGGTAGCTCACATCTGTGAGCTCTTCTGGCATCTCCAAGTAAACGCTGGCAAGACCCACGCCCTGAGCGTTTTCAGCTGCAATACGAACGCGCATCGAGTGCTCGCTCTGTGGAAGGATAGGCCACAGCGTCGTCTTCGTCGGTACCTGCCCGGTGGAGCCACGCTGACTGTCATCTCCTGCCTTTTGTGTCGATGGGATCTCGTTGGGCTTTGTTGCGTCATTACCCGCTTGTGGAGGTGCTGCTGAGAGCCGTTGACAAGCCACCGATTCCCCGTCAGACACAATGGCTTTACCTGCTAGGGACTCGTCCCCGCTTTCGTCCTTCCACTCCACCACGTACTGCGTGATCGGTGCACCATTGTCGGGTGGTGCCTCCCAGAGCACGTCTGCAGCTTTACCGGCTCGCCATCGACGGAACGGAATAGCGTCTGCCGCAGCCTTTTGCTTAGCTGCAGCGGTTACCTCTGCGAGAGTGAGTTTGCTGCGATCCTGTGGTGCCACTTGCTTGGCCTCCGTCTCAGTGGCTTCGATGAGCTTGATGGTCTCTCGCTTGCCGTCCTCCATGTAGAACATCTCGGCTGTACAGGTGTCGTACGGGTCAATCGCGTCGACGCGCGCCTCGTACCAGTTTTCGTCGTCCAGCTCGACCTCCACGAAGCAGCCGACGCACAAGAACTCGAGCGGAGACTTGGGCGTGGCCATGATTTGCACTTCGACTACACCCTCCGGCTTCTGTTGCTGCAGCACGTGCAACGCTCGGCCCTGCGCTATGAGCTCAGCGCGCTCCTTGTCGGCCTGCGCATTCCCACGCGCTTCTTCCTGCAGCAGCCGAGCTTCCTCACGATCTCGCCACGCGATTTCGCGCTCGAACCGCTCCAAGAAGACGATCGTCTTCTCCTCGAGCACACTGAGCTCTGCGTGTCGCTTTGCGTACCCGCGCGGGCCTTCGCGCGAACGCTCGGCGTTCCAAACACCCTGACGTTCAAGCAATTGCGCCTCCAGCCGCTCTTCACGTTCTTGGGCTTTGAGCGCCTTGACGATCTGCAAACTCTTGAAGCGCGCCTCGACGGAGTTGCGCTCCAGCCAATTCCACTTGGTGACTACGCTGGCGATGGCCTCAGCTCCTGCCTTTCCTGCCGCCTTCCCTGGATGGACCTGGCCGGTCAGGAAGTGGGCAACGCCCCAGCCGTGAGGTACCAAGGCACTGCGGAACTTTTGGGGCTTGTCGGGATCCTGATCCTCTGCCCCCCAGACTGCTACTCGCCGCTCCTGGAAGACGCCATGCACAAGCGCCCAGCCTTCGGAGGCACAGAACGAGCAGTTTGCCAGCTGAGGGAAGAAGTACTCGCGAGCTTTGGCGTGTTCCTCCTCGAAGCTCTTGGCGAACTCAGCGCCGCCGATGAATGCCGCCAGCTCCGCCTGTCCGCGCTTGGCGAGCCGCTTAGCGACGGCCACAGTCGTGGCGCGCTCGACCCAGCGCAGCGGATAAAGGAGCAGTCGATCGATCAGGCGGGTGTAAGGCGCTGGCAAGTATACAGGTCCTTGCCGATCATTCACCAAAGCACCCTTGTACTCCACGGGCGTGAGTCTCACCAGCACTTGCTCCAATTCCCGTCGTCGAGCTACGAAGCGCTGCATGCGGTTGATCACCTTCTGGATGCCCAACGGTTTGTCTGGAAGTCCGGGCGGCACGTCCATGGGGCGCACGAGCTGCAACATCACAAGCATCCGAGCCACTCGCGTGTTGGCGCAGCGCAGCGTCTTCAATACCTGCAGTAGGGCTTGCTGCCGTCTCGCAGCATTCACTCCTTGAAGCTCCAGCTCACGCTGGTACTGCATGCGCGCGAAGTACACGCGCGCCATGCATTGGATCACGCGAGCTGCGCAGTAGCGCTTGGACTCGTCAGCGATGGACGCGGCGTAGGCCTCAAGCTCCTGTCTCCACTTGGCGCTGATCTTACCGCCAGGACCAGCGACGCTGATCGCGTATGCAGCCGAGAACGCCAACTCCGGCACGCGGTGCAGAACGCGCTTGGCAGGCTCGAGCTTCGTTGCTGGGATCAAGAGAGGGAAGAACTCGAGCTCGCCGTCCAGATCCATCTTGACTTGAGCCACGCCGTCGGCCACGCTCAATACGAACGCAGTCTCGCCGCAGCGCGGGTGCCCAGGCAAAACAACTCGGACGGCGCTGCCGCGGTCCACGCGCTCCTCATCGAGCCGCTTCTCGTCTGCCGCGCTGGTTACCATTTGCTCGAAGTCACCGAGGAATCGCTGCGCAGCTTGGGACTTGCTCTGCAGACGCATGAAGCCGAACGTCCGCCGTCGAGCCTTCTCCGGCACTAGAGTCGGAGGCGCCGCAGCCAGGACTTTGGCCTGCGCTTCAATCTGCTTAGCGGCGTTGGCGTCCACCTTCTTCTTGACGACATGGAAGAAGGTTCGCAGCTCGTCGAAGTCCTCTCGCACCTCGCGGAAGACAGAGCGGATATCGGTCAGGAAGGTGGCTGGGTCGAGACCAAAGAACGCGAGGAAGCTGCGCAGTCCACGCTGAGTCGGACGCGTGGGTGCGCCGAGAGTGCGCAGCATCTTGCCTTCGACTGCACGTCGAGTCAGCACTTCCATCCGCGAGATGTAGCTCCGTCTGAGAGCGGCGGTACGTCTGCGCGCAATACGGCCGCGATACACGGCCTGCACGTGTGAGGCGCAGCGGATCTTCACCAGCAGCTCTTTCTGTGAGGCGAACCAACGTCGAAACAAGTATCCGCGAATGTGCCGCTGAATGGTTATGGCAGCCAGGTTCTTGGTGCGCTCAAGGCGTTCACGCTCTAGTTGTCTACGCCTTGCCTGCACTCGGACGAGCTCCTGCATCTCCGCTTCTTGCTGCTTGCGAAGCAGGAATCGTGCGCGTCGAACCTCCTCGAAGAGATGACGAGCTGCCACCCCGCGCCACCGACGCTGGAGTACGATGACCATGCTCAGCTCGCGTTCTACTTGGCGCGTGTGAGCCTCCTCGGCTGCCATGGCGTCTCTCTCACGCTCCGCGCGCAGGTATTCACGAAGCCGCGCCTTTCGCGTTGCAGCGAGCAGCAGAGCTCTGCCGAGACGACCACGCCAGGCGTTCTGGATCATGACGGTGGCCCAAACCATATACAAGTAGTGGTTCTCGAGCTGACGCCGAATAACCACGCCTCGCCAGCACGCCTGCAGGGTCGTTGCCATGCGATAAGCGCGCTGCACCTCGCGGACGTGCGTGACCCAGACCGTGAAGGTGAAGGCCAGCTGAGCGTTCGCAAGCATCGCCCGAACCCGTTCACGACAGTGCTTGGCGTACTCCGTGTGAGCCGCCCAAGCTGCAAAGACGCGGACCTGAGTGCCGTTCATGAAGAAGGCCAACGCGCGACGTTGGCGGTTGCGCATCTCGATCTGCTCTTGCGTGAACTCGTACCAAGTATTGACGGCTTTCGCGGCGTTCATCATCCGGAGTCGAGCTGCAACGCGGCCAGACACAGCGCGGAGAGCCACGAGGTCGTCGTGGTGCTTGCGCCAGCGCAGCCAGCACTTGGTCACGATGTTGCTCGAGAACTTGGCGAACGCTCGTCGTTTGGCGCGCTGTTCCCGCACGAAGTCCATCCAGGCATTCCAGACCAGCAGCTTGTCGCGGTGGAAGATCTTGCCTGCTAGCCGCCGGTACTTATCTCGAAGCTGTCGCTCTCGCTGCGCGTTCTGGTGCCACTGGCGGAACGCCCAATGGGTCAAGCTCTGTAAAAGAACACAAAACAACTATTAGCTGACGACGGGGAGGAGGAGTAAAGCAAGGTTCGTACGCCGCAGACGATGGACATGGTCGCTTTGAGCAAGAAGAGCTTCTGGTCCCGCACAAACTCGAGCCACAGACGCCAGACCAAGCGCTTCGCGGCCATGTTGGCCCGTGCCTAAGGAACATTTCGATGGAGTTGTTAGTTTAGTCGACTGAATGCCGCAAGTTTCGCCGCTTCAAAGACTTACTCTGCCTTCCAGCTGCGGCGTGGAGTTATGCGCCTCCAGTGACACCGTAGTCAAGAAGATTTTGATGACCAACTGCCGACGCCATTTCTCCTGCGCTGTGAGCGCGCGCCAGGCCTCAACTACGCGAGGCAGCGACTGGCACTTCCAGAACACCAGCGCTTTCTTGGCTTTCACGCGCTTCTGCTGGACGTGTTCCTTCCAGGCAGAGAAGATGGCTGGCAGTCTGCGCTCCCCCCAGAAGTTGAGCGCCTTCGCAGCCTTCATCGCCACAAGAGCACGCTTCCGCTCGCGCTTGGCTTCCAGGTACAGCGACTTCCACGCCGTAAACACTTTTAGCTCCGAGCGGTTCGTCCAGTAGCTCTGAGCGCGTCGAACACGGCGCTCATGTCGTCGCTTCCTCCACCTGTACTGGATCAACACAACAGCCCTCGTAACCTTCCGTCTCGTGTAGCTGTACTTCACTCGGCAGCGGTAGCCTCGGAACACACGCTGGATGTCCAGAGCAGCGCAGAACTGCTCCCATTCCCGGTCATCCAGCTCCGCCTGCTTCTCACGCGCGCGGTGTCGGACACGAAAGCGAGCTTGGAGCAGCGTCGCGAGCTGGGAACTTTTGACCGAATGGCCCAATATCTTCTCTCGTCGTCGAGCTTTGGCGGCCTCGTCGGGATCGGGTGCTGCGATCCCCTTGAAGGACTCTTCTTGGTCGACGATGACTTCAAGACCGTACGGGTTCTCGGCTCGGCTGCGAAGAAGTTTGGCGAGGTCGGATACTTGGACGAGCGGACATTGGAACACGTTGAGGTGACGCAGGAAGCGGCACTTGCTCCAGATTGTAGCGATCCCTGCAGCAGACACGCCTGCGCTGTGAGAAAGCTCCAGCACTTCGAGCAGCCGCAACCTGTCGCTTAGAACACGACAGCACGCGTCGTCCAGCTTGTCGGTCGGGTGGCCATGCAGCTCAAAGCGCGTGAGATTCCCCGGCAGACTCTGGAATCCGCGGCTGGTGAGCTGATCACACCTCGAGAGGTAGAGCTCCTCGATGGTCTGCATGACTATGAGCGGGTAGAGCGCCAGGTCGTCGACATTCACGCAGTTCCGCAGGTCCAGCACTCGCAAAACCTTGTTGTGGCTTGCTAGATTCGTGAGCATCGCCCGCGTGACTCCCGACTGACCGGCAAGTCGAAGCTCGGATAGTGAGCGACTGGCCTTCACCAGCCGAACGAGGACTGAAGCAGGGACTGCAGCAATTCTGGACATGTCCAGTGACGTCAGCGATTTTGAGCACGTGCCGATGACCGCAAGCATCGTCTTCTCACTGGCATTGGGGCAGTTAGAGAGATTCAAGCGTTGGAGGGTCTTGAAGCAGTTGGACGCTTCTTCTGGTGGCCTAGTGGTGTGGGCGTTGATGCCATCGGTTCGGAAAAACTTGTCGAACCCTGAATCGGTAAAGCCCACGCACCCAGAGAGATCGAGCTCTTCCAGCTTCAGTAACCCTGCTAAAGCTAGAAGTCCCTTGTCGGTGAGACCAACGCAGCAGGAAGCCTTGAGACTCTGGATCAGCGGACACGCAGCAGCAACCCAAGAACAGGTCAGATTGGTTAATGAGGGGCAGCCAGAGACGTCCAACTTGGTCAGTTTGGGGTACGAGCTGACGGCGCGGTTACCGAAGAAGCTGGGCACGGAGCACAGACACTCGAAGGAGGAGTCCGTGACGTCCATGCAGTAGCTCACGTTCAGCTCCTCCAGTAGTCGAGGCTGGTTCGAGAAGAGCTCTTTGACGGTCAAGTCGGTGACTTTACGACAGTGGCGGACCGACAGAGTCTTCAGCTGTGCTGCGCGTGCCTTCACCAATGGCACCATCGCTGCATCCGAGATGAAGAAGCAGCGATCAACTCGCAGTCTGTCGAGGCGCTTGGGCTTCCTCAGCATCTGCAGCACTCCCGCGTCCGTCAAGTGCTCGCATCCGTCCAAAGTCAGGCCTGATAGTCGAGTGAAGACCTCCACAATGGCTCCAACGAGGTTGTCTGTCACGGAGTCACTCTCCGCTAGAGCCAGGTCGCTTATTGACGGACACCTGCGCGCTACGGCATGGAACGCTGCTTTCTACAAGAAGGTCAGCCTCGACCAAAGACAGCGACGGCATCAATTAGTGCGAGGAATTCGGTAGTCGGCTACAAGAACGATCAATCGAACTCACCGGTATGTTTTCCGACTTGGTCAGCACAAGACGCTGCAGCTTTGGGCAGTTCTCAAGTAGCGCTGTAAAGTCTGCAAAGTGGCATCAGTCTGCATCAATTCAAAGACCATCGGCGCGCTTCGGTATCGTACCTTTGGCTCGTGTGAGAGTCAGAAGCCCGCTCAGATCCAGATCCGAGCATCGTTGAGAGAGTTTCGCGGCCATCTGACCGTGTACTGCGCTGTCCTCAGTACAGAAGGAGGCCCAGTCACTCAGATCAACCTTCGCGAGCGGCTGGAATGAGTGCTGCTCGTAGAAGAGCTGGTCTGGCAGCACGATGCCGACACTGGGGGTCGTTGATCTACCAGAGTTCTGGTTGTCTTGCTGCTCAGGCGTGGCATCAGCCTTCCTACCGTTCAAACCACCAAACAGTTAGCCACTTGCCGACTCGTTCCTCGTAGCTCGCACGTACCTCTTGCAATCGGCCAGCAGTTGCTCCACGACAGCTTTGTCCTTGCTTGTCGGGCTCATGATCGGAGGCAGCGACACCGTCAGCGCCTCTTTAATCATCGAGTCCACATACCGCGCAGTCTTTCGTGGCGGACTCTCGTCTGAGGATCGAGGCCGACGCGTTGAGCTTCGATGCGCTCTTGTTGCTGCCCTCTCCTCGGCAGGGAAAATCGGAGGGTGGGCGAGCACGCGCTTGTCGCGAAACATGAGCAGGTCTCCGTCGGGGACGCGCTTGGCGGCCCCAGCGCCCGGGACCGCAGGCTTCTCGACCGGAGCTTTGAGCCACGACTCGAACTGCTGCAGCTGCTCGCCATGCAGTCGAGTGTCGCTCACTGAGCTTCTCTTTATCGCGGGAGGACTCGATTGAATCTGCTCTCTACTATCGTCGTCGTCGTCGTCCTTTTCATCGTCGTACAGAACTTGGTCCCCTCCATGGTTTCGATCGGAGACTTCGCGTCGAGAATGCCTGGTAGTCACCGCTTGTCGTGGTGCGTGTGGAGTGGGGGTCGGCTTGGACTTCCTCTTGCTGGGGCGGTCATGCAGCACCTGCAGGTCGAGTGCGTGGCGCTTGGCCATTGCGTTCTTGGATCGAGCCCAGGTGTCTCTTCATGGTCTGCTTGACCAGCCAGCCCCGCCTAAAAAAGCGCGACAACAGAGGGCAGCAGATCTACAGGTGTGGATGAATATGGAGAGAACTCGTGCCATTTCCCCTTAGCTTCCTTCGCACGCAAACGTTGAGCACGCCGCAGATACTACCAAGGATCCAACAACATGGAGATAATCTCGAACATGCAAGATAATATAAAGCTACCGAGCAGGAAAGTAGCCGCGCTTCACCACAGCTCGTCGCTATCCGACAGCGACGAGTGGCCGTCCATGAAGTCGAGCAGCGTTGGGCCAGGACGGGGGCGTTAATTCTCGGGCGAGCTCGGAGGCGACGAGAACCAGTCCTCTCGCGTCGAAGCTGCGTAGCCACCACCGAGCGCGGGTCGCTCGCGTGGCCAGCGCTGCGAGTTCTGCCACTGCATCGACGCGGTCTCTTCAACTCGGCAGCGGATCCGACCTCCATCCTGGCTCGGAGTGAGCGTGAGTTGGCGAGGCGACCGGCGGCAGCTCCAGTGCTCAAGCAGCGAGCGAAAGGCCTTCGACAGCGCTCGATCGCGGGCCTTGTCACGCGAGTCATTGGCTGCAACCAGACCATAGTCTCGAAGCTTTGCGTCTTGGTGGACGACTTGCATCACCTGGAACACGCGCTCCACTGCATCACCCCAAACCGTTCGGACGTCTTGGCCGAGTAAATGAAGAAGCTGCTGCATCTCCCGCTTCTTGCGGAGCGGGAACGACAACGCGAACCTGGTCGGCGACTCGAGTTTGTTCCAGAGTTGCTCGTCCTGCTGCAGCTCCTCGACGTACGCTCGCAGCGTCTGCACGGCTGCAAAGCGCCTGCCTGGTTTGGACTGGGCATTGACGGAGAACAGCGCGTCGGCGATCGACGCGAGCTGTAAGCGAAGACTGCCGATGCGCTCGTTCACGTCGTCTTGCGTGTGCTGGAGGGCGTCGCTCACGTCCACCGCGTGACTTTTGTCGATCTTGCCCAACTGACCTGAAGGCCATCGACCCACACACTTGAGCAGATACTCGCGGTACTCCTTGCCGTCTCCATGGCACAAGACCAAGTGAACGCAGTTAGCGCGAGCTTTAGCGGCCACGAACTCGGCGAACTCCTGCTTGTCGTCGAAGTCGAGCGATATGGAGGAGCTCATCGTTGTCGTTGTCGTAGTGCTCAAGTGACAAATGAAAAGCAATGACGAAATGTGATGCTATGGGACGCGGCTACCGATCGGTCAACTGTCCTGCTTCCTGACTAAGTAGTGGACGGTAAAAGTTTTCAGGTACTGAAGTACAATAGCTTTGACAGCATGATTTTCTGTTCGAATCTTCCAGGTGCTCCATGAAGAACGAATTGCTACCAACTTCTTGGCTTAAGCGGCTTACCTTCATTGACCAGCCAGCAGTTGCTCAAGTCTAGCAGCAAGATCCTTCCATTGACTGTCACTCTTTGCGGTCACAAGCAACTTCACTAGGTCTTTCTTGCCGTAGTTGCTCTCCAGCACCGAGAGCATCGTCTGATCCGCATTCTTCTTGTCCACTCTGGCTACGTAGGAGACCCACTTGTAAAGCACCGAGCTCTCGAACAGATATTCCCCCTTCCGGTGCAGGTTTAGGTCATGGAAAACGTTTTTGGCAGTTTGCCCCTTGCTCAGCCACAGCTCCTGCTCCAGTTTCTCGGCAAGTCGCTTCGTGTCACTGGCGTCTTCAGCCTTATCAAGCATCTTGGCGAGTGTTTTCTCGTCGTAGCGTCGATTTAGAACAGCAAACATTGCCTTGTACGCGCCCTCCTCGTCGAGTTTGGTCACGTATCAGACCCAAGTGTTCAAATCCCTTGGAATTTCGAAAATGAACTGTCGGTGCCTCTTTAGCACGTAGTTAAACACGTCGTCCGCGGATTTCCCTTCGCTCAGCCACATCTTTTGCACCAGCTCCTCAAACTTCACGGTCATCTCTTCATCGTGGCTCCGTCCGTGGGCTATCATCATTCCAAGGTCGTAGTCGTCGTAGTGCGCCTTCAGCACCGACGCCATGGTTTCGTCTGAATTCCTTGCCTCCACCTTACTCACGTACGCCGCCCACATCCGCACTCTACGATACCACAAAAGGGTAGTCCCTTCCCGGTCCAAACCTAAAAGTTTGAAGACGTCACCCGCGGTTTTCCCGTCGCCAGACCATTTCTGGAGTTGTGCTGCTTCGATTTTACCCGCGATTACACTTGTACTGGCGTCTTGCTTAGCATTCATGAGCATATCGGCGAACTTGCCCTCAGAGTCGGGGAATTCGGCCTTCAGCTTCACTAGCAGTATCTCGTACGGGCTTTCTCTCAGCTGTTGACTCACATACGCCTCCCAGTGGCCCAACAACGGGCTCTTCATAAGATCACCCACTGTGTCGTCATCCAGCTTTAGTAGCTTGAAAACGTCATCTGCGGACTTCTCATCGTTAAGCCAATCTTTGCGTTGAGCTCCCGCGAGTTTGTCGGCAAGGACCTTCGTGTTGTCGTTGCTACCAGTAGATTCGCCAGAGCGTCATCCGTGTAGCTCGTCTTTAAGGCGGCTAGCATCAAGTCACCGGCGTTCTGCGCGTCCAACTTGGTCACATAGGGCACCCACGTACTAAACGCGGGGCTCTCGAACAGGTTCTCCCCCTGGTTGTCCAGTTTCAACTTGGCGAACATCGTGTTCGCAGTCGTCGCCTCTTCCAGCCAAGAGCTGTGCAGCATTTCCTCCAGTTGTTAGCAACATCGGCACTGAGATATTTCTTAGACCCAGCAAGCATCACCGTGACGTCATGGTCGCTGTAATATTTCGTGAGTGTCTTGTAAATTTGCTCGTCTGCTCCCTCCCGATCGAGTTTCGTCACGTATGAGACCCAAGTGCTGACCTCGGGGACGTTAAAGAGGTGATCGCGGTGATGGTTCAGTCCCAGAAGCGTGAAAATCTCGTCCCTAGTCTGTCTTTGGCCATCCACGTATCAAACAGTAAATTTTCCACGTCGTCCACAATAAACGGCGCGGCATTCTCCCGCTTCGCTGAGGCCAGTAAGTTCGCGATCGTTGCGTCACTATAGTGCGCCTTCATCTTGTCGAACAGCAGCATTGGTGGGTCCGCCTTCAGCATCTTCGCGTAGGACGCCCAGGTATTCAGCAGCGGGTTCCACAGAAGACTGCACGTCTCCTTATGAAGCTTAAGCACCTGGAACACGTAATTAGCGTTGCGTTCATTGCTCTTCAACTGCGCCTGCTCCAATTGGGCAGCCATACTCTTAGTACCCTCCACTTCCTTCGCTGCCGCGATCATCTTCGCCAGAGCTTCATCGCCGAGTTGCTTGGTCAAAGTCGCTGCAATCGCCGTTTGAGCAGCCTCTGGCTTCGTTTGATGCCCTTTTACAACTCGGGCACTCCACGCTTGAAACTGCGGGTTCTCGAACAACGTGGACTTTGCGTTGGCGAGATTCAGCTTGAGGAAGAGTTGTTCGGCTTCGAGTTCTTTGGCCGGGTTCTTTGAGAGTTTCTGGAGGACATTCGCAACGCCCGGGACTTTATTGAAATTAAGGCCTCGGTTTTCGGGAAACTCGTCGCCCTGGTGCTTACGGGCCCTCAACTGCCGCTTGGATCCGGTGACCCCAAGAACACTCTCCGACGTCCCAGAGTTGACGATGATGATCCTCCTGCAGTCCGTAGCCACCACCAAGGCACTAGCCAATAGTGTCACGACTGCTACCAGGGTGATACGATGGAGCCGTGCAGCTGGAACCAACTGGGTACGCATGCTGGAAACCGGAGAGCAACGGTTGTGACGGAGTGAACGGATAGCGAACTGACACGCCTACAGACAACGACGGAAAAATCCGGCGTGACTGACTGCCATCCTCCATATCTAAGGAGTGTAACACAAAATACGGCACAGATAAAAAAGAAAAACATGATTGGCTAAAAGGTTGCGTAACTGTTCAAAACAAAGCACAAATCAGAATGTTCTGCAAAAAAGCTGCATTTTATTCAAATGCTAATCTCAGGATACTGAGGAATAGCTGCCTTAAAGCTCCTAATTACAGTGCTTTCGGGGATGGCATCCCAAGCAGCAATCGTAGCGCGAACGGCACGGAGCCGCTTTTCCTTAGCACTGCCACCCGTGATGCCAGACCAGTTCGAGCGCAACTTTGCATTTAGTGGCCCCATTACACCGACATCCAGCGGCTGGCAAGCAGCCGTGCTGTTTGCGGGTAGAGGGACCACAGTAGCATTAGCAACTTCGGCAACGACCCGCTGCCCCTCTTCCGACCCATGACACTCAAAGTTGTCAAGAAGGAGGACAGCGGGTCCATCAACTTCATATTTTAACAACTTTTCTACGTAAAAACGCCACGTAACAGCGTCCATCCAAGCGTTATCTTGGACGGTGTAGAAGTGTCCTTCCGGATACTCTTCGAACTCGCTTGTGTCGATTCGACCGCCCAGCTTACCACGCAGAACAAACAGAATCGGCAGCTTTTCCCCTAAAAATAGTATAACAAATACAAATTAGCCTTAAAAAATAAAAAATGAAGAGAACAACAAAAAGGAAAACTTACCATCAGCTCGAATCGTGAGCACAGCCGTCATGCGGCCGGTGTGCTTGGACGTGTTCGCAATCCTCGCAGCGTCCCGCCGACCTCTACCCGCCCACATCCGAGCCGGAGGCATGTCAAAATTGATGGCAGTCTCGTCCACGTTGTACATGCCCTCCGGCCCGTACACGGCGTGCGTCTTCCAGAAGTCCAGCGCGAACTCGGCGCGCGTTTGATCTAGCTCCTCGGTGCTTTTCTTTGCCGTTTGTGGCTTCTGGGAGGTAAAACCATGCCTAAACACGCAAATAAAGGTAAATGTTAGGAAACTGATGGAGTTTTAGCAAAAACAAAATTATTTACCGAATTGCGAGTCTCTCGACCATGCGCTCAAGCGCCAGGATGCCGCTCCGCTTCCTTTGCAGGTAGTCCTCGACCCACTCGGTCTCGATTGCCCACATGAAGGACATAATGCCACGTGTAGTGAGGGCCTGTACATTATAGCATAAAGTTTAACGGTTAAACGCTACAAATTATGAGATTCTAAAAAAACAAACTTACCTTCTCTTCGCGCCGCACGTCCTTCATGAAGGTGACGACCGCAGGAATGTCGGGAAATACTTCCCTGCGGCCCTGGCCCTTCAGGGACTTAGAGGTGGAGTGGCCAGTGAAGCTAAAAAGCTTTTCAACTTGCTTCCACCAGCCATGGACAGTGCCCCGAGCAAGTTGGAGCTCGCGGGCTGCCTCCTCCACCCCTTCATCTTCGACGAGGCGGACCGCTTCGCGCTTCTCGCGGACGGTGTAGCTCTTCTGCTTCTTCTTGGGCGGCGGCGTGCCCTCCATGGCTCGAAAAACAGTTTGAGCGGCTCAGTCGACCAGCTCCAAATTAGGCAATGGCACACGGGGATTTACCAGATCCATTCAAAAATTAAATCGCGGTGATTGGCTTATTTTTATGAATAAAATAAATTTGATTGGACAAAATCATCGCTTGTTTTGTATGGACATGCCTATGGAATGCCGGGTATTGCGTTGCCGGATTTTTCCGTCGTTGTCTGTACACCTGGGACGGTCTGCTACATGTAGCCAGCTTTGATAACCGATCTGCGCCGGACATATAAATGGTCACATGTTGTCCCATTACTTTCTTCAAGTATTCACACGGACAGATTGGTGGTCACCTGAAACACACTTGGTTAAACTATGGAATTTGGTACAATGCCCCGCTTTTGTGCATAAGAGGCTTCCAGCGCTCAAATAGGCTTTGTATCGGCTTGCCTTCGAACGGTCGGCGCTTGTGCAGAATGAGTCGCTCGCGATTGTGAATAGGCTCAAATTGCTGGGGAGAAGCTCCTCTTTTGAACCATGTGCGCTAGGCTTTGTAGCGAGCAATATTATGGGATCTACGGCCGGGTACCCATCTTCCTTATTGACCTTCACTTGTATACCAGGCACTGACCACTTATATGTCCTGACCACAGTCATGTCCGTCTCGGATATGGCACCGGTGCTCACAACGGAGAGTCTAACGAGGGAGGGCCATTTTCAAAAAATGGGCATATTTTCATGTTGAAGGGGGGGGGGGGGGGGCGGATACTCGCGCGTTGGCTCTCGTCTGCGGACTTCGACACGGGGGGCACCGCTACGCGGTCTGCCCCACCCCCTTAGTCGAAGTCCTCGACTCGGCCAGGCGCGGTGTCTAGAAAAAAAATATCGGGTTGCAGCGCTCGCTGTGCTCGCTCGCGCAGACCAGCCCCGCCTAATCGGCGGTCGTTGGAACGAGTGAATGCACTGAGTGAGACAGACTCGCGCTCGCATCCGCTCGCCCTCGCCCATTCCTCAACAGATCATGATCAAATGCATTGTTTATGAAAATGGCCTTCCCTGGAAATGGCCCTCGTTAGCCAGTCCCGAATAATACATGTACCGCAATCTGTGATGGCATGCATAAGCAAAACATTACTTAACCCTTTCGCGGTAAAAGGATACAGTAATCTGCCCGAGTAAGGAGCGCCTGATATATATAAAGACGCAGATTATATAAATTGATGTTAAGTTGAGTATACTTTTCCAATATACTGATTTAGTTATTTCAAAATGAACTGAAGAGCAGCTTTACCTACGAGTCCGGAATGATTCCAACAGTGGCGTATGGTCGAAGCACTAACCTTTGACCAGGCATCCTCGCACCATAACAGCGCTGTCAACTGGTCGACCTCGTAGGGATTACCTAGCCCTTCACCAAGCCGGTCTAGAGGCTGCATCATCTTGCGGGATAGAATGTGTCGCTTAATACAATGAATGATTCCTTGGTCCTTCTCCAGCGGCCGCCCCAGCAGGACTGCACTTGACTTGATTATGCGGTATATCGTTGTCTTGCCTGGGGCGGCCGGGAGTCACAGCCCACTCAGCCAGGCCCCTGTAGGAGAGAGCAGGTGTGCGGGCTGCCTTGTCGAGGATGCCCACTTTCTCAGACAAGTGAGGCGGAGACGCTTGGACGGTGTGGACTTCATGGGTGGAGTGGGGGAGGAGGTGGGCTTGTGGGGCGAGGTGCAAAAGCAAACGTGCGAGTCTACCACTACGGTACATGTAGTTTGAAGTCTAGTAAGATCGCTAAATGCGCGCCATTTTTCAAACGAGGCTGGAGAGCTGATGATTGGCACTGGATTTTTCACCTTAGTACCTCAGTACCTTGCAGTACCTTGCACATCCCCCTATCGCCACATCGACTGGAAAATAATATTAAATATGTGAGGCTATTAGTTGTACACCCGTTCCTTATTCGGGCACAATTCTGTACAGAAAGCGCCCTTTAGATGATTTTCCAAAACACGGTAGAGTGTACCCCCTCTTAAAGGGCGCATCCTGTGCCCTTTTGCACAAGTTCAAGCTAGTAATCAACCTTCTTTTAAAACAAATCGTAATCGGTACGCAGAGTAATCATCATGTAATCATTGTCTTTACAAATTCGAAGTCATACGCATACATTCTATGTATCCTGCAAATCACCGTAGATGGTATGTCCCATGAGACACACCGAAAAGGCTCCGTAACTTTGTAAAAGGCCTAGAGTGCCCTTTTAGAAGGAAATATCAATGAGTTGTATACGGTACTATAATTTATTGAGGATACTCGCGAAAGGGTAACGTAAGATTTATCTGAATTCATCGTCGCAACTGGCATGGACAAAGCAACTTTGCGAGCGACCGCTACATATACATGTACAGACTAGAGCGTGAGAACGAGACGCCTGATATATCCGGATTTAAAAGGGAATCATATGTGGCAGACACCACTTTATGTATTTTACATTGACTCTAATACTTGATATCATCGGTAAAAACGGGTATTAGTTGTTACCCGTCTCGTTCTCACGCTCTAGTCTGTATGTATCGCTCTTTGTAGTCCACCATTCCCAACTATCCACACCGTGTGCGTGCGTATGTACGCGATACGCCCTCTACCGGCCGTCCAAACGCCGCACAACAGAAATTCACTCCGCACACTTCATTCGGCAACTACGGCAGCATACAGTGTGTCAATTCCTTTAGTTAACATCCAGAACGAGCTAGTGAACAACCTGCTCGCTGCGGTGCCACCTAAGCCATCTCCGCTTCTTCTAGTTGGAGTAGTTAAGCATTGAACATGAAATTGTCTGTATCCCTATTTCAGACTCCTCCATCTCCGATTTATGAATCGGGGTCCGATATATAGTTGTTAATGAGAGGGCAACCCCCCCCCGCAAGCCGCAACGTTACGTTCACGGGTTCTTGAGAGCTTCACAATCTTGCTTAACCTTAGAGCATCTCCAACGGTAGTGCAAAACTCAAGGAATTGCACGATATTTGCAAAATTGCAAAAAAATCATCCCCAACGGGAAGTGATAGGGGTTCAGAAGTAGTGCTGAAGTAACACGTTGAAATCGATAGTGCAATTCCCGGATGGCGTAGTGATTATCGGCCTGCTATCCACTACGACCTGCCAGCTATTGCACGCAAAGTGCAAGGCGAGAATACGCATTTATGGACGCCTTCAGCGCGTGCACCCGTCCGAAAGAGGTACACAACGCTCTCACAATACATATACTACTAGTTTCATAGGTACACCGGATGAATAGAAGCTCCCGGGCTTACCGGCAGTTGCTACAGTATGTAGGGCAAATGACTTGCTGTCCCAAATGCATGCTGCAAACAACGGGGGGCCGTTATCGACCTGAAGTGCTCTATAGTTGCCTACAGCTGCCTATTGTGGTGCCTTTGCCGCGGATAACTTCAGCTACGCTACCCTTTATCGGCCATTGCGGAGGGAGGGCTACCCGCTTTCACTACGCAATTTTGCAATACCGTTGGGGAAGCTGAACTATTGCAAAAAAAATCAAGCGTGATCGTCTTGTTTATGTTGCTAATCGGCCATTCTCTTTGCCTTATCACTTTTGCTATTTGCACTACCGTTGGAGATGCTCTTAGTGTGACTCAGAAAATCAGCCAATTTTGGGCTAAGTCGTCAGTAGGTGCACTAAGTACGTGTTAAATATTCTTAATCACAAACAATTGGATGGACGCTACTATTTTCTTGTTAGAAAGCGAGCGAGCGCAGATAGGTGTTTGCATTAGATTTGCTCGACAAGATTTTGATGATAAGATCCAGAAGCATCAAAGTGGGAATTGTGGCCCTTTTTCAGCAGCCTCCGAATCACGATATTGTAATATAACGGCAATTTTGATGAGCAGAAGCATAAATAGGATACAGTGCTATGTACCGGTATGCGAAAATATCGTTTCGCATTTTGGTACGTCGCCCCTCTTGCTAGGGCAAACGGGAGGACAACATCGATTTTTTGGTACGTGATTTCAGCAAATTTGGAACCTGAAACCTGGAAAAAAAAGTTCCAAGATGCAGTTTTTCGAAGCACTTCAGGTAAATTCACCTGGAACCGCACACTTTTACAACATTCATTCTGTACATAAAAGTTTGCAGTGCCCTCCCTCATTTCCACTTTCCCACGCGTTCGTTGGCCACGCGAGCGCCGGCGTGCGGCATGAACGCCAGCAGCGAGAGAGGAGAGAGGGAGTGAGACGTTCCCACTGCCTAGTGGTCACTGCCAAGTAAGGATTGTGAGGTACCAGCGCCACCAGGCAGTGCTCCGCAGCGCGGAAAGACGGCACGCGGTCGCAGGCGAAGCTCGCCAGCACAGAAACCGCTGCGACTGTGGGAGGTCGCTACCTCTCGTTGCCCCGCGCGGCAGCGGTTGGCAACCGACAGACGCAGCACATAGCAGCTTCAGCAGCAGCACAACACCTACCAGCATAGCAAAGCATAGGTCGGTTAGGAAACTCCTTCAACTCGAGCAAGGGTCCCAAGGCGGCGGCGCCGAGCTGCTGCGCAGCTCGGTACTCACTTCCGCATTCTCCAGCAGGAGCACAACCAGCTCCGCCGCCTTGGTTGTTCCCGCCACGGCATTCTGCCAAGGCAACCTCAGTCTCCTACCTTCCGTTCATCTTCTGCCCGCACCTTCGTGCTGAGATCAACTCTGCTACGCCTACAGCTCTGCAGACAGCAAGTACACGACTTTCAGCCCCTCTCAAGGATTGCCTACGACAAGCAGCGCCAAGCAGCGCACGTGGCGGGCTGTCTGATCGCGTGCGCACGACGGCATGCACGCGAGAGATCGCGCGGCGGCGGGAGGGGGCTCAACAGAGCGTGTGGTGGCCGTGCTCAAGAGCTCTCGATGGCACGCGGGTGCTTAAGCCCCTGTGCGCGCACGCAGAGTTCGTGGTGCTGTTATTGCAGCAGAGCGCGTCCTCAGTCGAGCTGAGCTGTCTCCGCTGCATGCACGGCATGGCAGGTTCCGGGAGTGCTTACGTACACAGTTTGTTTTTTATGGGGGTCGAGGGGGGGTGAATGTGATACAGAAGAGGGTCAACGGAGGCTCACGGTTGCGAGGAGCGTAGCCGCAGCAAACCCGCGCGGTATTTGCGGAAGCAGGCCCAGCGACGAGCATTCCAGCGAGCCGAGGACTGTTCTCGCCAGGTGAGAGAATCTTTTATCGCAGGAGCGCAGCGACTGCCTTTGCGGAGCGCAGCGGAGCAAAGCCATTTCCCGCGGATGACATCCGTCCTGCGGGAAGGTCGTCACATTGTGGGGTGATGGGCTGCCTATACAAACTCCAAGATATCACCGAAAATACATGTAGACTGTGTACGTAAGTCCTGCCGGCAGGCTCCTTCATCCTTGGTGGTATGGCCCACACGACCTTCTATTCGATTAAAAAGTTCCAAGCTTCAGGGAGCCAACTTTGTCACTAAAACGAGGTAATCTTGGAACATTTTTCGCGGTTCCAGGTAAAAAATGAGCATGCTGAAGGCAATTTTCCCTGGAACCGCGAACTATCTTCCAGGTTTCAGGTTCCAAGCGTTTGCTGAAGAGGGCCAGTGTACCGCAATATCCTAGACGGACGGCTAGGACAAAAATTGTGGTGCAATATACTTCACTCCAGTGAACTTCGGTTTGTCCTACCATTTTTCCTGTTTGTCTTAGCAAAGTGTCCGGCTGGGGTTAAACTGTACCAGAGTTTGCACAAATGTTAGCAGCAGTACTCGTATGGCGTCATTCGCTTCATCATGAAGCTCATTATTGGAGTAATCGCAATGAGTGTCTGAAAGGCTGACATGTGCTGGTCTACCACCACGTTGGGCAGCCTGCCATTTGCTGTACAATGTACTAAAACAAAACCTCTAATAATATTGCTGCCATGACATTGTATATGTCTTTGAGCTGCTATGAATGTCACGACCAGAGGTAAAGAATTTATGCTGTGTCTGCAGCGTAGCGGCAACTTGCTATCTCAGCACCAATGCCAGCAGGCCCGCAGTCTTCGTGGCGCGCGTGCTTGTTATTAATATGTTATACGTTACTATTCGCAGATCTCCAATGTCGGTTCCGATTCCCCGGCAGTACGTCACCTCCACGGATGAGCTGCAATCTCTGCTGGCCACCTACGGGGGCAAGCCCGTCGTCTCCAAGGCGAAGGTGGTGGGTATGCACTTCCAGTTCGCCAGCCCCGAAAATGACTCACCGTATTCCGACCGCGTCGTCGCCTTCGTCGCTGGTAGCAACTCGCCCGATGGGATGGCGGTTGTGCTGCAACTCGTGGACTTAGAGCCACAGCAGGTGGTGGCAGGCTTGAAGACCTTGCTGGAAGACGCCGAGACAATCAAGATCATGTTCGACGTGGGGTGAGTGGCTCGCTGGCTGCAGCGCTATGGCTACGGGCTCAGCAACAGCGTCGCGCTCGAGAACTGTGTTGATCTTCAGCTGCTGTACCAAAACCGGGTGGACCCGACCGTGGCCCATGCGAGTCTCACTCAGATTTCGTCCCATTTCGGCTCGTCAGCTGCAAAACTGGGGCTGGAAGTGGACGCCTTTAGCTCAAAGCTGAGTCCTCGTGCGTGGTTGAAGTCCCCATTGGATCCTTTGGTGCTGAGGCACTTGGTGGATATCGTCAAGACGCTCGTGCGCTGCTACCATGGCGAGTTTGGCACTGGTCTGAAGAAATGCCAAGAGGAGGTGTGGCCTCTTGCATTGATGACGAGCAAGTGCTGGAACTCCGCTGTACAGAACTCAGCTGGGGAAACGAGTGTGCCTGCTTCTACTGTGACAGTGGCGCGTGATGTGACGTGGACGTCCGTCTGCCAATGAGATGGCAGAGGACTCCCACGTCAAGTGCTGCTGCATAGCACTTGAGTTTACGCTGGACAGCGTAATACGGGGATGCATGGTTTATATTCATTATATGCTATCCTATTGGCTGGTGCCAAAAGTAAACTTGATTATGGGATGCGTAAACATGGACATTCGCGCATTGGCTGTAAATCCTTGAGATGTGCAACAATCAAGTTTTCCAGCCGGACTTTTGGTTATGGGACGCAAGTCACAAATTTTGCAAAGCTACGAATAGGATTAGTAGTTTTTCATTGGTAGATAAGGATTGATCTAGGATTTGAGATTGATAGACTTTAGGATGGGACCTGGATACTTGTTGGCGTGTCCTGGTCGCCAAGAACTACTGGTTGCGCGGCGGCGGCGCGCCGACGCTAAACTAACGGATCAATCAATCACTTTTCAACTTTCCAACTTCCTCTCAAGTGTTCTTCGAGCGCTCGCCACTGCGCTCATCAAGCTTCGGGTCTTCGCATCGGCTTGTGTGACATAGTAGCACTTGTCGTGTCAAGTTTCGGTTCAAGTTCAAGACTAGGTTGCTCGTGGGGATACCTTCTGAAGCGAGTTTACCTGTGACTATTGGAGCTAGCCACATAGTGGGGACGCTCTAGGTTGCGAACGTGCAGTTTTCTGTGGGAGCACACTTCGAAGAAGTGGGTACATCACGCCGTGGGCAGGTGGAAATACCACATTGGGGCTTGGCCCACGCCTAGACCGGATAGTACCTAACCTTCGGGGTTGTGTTGGACTCTTACTAGAAGTCGGTTCAGTAACAGGGCGCCTGCTTTGTGTCTGCTAACGCGGAACATTGTAGAAGTATAACGGTCCCTGGTTACCCGGTAGTAGTCCCTTGCCTTTTTCGATCTTTGGAGTCGGCCCATGGCCCGGTACTAAAAGGGTCATAACCACAGCAGTAAGAGGAAGCACCAAAAAGCGCGTGACGTTAAAGTATCATCAACGTCTACGCCAGCTCCTCCTCCTGTTACGGCTATTGACACCGATCTCTTCTTCTCGCCGGTCGAGGCGGAGAAAATTGCGAAATTGCAATCGTATCTTCTCAAGCAGGTCAAAACCGCTAAGAGGGTCCTGGTTAAGTTCCGCAAAGAGGTCTGGGGTATCAAGGACGACAGCGTTGAGGGTAATGTGGTGTAGTACCCCGCGGAAGAAGTGGGCGCGCCGGGCGCCGGAGGAAGAAGGCGCCGGGACGCGAGTGATGGACTTCGACGCGGCTGATGGAACGCGACGCGGATTGATGGGCGCGATGCAGGGCCAAGCTCGACGGGAAAGTCGGCGTGAGTGATGGGCCGTGAGACACGGTGCCAGAATCCAGTGCGACGCGTAATCATCCGACGGGTCGACCAGCGCACCCGGTTCTGCAAAACGCGCCGACCCTAAACCCCGCCGAGCAAAACGCGCCGAGGTAAGATCTTGATTGCGCCACGCAAATCAGGTTGAAGGACAGTAGTGCAAGCACGACAGAAGTAGGGATAGGCACACAACGATAGGCTTAGCAAGCAGTAGTACGGAGTAGCCAGTAGCTAGGGCATAGGATAGGGTAAGGACTCAGTCCCGAAATTTCTCTGAACCACAAAGGCCTCCCGTCTTCTCCGAGGTTCCAGGGGAACCACCAAGCGCCGGCAAGTAGAGCCGCCTCGATATCGCGGCCCCCCGTCGTTTGCTGGTTCGGGTGCTCACCCCCCACAGACCCGTGCTGGAACAAAGGCACGTTAAACGTATACCGTTTAGGTGGGCGCCCGATAACGCGCTGCCTAGGCGAAGGACCGCACCGGCCTGATAACCGCCGTGCACAAGACCCCCCGTGTAGGCCCGATAACGCCACACAAGCCCCAAGAAACGCCGGCCCGATAACGCCGCACGCCCGATGGGAACGCCGAGGAAACGCCGGCCCGATAACGCCGCACGCCCAAGGCTCGACGCCCTACGTCAAGGAAAAAGCGTCAACATAAGAACCCCCAACTCCGAAGCCTGCGAAGACTTGAGCCTGTATTTCGAAGATACGCTACTCCAACAACCGGGAATAATTTGCTTGGCGCGACCACTATCCCGACGCGTTTTATTGTACCGTTTTACGGATCACTCACCGAAAAGTCCATCTGCTCGAGACCTAATGCCTGTGACAAGGAGTAGGGCGGGTGAGAGTGAATCGCCTAACCCGCGGCAGCGTCAAGTGCCGCGGACGGCTCAAACGGAGGCGGCAACGCCACAAGAAGCGCAAAGTGAAGCCCCATCAGCGGGGACGACAACCCCTGCGCTTGAGTCAATGTCGATGCAGCAGTTGATGTTGTGGATTGCACAGCACCAGCAAATGTATCAGAATCAGATGCAGACCCAGTTGCAGATGCACATGCAACAGGCCAACAGTCGTTTTGAGCAACTACTGGCCTCGCAAGGCGAACGACGGAAGAAGGATCCTCCCACGTATGAAGGGAAATTTGGCGAAGACCTGGAACTTTGGATCTTTGCTACGGAGGAGTACTACGCTAACAAACGAGGAATAATGGAGGCCGATACGTCCGATATTGTGACCATGATATCAAGCAGTTCAGGCAAGTCTGTGCTGAACTGGTATCGTGCCTTTTCGTCGGATTGTGATGCGGCGGGGATGCCGAAATCATGGCAACTGTTTAAGGCAAAGTTGCGCGAGCGCTTTCGCCCGAAAGACTTTGAATACAACCTGCGTGAGCGGTTGTTTCAACTGAAAGAACACGGAACTATCCATGAATACGTGTCGTCGTTTCAGGATTTGATGTCTCAATCCGAGTTGGGCATTTCGGAAATGGAGAAGCGTTTCTACTTCCAGAATGGGCTTCGTGCGGAGACGGCTAAGAAGGTGAAGGAACTCAGTCCAAGGTTCTTACATGATGTCATTGAGATTGCAACGAACTTTTAGTTTGCTCACTATGGAGGGCTATCGGTAAAACCTGCAGTGAGTCATCAGCCTTCGTCGAAAGCAGTTTCGTCTGTGAAACCTGCGGCTAACAGTACGGCCAAGCCACAGGAACGAAAGCCACCTTCGAAGCGTGGGCCGAAAGAGGATTGGCGAAAGTCAGCCACTTGTAACAACTGTGGACAATTCGGCCATATCAAGCCACAATGTACGTCCACCAAGGAGATGAACCACTATGTTGGCGGATCATTCTATGCTATTTTGCAAGTAAGCGCTTTAGCCTTCAAGCAGGATGAGACCCCCGCAGAAGTTTCGATCTTCGTCGACAATGGCAGCAGCCTCAACGGTGTCACGGAAGCGTTAGCCGAGCGACTACAATTGGAAATCACGGAGCATCCCGACGACATGATGACAGTTCGTCTGGGATATAACCAAACCGTGCAAAGACCAAGACGTACCGTCGAAATGATGCTACAGATTCCGAATTTCCCCGTGACGTGCGAGACTTTTACGGTCATGCCTGTTCCAGAAGACAAGGACGTGCTCCTCGGAATGAAGTGGCTTCGGGAGAATAACCCTGACATCGACTGGGAACGCTTACTACTGCGTCCACGTAATAGGACCGAGGAACCCCCGGCCCATCAGTTGGTGGTACCTAACCGACCTCCCGCACGTATGATTGGAGGCCGTCGTTTCAAGAATGCAAACCAGAACCGTGAAATATTCCATTACTACCGGCAGCATGGCCACACCGGTGCGTTCGGAGAAACGAAGCTGATCTCAACGAAGCAATTTATGAAAGAACTTCGCAAAGGGAAGGGTATTGAAGCTGTTTTTGTTGTGAGCCCGCACGACTCAGAAAAGGCTGAACGTTTTAAGCAACAACGAGTGGACAATCCGGCATATGAAGTTTTGCTCAAGTACCGCGATACTGTGTTTCGCACTGAGCTGCCGAGTACCACACCTCCTGTCCGCGAAGGGATTGAGCACGAAATTCAGCTTCAGCCGGGAACGCAACCGATTTCGGTGAAACAGTGGTGCCAAAGCCAAGAGCAGCGCAAGGTCATTCAAGATTGGACGAAGGAGATAGTACAGGCTGGAATCATTCGTCCTAGCACCTCGGCATTCAGTGCCCCAACTTTTTGTGTCAAGAAACCCGTGGGTTGGCGTATTGTGCGCGACTATCGCCAGCTCAACAGCTCTACCATTTTCCCGGCCATACCCATGCCGAGCCGCCTCCGAGCCCCTCTTGCTATCGCCAGGGCCGGAAACCGCGGTACGGGCGCTACGGTCGGCAGCCGACAGGAGGGAGACATGGACGCCTTTCCGAGGGTTTCCGCCGGTATGGTTCGTCTCGGTGGGTGTGTCAGAACGTAACTAGAGCAGTGCAACCCGGCGTTGCCGCCTCCGAGCCCCTCTTGCTATCGCCAGGGCCGGAAACCGTGGTACGGGCGCTACGGTCGACAGCCGACAGGAGGGAGACATGGAGGCCTTTCCGAGGGTTTCCGCGGTATGGTTCGTCTCGGTGGGTGTGTCAGAACGTAACTAGAGCAGTGCAACCCGGCGTTGCCGCCTCCGAGCCCCTCTTGCTATCGCCAGGGCCGGAAACCGCGGTACGGACGCTACGGTCGACAGCCGACAGGAGGGAGACATGGACGCCTTTCCGAGGGTTTCCGCGGTATGGTTCGTCTCGGTGGGTGTGTCAGAACGTAACTAGAGCAGTGCAACCCGGCGTTGCCGCCTCCGAGCCCCTCTTGCTATCGCCAGGGCCGGAAACCGCGGTACGGGCGCTACGGTCGGCAGCCGACAGGAGGGAGACATGGACGCCTTTCCGAGGGTTTCCGCCGGTATGGTTCGTCTCGGTGGGTGTGTCAGAACGTAACTAGAGCAGTGCAACCCGGCGTTGCCGCCTCCGAGCCCCTCTTGCTATCGCCAGGGCCGGAAACCGTGGTACGGGCGCTACGGTCGACAGCCGACAGGAGGGAGACATGGAGGCCTTTCCGAGGGTTTCCGCGGTATGGTTCGTCTCGGTGGGTGTGTCAGAACGTAACTAGAGCAGTGCAACCCGGCG